TTCATGGGGGCATGAACGGCTTGCTCGACAAGTTTCCGGTAAAGACCCGGGTTCCGTTGGAGATGTTCATGGCCTCCAGTATACCAGAACCACGCAGCACCACGGTATTCCGGAGGTATACCTTTTCTAATGTACCGCTTCACTTTGCCTGATCTTGGGGGGAAGGTAAGAGTGTCCTTATGCTCGAGACCACTGTCCTTGAGCAGCTCTACCCATTTTTGTCTCCGGTAGCCCACGTATCTTGAATATGGTTCGTTCCACTTGTTATACTGCGCCAGAGTGACATAGGTTGTCTCCTTTTTGAATCCATATTGGTCTCGTAACTTGGTTGCCGCAGATAAGGGAGGCGGTACACCAACTGAGAGGACTTCTGGCACTGTAACCTTTGGTTCCATAGGTGGGGGTGGTGGTTTTCCAGTGGGACAATGATCTTCTGCATGACTTTGATTCTCCAAACGGCTGCTCCCTGTTGGCCCTCCAGGAGATTCTGGGTCTTTAGGGCTTGGTGGACGTCCGGGTTTTGGCTCCTCTTCTGGCGTGCTTGGAGACTCCGTTGCCCTAGATGGTGGTTCGGGGGATTCAAGAAAGTTGGGTGGTTCCGGCGAATCTGCTAGTTCCAACGATGGCGACGAGTCATCCGAGAAGCCATCAAGATACATATCTATGGCATCGTCGACACTCATTCCACCAACCGGCTCCTCTGCGGTGTCCGGTGTCAGATCCGTTATGGAGCTGGTATTGGTGAGAATGCTACTCCGCTCTGTTCCGCTTGCGGGTTCCAAACTCGAGCTTCCAGTAGTGGCAGACTGCAAGCTCGATCGGAGTGGGATATCAAAGTGTAGCTCGGGGGGATGGTAGCGATGAGGGAAACGAGCGCTGACGGGGGTATCCAGCGGCGGCCTGTCATGACGAGGCGGTGCAAATTGGCCAGATTGCATGTTGGTCATTGAGAGCGTCGGCTTCAGCCCCACTGGAGGAGTGTCGAGCCGGTTTCTGGGAGGGACTGGTCGCGTACGCTCCCTCGCCGGGGACAATTGCATAGGGCCATGTCGACTGGTGTCGAAAGAGCAAGCCGAGCGAAGAGGCGGTTCGACGTGGGATATTTTGAGGTAGGTAGGGCGGAGGGGATCAGGCCTTCTGCCACCACGAGGGCCATTGGACGGAAGGGCGGAGTTGGCGAGAGGGAGAGGTCGGGCCACGGGCGAGCGGCGAGGCGGGAGCGTTGTGTCTATAGCATTGAGGGTTGGGCGCTTGACGGGACTGGGGCCATGTGGCCGGAAGGCAGTGTGATCACCGCCGCCATGGGGTTTAAAGGGAGGATCTGGGACCGCGTGCTTTGTGACCATGGCCACTGTTGTAGGAGCGTGTATTCCGCCGGGACATTTGTTTGTTCTGCCGCGTTAAACACCCGGAGAGAGAGAGCAAAAAAGAGCGCTGGCGATGGAGACAAGGGAGACAACGGCGAGCGAGGGGAGAATCTGGTTCGTAAGCGCCGTGAACGAAGGGCAGGGCGTCGGGTTGGCCGTCCGGGAGCGATCGTGGGCGCGGACTGGAGCTTGGAGCTGGAGAGGCGGTTGGACTAAGGGCCAGTCGCAGGAGTGGTAGCGCGGCGGGAAGGTTCCAGCGGCGGCAACGATGGGGCTTCTCGGAAGCAAACAAAAGTCGAGGAATCCGCTGGAGAGTCTATCGTCCAGCTCATGGCAAAAAAAAAAAAAGAAAAGAAAAGAAAAAGGAAAAGAAAAAGGAAATAGACAAGGAAAAAAAAAAGAAAAAAACAACGGAAGAAGCAGAGGAGGAGGAGAAGTAGGAGGACGACAACGACAACGACGCGGACGAGGACGGCGGTTGAGGGAGAATGGAGACAAGCAACTCAGTGAAGGGCGTGAAAGTTGGGCGTCTGGAGCAAATTATTTTGCCCTTTTTTTTTTTTCTCCCTTTTTCTCCTTTTTTTTTTTTTTTTTTTTCCTCGTCCGCGATCCGGCCAAGCCAAGTCTTCCTTCGCTTCATCCATCGCGATCTCATTCATCCCGAGGAGCCAACTGTTCCAGATACACAGAATCCCAAACACGAACCGGCAAAAAGAAACATGCAAGTGAAAGCCGAGAGGGGCTGTTTTTGCTGCACCCGAGAGAGACGGGTGAGCGACACGGCGCGTGTGTGTGTGTGTCTCTCTCTCTCTCTCTGTGTTCCCAGTCCCGCTCTCGCCCGTCCTTTCAGCCACCATGCTTCCAGAGCTGAGCTGCGGATATTGCAGTGCATCTCTCTCGCGCCGAACGGGTTTGGTATGCAGGTGGCACCTCCATATATTGGAGCAGCGGGGAAGCTCGGATCATTGTCCAGGAACTGAAGCTCTCCGTCACCGATATCCCTCTCGTTGTTGCCCAACAGCCAACCTTGCATGCATTAGTTGCCGCAGCTGCAAGAGGCGCTCAATAGCCCATGATTGTCCTCTTGCGTGTTCGCATGACGTCCGGACAAAGGAGCAAAACGCTATGCCATATGCTCTCTCGCAAAGTGATGAAACAGACCACCTCTTCAGGGTGTTCTTCAAGGTTTTGGTTTGGCCGCAAGCTCCTGGTCATTGTCCCGGCATCCGTCTGTATGTCTCAGAGGTAACGACTGCATTCCCTGTCCGGATGTCCATTGGGCCAACCGAGTATCTGCCTGCTTTTTGTCATTTACGTTGGACCCGAAGTCCTGGGAACCTAGGCCGACTTCCTTTTTTCTTTTAATTTTTTTCGGTGTGTGATGCTCATTTGCATATTTGGCCTAATATATGAGATCGCATTTCCTAGAAGCCTATCGATGGAAGTTCGATAGTTGAATGGCCCGGTCAGTTTAGGACGCTCGTCTTTGAGTGGAGGGGCCTATTGTTGCATCTGAGATATCAGAATTCTTCATCTGTTTCTGAGAATTCCAACCTTCCCCTCTTCCCGACGGGCCCCCCTGGCCCCCTTGTCTCTCTCATATCTACTCAACTCACAGCTGAAGACTAACAACTACTGCAATGCTATTGTACTCGCGACTACTTGCCCATTTTGGATCACACTCTTCAAGATATATTTTTCCCTAACCCGGAGTTTACGAGCGAGGTCACTTGCCTGCGGTACCACGACCTGGATTCCGATGCCGCGTGTCAGACAGACGTACGCATGTACATATGTAACATACATGCATCAAGGTTGCTGCCTCCTAAATTTTCATCGCCGAAAGTGGTGAACGAGTTAGCGTTAACCGTCGGTGTGTCGCCGTCTATATTTACTTTCAACTTGGCCCCCCCAAAGCTCCTGTCAGGGGGCTGGCATCGAACCATTATATATGATATCGATTCAGGATCCAACACTCGGGTTTGTTTTCACTATGACTCCCAAATTTAGCACTCGATACTATTGTTGATTGTTGCACTCCCTTGCATATCTCGAATCCGATTTCTCAGCAAAAATTACCATCTCTCCCCGCCTATTGCACCTAGGGCTTAGGTACGATCGATGGCGTCGTTCCCCATCGTGGATCATCTTCAAGCGCGCAGTTTATGACCAAAACTCTAGGATCACGGCGAAGGCTAAAGCCTAACCTCTAAAGAAAAGACAATTTATTCCTCTCTATTTGCTCGGAAGCAGTGTAAACGCCATTTATCTGTACCCCCAACATAAACCATACTGTTGCAAGTACGCCGAATCAATCAAACATAACTCCCAAATCCCAGCCGCTCACGCACATGAGATCCCCATTCATGAATAACCCGATGCTTCATCAAATCATTACAAGAGTCCCACAAAATTAATACGTCAAATCTGGAAGACCAGTGGCTCCGAGCACGGTATTCATTTCCCACCCCCCAGCTCACCAGAACGACTTCTTGCCCTCTTTCGCATACTTCTTCGTCCACTCCTTGGCCGCCTGATCAAATGCCTTCCTATCGTGATTGAACTGCTCGGCGATCTTTCCCTCCACTGCATCATCCGGCATCGGCTCCGAGAGCAACTGTCTCGCGAACTCCAGCACGGACTGTAGCTTGGTCGATGGCTTCCATTCGTCGGCGCGTAGCATTCCTAGACACACTGTTCCCTTTCCGTCGTTGGTTACGTTGGGGTGGTAGATCTTTGTCGTGAAGGAGACAGTTGGAGGCTTGAAAGGGTATTCGGGCGGGAGAACGAGGTTAAGGACAAAGGTGCCGCCCTGGGACCCGGAAAAAGAAGCGTGAGTTATTTGTTATTTCCCGCAAAAACTAAAAAAAAAAAAAAAAGGAACCTCCCCGAGGAACGAGAGCCGGTTCAAGTGGAGAGTTTTGGTTTATCATACTTTGTACGGTGAATCGTCGGGTCCCTGCATGTGAATTTCCCATTTGTACAGGTCGGCCTCGTCGGCGAGGGACACCTGTATGCCTGGCGGCGGGGCTTTGGTGAGTTCGCCCAATTCCTAGGAGGCGCAATAGAGTGTGAGCCAATTGCGGCTTTTGAACTGGTTCGTAGGCGTACCTTTGCTATGCGTTTCTGGCTCCCCATAGCGTCCAGGACCGGGCGATGGAGGGGCTCGTGAGGGGTAGGTTCAAGATCGGAGCTCTGCTTGTGAAGCGCGCCGTGGAGGACGATGCTGAAGCTAATAAGGCCTCGAGGAATTAGAGACGGATACTTTCGAGGGGAGAACTCTTAAGCAAACGGGCGAGGATGTCTGCTGGAGCGAAGGGGAGTTTGGGATTTGGTTACAGAGTCGCGGTGATGGCAATCAGGTGGCCGGTCAGCTGGTTGCCTGCGCGATTGGCCCCAACGCCGACGGCCTCTCCAGAGCAGGACAACACAACGACCAGGGATGTTCATCCACGGGTTCAACTTCACACGGAATTGACTGGGCGAGGCCTGGGTTTGACAGATTTCGCCAGAGAGAGCGCTTTGAGACTGGTGCTGGAAGTTTGGCCGTCTCCCTATCCTTAATTTTTTAAGTTCGGTGCCATTGAAGCCATGCATAATATACTCCGTAGGTATCTCAGTATGCTAATAAAACTATTCTCGCTGTAAAATGACCATAGCGCCCATAATCCCCAATAACACGGTCTTCAGCCATGGATGCTCGCTCAGCATAATCGTCACATATCCAATTGCGGGAATATACCCGCGTACACTGCCCACCAAGTCCAGTTTCCGGTCAAGATAATCCTGCCCTTGAGCATATAGCTCCGTATCATCAGCAATATTATTGTCGCCCTTGGTGAGAATCCTATGAGAAACGAGCGCCGAATCTGAGTGAAGAGCCCTATCCAGCTGCGTATCAGTATCCATTGCTCCTCGCACATCTCCACGGAGGGGGGAACCAGAAACCAAACACCCACAACCATTTGTAGCATATAAGTAGGGAAAAAGGGAAAAAAAAAAAAAAAAAAAAAAGGAAGAACAAAAGGGAACCAGAAATCCCACTCACCCAGCCGCAATACTGTCCTTCTTGCCCGAGCTCATCACCTTCTTCTTCTTCTGTCCGTTCGTCTCCTTCGGACTCTTCTCATCGTCCCCAAACGCCCTCACGACCCGATGCACAATCGGAATATCCTTTCCCCTCACATTATACACCACGATCTCCCCCACCTCCGCCCGCGGGCTCCGATTCCACAGGAACAGCAAGTCACCTCTCTGGAACGCGGGCTCCATGCTACCCGAAAGCACCACGACGATGGGCGACGAGGAGTTGGTGTAGATCGAGAGGCCCTTCCACATCATAAAGGCGGTGGAGAGCACGAGGGCGAAGTTGAGCACCTGCGTGAGGCTCCGCCGGAGGTTGGAGAGGTGTGGGGAGAGGCCGGCCAACATGGTGACTGGGGAGCTTGAGATCTTCGCCGGTGAAACTTGGAAGGGTTGAAGAAACCGGGGTGAGTGCCTAAGGACGGGGAGTTGTGGGCGTGTGTGTGCGTGTGTGGGTTGTGGACGGGAGTTAGATTTAATAAATTCCGTCTCGGGTCCTTCCAGACTTCATTTGTAGCTTGTTGCGATTCCGTGATTGAATCAGTGCCTCTCGTCTTTGGAGCTGGGCTGGTTGCGCGGAGACGAAGCTAAAAAGCAAGCTGTCCACTTTCGGCGAGCAGAGAAGCTCCGTTCGAACGTCGTGCTTCAGCCCTAAATTCAACAACCGCAAAACATCACATTCAATACACTCGCTCACCCGGCTATTCTCATCGTTTTGCATTAGATATTTAGCATGTATTGATGGCAAGCACACTGTCTTATCCCGGAAACTAGAATACAAATATAAACCTCTTCTCTACTCAGTGCTCCGTCTCTGCCATCGCTGTTGCAGATCGCGTCTGAGCAAAATCAACAAACCTGATCGAAGCTCTCCAAGGGCAGAAATTAAAAAAAAAGATAAAAGCACACATCTGCAAAACACGCATTCGTTTACACAGAGATCCTAGCAGTCAGAACAAGTGAGAAGATGCTAACAGTCCATAGCAATTATGCCGCTGAGTTGTTCTCTCGTCCGACGGATATATTGGTTAACTATACAGAAGTAGAGGACAACGGACTGCGTCTGGAGCTCAAAGCCCCTGGAGGGACTTCTGATTGGAGATCGCTCTCTTCAGACGCTTCGACATTCCATTCCTCCTCTTCCACTTGATTCTCTGAGCTCGCCCACTGGTCCAGGCCCACCTCTGCAGCTCGTAAGTATGCGCCGATTCTTAGAGCTGGGTGCTTCCTGAGCAAGACCTGGAAGAGGTCACTCTCGGTGATCGACACCGAGGCTAGCTTTCGCGCGAAGTATTCCACGAGGAATGCCCGCATCGGCTCCCTTTCGCGTTCATATCGACCGTCGGAGGCTTCTTCGGTCGTGTACCTTGCCCCATAAGGCTCCTTCCAATGCCAGCTCATGGACGAAAATATCGAGTCCGCGACTTCGATCACAAGCCTTTCATCTAGGTACGGGAATCCAAACTGAAGCTTTCGCACCACGAGCATTTTGAGCCCTGGGAGCTTCAGCACGTGCGCAAGCTGGTAGACATGTTCGCATCGGATGAGCTCCCGCTCATAATCTTCCTGTGTATGCAGCCCTTCCAAAAAGTGAGTTACCGCTCCCGGCGGAGGTGGTTCGGTCGAGAGCGGGTGCTGTCCACCACGGCATTCAATGAGGACGGGGGGATATTCGCCCGTCAAAAGAAAGCTGCCCATCGTCCCGAGATCCTGCTCATTCAGCGACTGAAGGAGAGGAGCCGCCGATGGATCCACCATGGCCATTAGGTGTCTTAGCGGCACCGACATGATGCTTGACTCGTTCCTGATCCCTTGGATGTGGTACTTTCGATCCTCCTTCCCAGCCAGGCGAGCCTGGTATCCCCGAGGACTGGTTCTAGGAATTTTCTGTTCGAAATTGAAGGCGTCCCGGTGTCTGGCAAATATGCCAATTGGGGAGCCCACGTCGTACAGGGGCTTCTCCCGACTATATTTGATGAAACAGCGTTCAGAGCCAGCTCCACGACTCGCAGCTCTCCAGTAAGGGTCCAGTTTGGCTGGGTCGCAGCTGGCCCCCAGATAAACCGTCTCTGCCTCCGGGTCCCATTTTCGGACTGCGCTACACCGCCCTTCGGCCTTGAATTCCGGTATGACCTTCCCCTTGGTGCGATGTGATCTTCTAAAGGACCCGGTTTCTGGAATCATAGTTTCGGGCCTCGAGAAGTTAAATGTTGACGTCACGGTCTACTTAAGATTTGGATATTATGTGACTTTGGAATTCCAAAGGTTCAACACGTTATAGAACTCGAAGCGGAACCATCAGAGTGGCATCTGTGGATTCGGCGTCATTGAAATGCTTGTTTATCTTACAGCTATCCCTTTGGCGTCTGTTGAACACGGGGGGGCAGCTTCGGCCCAAATGTTGGGAAGGTACACGGTGTGGTTGCTTTGATAGCTCGTCATGGTGCTTTGCTTCCCGGCATTGCCATACTGCCCTGGCCGTTGGAGTCGAGGTTGACAGCCCGGCCTATACTCCATATACGTGTAGCTTTCCTGGGGTGTGGATGTTTGATCGCCTCGTAACGGCTCGCTTCGGAACCATAAAATTCACAAAAGTCATGGTTCCACAAGATGCCTCCTAAAGTTGCGCGGTCGCGTTCTAGAGTACAATGAACCTAGGAAGGATGAGAGCCTTTTGCCAACACGACACAATACAGGAAATAGTTTGAGGTGACCGAATCTTTCTCATATTCCAAAATTATCCCTGATCACATCCAACAGTACATTGGGGGAGGCTCGAAGCGAAGAGATATTCAAAGTTCTAACAAAGGAAATTCGTTTGCGAAGGACAGTCGCGGACTGACTGCTTTTCTTCTTCCTTTAGAAGTAGAAAAGGAGGGGAGATTGGAAGTATTGGTGCATGTGTGCAATTTGCAATATTAGAAACGCTGGATACGTAGAGCAGAAACCGTCATTCTTTGCCAAACACCATGGGCTCGATAAGGTTCAATCTGGTGCCATGGTAAAAATGTCTAAACCAACCTGGAATTAGAATGGGAATAGAATGCCAGATGTTTGAGGGGTAATTATCGCTATCAAAAGCAAGACACCGCCCGGACCTGCCTCTTTTCCTAGTCTCTTCCTGTTGAAAACTGTTTCGCATTCTGGTTCAGATTTTGTAAAAATATTCCAATTAGACAATTTGGTTTAATAGCGTCTGAGCTGAATTCGATTTGCTTGAGCAGCAAATGCTGAAGGATACATCTTCTTTAGATGACCTTGGGAGAGCGACTGTTGCTGTTAGAAGTAAGTCGTGGATGTTGGCAGTTGTGCAGAAACCCCCCCCAAAAAAAAAAAAAAAAAAAAAAAAAGGGCGCAGATTAGCCTTAAAAGAAATCAAGCGATAAAGGGTTCGTACCTGATCTCCACGATGTCATCGATGTGATTGCACATCGCTACGAACAGATCGAAAAACAGTTTGCCACCTGTTTCCATCTCCATCTGCATTGTTCCACTTCTCTTGAAAGTCTTGCGACTTCGAATGATCAGGGCTAGGAAATGAGCTCGGAGACGAGACTCCGTATCTGGCGTATTGTCGTACGCATACCGAGCCGATCGAAGTATCACATCGACTGGGATTCCGGTTTGGAGGCCCTGCTTTTTAAGAGCTAGGCTCTTCAACTCATCCAAGCCATACTTCTCAGCGGCACAGTATATGGCAGTGTCCCGAAGGACATAGTTGCCCACGCCGGAATGGAAAACGACCGATTCACTTGAGCCTCGGCCACCGGTTTTATGGGGCCCCTGAGCGTCCTCGAGGTACCAAGAGTTACGGCGCTTACTGTGCAGCAAGCGTGGATAGTAGTCACCCTTGTAAAGATATTCGAGAACGCAGGATAGAATTTCGGGTTCTCTGGAAGACATGTTAGGTCCACATTTCGAGACGAGGAGACGGGTATGAAAAGTGAATTACGAACTCGTCAGGCAGATCAATCTGTTTCGAGCTGCCATCAAGAATTTGATCCTTCAAAGCAGCCGAAAAGAAAGGAGAGAGCGACAGGACATCCTCATGTGCAGCAAAAAGCCGCTGATCTCGACCTACGACCAATGTCACGATAGGGCTGGTGAGGTTGCTGGACGGACGTCAGTTTTCGGCTCAACGTGTTCGAGAAAGAAATAGCTATAACGCACCTCCCCGCTGGCGGGCTGTCCAATTTCTCCTGCACTCTGGCCTTTGTTTGGTCGCGATACGTCTTTTTGATGGGCCTGGCCGACTTGCCCACTCGATCCCTTGATGAAAAGGAGCGTTTGAACATCGCGTTCAGAGCCACAGAAGGATTGACAAGACGGGATTCGACGAGCACAAAACCAAAAGACCGAACGAGCGGCGGAAGAATCCCCACCTCATATATATGTTGTGTGAAAAGAGCGGACGGGCTTTTCGCCGACTTGATTTGACGCTGATCGATCACGCACGTTGCATGGGAGCCTTGGAAAGCCGTTTTCCAGGAATTACGTCCGGATCCTATCTTCGATTTCTCATCGGGAGAGAAAATGACGACAGAAGAGACGTGTACCCTTGGAGGAGGCTTTGCGCACGAGATACCATTCGGAGATGAACCTCGTGCGGGGGTTGACTGGCCGGCTCTGCGAAGCGTGAGGAAGAGAAACGAAAGACGAAGCCGGACGGGCGAGGTTGATAGATAACACCGTAACTATCTGATCATGTGATTCCCAGGCGTGCTGCCGCTAATCTGACCAACGAGTTTTAACTTGTTAATATTATTATGGACTTGTGAACGAGCGGGATCAGGCGAGGCGAGGTGGTGACAAGGCAGCCATCTCACCAACCGCCTCCCACACCCCCACTGCGGGATCGTTGACGACAACGTGCCTCGCAACGGGCCAACTGGCCAGCCGCCCTCTCGACTCGATCCCGTCATCGAGTCGGGGATGAGTCAATCTCCAGACTGGTGTTGGCTTCCCAAGTGTCTGGGTCCGCTGAACCCAGAGCTTTTTTTAAATCAACCCTAGAGATGTGGCGACCGGGGCCTCGTAACCTGGGCTGCTAACCCCTGTCTCCTCGCCTGCAGTGGATGTGTGATGGATGCCACACCACACACCTGTCACGCAGCATTCTTCAGGTACGTTGGCCGGAATGGCTGCTCACGAAAGGTGCGACAAAGATGAATTATGGAGACAGCCAACCCGGCCCCTTTTGTCCAGGTGGAATAGCTCGCCGGACTTACCCACATAACCTTATCGTGACAGCACCTTTCACAGTCACAGAACCCAGGAACACCCGGCAGGTGTGACATTATACTGTACATTCCTTCTGCGCTCATTTTTATTTAGACACACAACGTGCATGTATTCTCGAAACTTCCACCGGCGGTTTTCTCAACTACCTGAAGTCGATCCCGGTTTAATTCTCGACACAGCATCATGTTTCTATCTCGTCGGGGCCACTTCTAATGAAAATGATACCTTGCTGCACAGTAAAATGTGCTTGCAGTCATTGTGAGCAAGAGAAATTGTGGTTGTTCCTAGCTTGGCGATGGCGCAATCCAATTTGACGGGCTTATACTCCGTATACTACCAGTGTTTATACACTCACTCAGGGATCCAAGCTCCAAGGATCACCGACGCGAATCCTGCGTAATGCCAGGCTAGAGGAGGATACAGCCGGAGCGCACGGAGGAGTAGATATCTGTCTTTTTTTACTCCGTAGTCCATATCCCATTATGATATACTCATCCTACATCGTGGGTTGTTTTTGCTGGGCACTGTAGGCATTTCTGGAAGTTTTTGTCTCCACACGACCACAGCTCTCTCGGATTGCATTGAGCTCGAAGCCGAGATAGAGGGTGGTGGTTTTGAAGTTGACGCCCAAACAAGGGGAGGGATTCTACATTGGCTTGAATAAAACCCTTTTGTTTTTTGTAAACCTATGAGAATGAAACACTGACAGAGAACCGGGCTGGCTTGATTTGCTGCTGTCTTTCTCACCCCGAGTATAAATCAAGGCTGGCTGATTGGCGGTTCGCCTGAGAGGCTGAAGCTTGCACCAGCCACTTAGCTAGTCCGTGCATTAAGCTTTGCGGGGTCAATTATGCAGTTATGTAACTTGCATGTGGCGGTGCATTTCCTAGCAACTTCGGTGTGGTGCACGGACCAATTAGCTCGCTGCTGTTGGTCAGGCCAATAGTCCGTACATCACAGGTTCTGTTCTCTTTAGTCGAAGATCTTGAATTGTCCACTGTCCAAGTGATCCTGAGGTGTTATGAAGTCAGTGTACGGTACCCAGTGCCCAGTGCAAGTGCTTGCCTAATAGTCGAATATCTTGGTTGCATTTTTTTTTTTTTTTTTTTTTTGGTGAATCATCATTTATCGATGTTCTCGGGTCTGTCGTCGATGATCGGCTGAGGCAGGGCTTGGTAGAGTGGCGGACTCGCGCTAAGCCCCATCAGGTAACGGTCGACTCCGGCTCTGACGCCTGCAGGCTGCGGTGGGGTTCCATTCCCAGATGCCAAAAAGGCGGCCCGGTTAGCTAACTTGATAACAGATCTCATTATTGAAATGTTTAGACGATTGTTACCGACATTTTGAATAGCAAGTGATTTATTAACAGATAGTTTTCCCTTTTTTTGAGTTAATACCTACTCCATCATAGTTGCTCCCCCGCGTTGGCGACAACTTTTGGTGCCTAAGGAGCTTCGCCAGCTTCCCCGCTTCCTATAGTAGCATGGCGATGAAATACTTCAAAGTCATCAAGGAGAGAGTCCCTTTCACCAAGCACGCGACGAAACCACACAATCCAATTTTAACCGACGAAGAAGAAGCGTTTCTTAGCCAAGTTGCTAACTCCCCCGAGAAAACCAGGGTGGATCATGGTGGCGACGCGCAGGTCGCGTTGATGAATGGTGCGCAGAATATACCCTTACCGGCGTCTCCGCAGGAAGAGGACGACTTGGACAGAGAGTTTGCGTTCGAAGGGAGTAGGGCGAGAACTTCTGAAGAGGTAAAAGGGGAAGAAAAGTCAGTGGCGTCGCCAAAGAAATGGAGACGTTGGAGTTGGATGCCGGGTAAGGAAGTGCATGATAAGACGGAAAAAGATAAGGCTGGAGAGGTCAGAGCTGCTCAATTTCAAGGGGGTTAACGATAAAATAGGACGAAAATCCCTAGTTAATGCTTTTTTTTATTATTATTTTAGGAGCCCCCTGTAGCCGCAGACGACGAGGTTAAGAAAGAAGAGCAAGATATTTCCGAAGTTCTGGAAAAGCTGAATCTCGCTGCGATAAACAACCGAGTGTTTTCGATCAGCGACGAAACTCAAGAGCTGTTGGAAAAATTCAAGCTTGTGTTCAGGGACCTGGTAAACGGCGTCCCGACCGCGTATAGGGATCTGGAGAGTCTCCTTACGAATGGGGACAAACAACTGCAAAGCACGTTTGACCAGCTTCCCGACTTTTTGAAGAAGTTGATCGAACAGCTACCGGATAAAGTGACAGGAAAGTTTGCACCGGAGATATTAGCTGCTGCGGCAGAACGCGCTGCGCAGCATGGGGTCAACGTAGAAAATGCGGGCAAGGCTGCTGGTGCGGCGAAGAAGATGGGGTTCAAGGTGCCCAGCCTCAAGGAGCTTGTGGGAAAGCCGGCTGCGGTTGCGGGAATGTTGCGGTCTATTATGACATTTTTGAGGGCGCGATTCCCGGCGCTTATGGGCATGAATGTCCTGTGGTCATTGGCATTGATGGGTGAGTGATATCCTTTACAACAAGACCGATCGCTGACAACTTTTCCCCCCAAGTTCTCCTTTTTGTCCTATGGTACTGTCACAAAAGAGGCCGCGAGGAGCGTCTCGAAAAGGAGCGCATTTCTCGAGAAACATCTGCCTCCAACCTTGACAACACAGTTGGGCCGGCAGAGAACCTCATCATCACTTCTGCAGAGAACGCACCAATGGAAGCCGCTGAAACAGAAGGTGAAGGCGCCCAACAAGCACAGCGGGCCCCGGTATCGTCAGGAGAAGGCAGAGGGCCGGTCGCCTCGCTCCCTGCATTTACCAAGAAAACACGTCGCAAGACAGTTGAACCGTATGAGGGGACGTAAAGCCCGAATCCTTCTGATCTCGGCTTGAGGAGACGGATGTCCACGTCAAGTCGAAGCTAGTTTTGTTACAATAATAGCTAGGGAGGTTGGGATCCATGGACGCAGGTGCGGGCCCGCTGGGGACAAAGCGGTCAGAAAGGAATTTGTCCTCGAAATTTCTTCGACGTCTGGAAGGAAAAGTTACGTTGTGGTATTTTCGACAATTTTGTTACTTTATTTTATTTTTTTCTCATTATATTTTTGGCTATGATACCATATTAGGGTGTTATGTTTTTGTTTGACAGATATGGCCTTAATTTTGAGGTTCTTTTCACCCCCCCCCTCATGAAGCCCAGCCCATCTGTTTGATCGACAGTCATTATTATTCCGTCGGCAATCCCACGGTGGCGCTCAGGCAGCCATCAGATCAAAAGGTGGCTCGTAGCTTTTTCAATTTTTTTTTCGGCGTTCCTTGTTTCGAGTGGGTCCAGATATGCAGGAATAGACCAACCGGAGAACGGGATCGCGTTGCATCATGATGCCAACCCGCCCGCCCAGTGGACAGCGAAGGGTGAAAAACAAAAAAAAAAAAAAGAAAAGAAGAGGGAGAACCAAAGCTGGAGGGGAGTAAGTTTGGAGAGTAAGAAATTCTAGCCCACGTCGAGATGTTTATCGGCCTTGTGTCGGCGCGAAGATAGGGAATGGGGTTTCAACACCTGGCCGCGGGGAGATGCATGTCATCTGCAGGACCTTCTCTGTTCCTTCAAAAAGATCAGTCCACTGGAGAGTAACCCTTGCTGTCGAGTCGGTTGAGCTAAAAAAGTCCCGGGAATTGTCAAAAATACGAGGTGTCGCATGTCTGTCACAATGCAAGAGTGAGGGGTGGAAAATGGCCTTTTAGCCTCTCCGACTCCAAGACTTGAGTCTTGACTTTGCTGGCCCAGGGAAATGCATAGGATTGAGTTGGGAAGGGAGAATCCATATCGTCACCTTGAAACCCTGTAGATCTGGAGAGCAGGCTGGCTGTGACCGTGCACACGCACGATTTGACCGTGCAAGGGGCGTCGCTGCGGGATTTGGGTATCACGATATTCGGCATCAGCGGCGCGAGGCGGATAGGAGGAAAAAAAAAAAAAAAAGGCAGCGCTGAACCAGACATCAGAACGGAGCAGAAGCAAAGCGCAGAGTTGACTGACTCTTGACTCCGACCCAAGCTTGCCGTAAATTACATACAACCATACCCCCCTGTACATTCTGCTGCACCCCACACGAGCTCCCCCTCGAAGTCCCTGCAACTTGGTACCTCTCCATAATAAACTTGGTGCAGCGTGACTTTCCGGCGGCGTTGCTGGCCCAAAAGACGGTGAGATTGCCGGCCAATCATGTCGCTGGACGCCGAGGTACGGTACGGTAAGTTCGGATTATGACTGTGTAATGCTGTGAAATGCTGTTACGCACCCGCCCCACCGGCACCATCTCCAGCCAATCAGGGTGCGTCCGCTGCAATGTAAATCCGAGCCGACAGCAGACCCGGCCGCGGCCAGCCCCCCCAGCGATTGGTCCAATGATGGCCTGATGATGATTCTTCTTCCTCTTTTCTCCCTCTTTTCTCCCTCCTCCTCTTCCTCTCTCCTCCAGCACTCCAGCACAACCACCCTGTTCACCCAGAACCCCCTTTCCAAAGCTAATCCAGATATTGAACGTCAGTACTAACCCAAATATTGTCGAGTACGCCCGCCAAATGGCTGTCGCTGGGCTCTAAATCTCCTTGCTGGGGGGCATGGTCTCCATGCTCCTCCAGTCCACGAGAAGTCCAACGAGGAACAATCTACTTGACTCGACGATATTTGCGAAACTCTTTCGGCCGCCGCTTCGAGCGTCGAAATTGCCCCTACTACGATCATAAAAGAAAAGAGCACGACGTCCACAAGGGTTGGAGTTTGTTAATGCTATCGGATCTCTCTCGATTACTCCCCCTCTATATCCCTCTCTCTCTCTCTCTTTCCATTTTTTTTTCTTTGCTTCAATTGCTTCTATCCTCTTTTCGGTAGCTCCTCTTACTCTTGTATTTCACCATCCTCTCCGCCCCGCGCACGTCGATTTCACCCTATAACTACACCTTGGCCCGAGTCCCACGCCGCCTATCGATTTCTGATACGTTTTATCACGACAAGATCCTCCAACAACACAACACTAGAGCCTTGCATCTATCCGTCCCTTGCATCATGCCTAACTCCGAAGCTTACCAACAAAGGCCATTTGCTTCCGCGAGTGCTCGTTCCGGAAGACCCCGCTCTTCTGGAGGAGATACTGGCGCCTGTCCTCCCCCTTCTGTCCTCCTCGATACACCAAACGCCGGGCTTATTTCCCCCTCGAACCAAACGAAGAAGCAAGACCTTCAACAGCCAAAGACACCGCTGTTTAAAGATTTAAATAATACTAATCCAAAAAATAACAAGAGAAAGAGGCCCGCATCCGCTTCGGATGACTCCTCTTCTTCAGACACCGCCGATTTTGACCACGAGGAAAGTGACGATGATAATGCTGAAGACGATGCGGAAGAAGATGCTGAAGAAGATGAGCCGGCAGCTTTTGCCCCGTCTTATGGTGGAAAAGGAAGAAGTAACCGTAAGGCGGGGCTTAAACTCGGCCCATCGTACCTGAAAAATGGAAAAAGGTTGAAGATCGAGAATGATCGCACTGGCGGCGAAGTCGCCAGCGAAGAAGAATATATGGCCGGTTCAGTCAGCTCTGTTTCCTCCGTCAGTTCCGTCAGTGCTGACGGTTCTGTCGTGTCTGAAGACTCCGATGCAGACTACGAGGGGGTGTGCTACGTCACAGATGGCGATGATGAGGATTTAGAGGTTGAGAAACTTGAAGAGGAGATGATATTGGATGAGTTTCAGCGCGACCGTCCTAGCGTAGGGATGAGAAGCCTTGGGGACGAGTGGAGTGGATTCGATGATCTTGAAAGTCGACCTCTATACTCTGCTGGCTCATTTTTCGATGATGAAATTCTTTCACCAGATAATAACGCTCAATTTGTCATCAACTTTGGTTCTGATACCCCACCTTGCGATCTTCCTGCGTCAAGGCGCGTTCATTTTGCCGAATCTGACGGTGACTCGTCAGATTCAGATCAAACCTCTGATGACGAGCTAGTCTCGGATTTCTTACAGCAAGATAGCCTTGACCCTGATTTGAGACGCATGATCGAGAACGATAGTGATGCACGCAGGACCACCCGGAGCTCGCACGACCTTTTTTCGAGCTATGATTTCTATGAGCTCCCGAGCAATATTTACCATGTCGAATCCGATAGTGATTGTAATAGTTTCTCCAGCGGTTATGAATGTAAGTGGCCTAGGCTGAAACGGAATCATATTTTTGTTTTCCTTTTTGTCGCTGATTCTTTGAAAAGCCGATGGCGGGGAAACTACGGACGAAGAGGACTATCCTCCACCTGCGACGATAACCCATCCCAGATCAATCCTTCGTCGTGATTCTAGTGCTTCACCGTCACCAGATGAGGAAGAGGAAAACCAACGGCCACAGTCATCTCGTAGACGTGGACCCCTTCGGGGAACATTCATAGCTGATCCACATAAGCCCGTTGCCGTCGTAGCTCCCAACGGCAAGCAACTTATTCTGATTCCCCCCTACGCTTCTTATCGACATGACTGGCTCGAATCAGCAGCGAATAGCTTGGCAAACACCGCTGCCAATAGTCCTCAGCCTATGGATGATAGTGACACTGATGTCCAGTCCGCTCATGCTGAATGCAAGGTTTTCAGCCCCATGTTGGCCATCACTCCGAGCCTTGTGAAGACTGGCTTAGTTGGCAACGATCCTGCTCTTCAGATGACAGGGCCACCCGAGGCATTTTATGCTGATCGGGCATATCTTCTCCAAGCGATTGAAGACGAAGAAGACGACGATGACGATGACGACGACAGCGAAGCGGCACTTAACGTTGATGATTTTATCGATTTCGGGGATGGCTCTTCAGACTGCGAGGCCGGTAAGACGTTGGATGATGCTGATGAAGTAACATCTCCCGCCGTTGCTCCATCCGTCAACGTCGACTTAACTCCCACCCCGAACCGAACCGCTGAAGTTTCTCAAGCGAACAGCGCCGAACGTCTTCTGAACCACCTCGACCGCGGGATCGTTACTGCCTTCCGTCGAAATCATACCCGCTATCAGACTCTGATCCGTTTGCCACATCACCGGGAGTTCATGCCGGCCAACTCACCCTCAAGCCTTTCAAGTGCTTTCAGACGTTCCAAATTGACCGACTCGCGAACCCCGCCACGTCGACGTAAAACAAGCAGCTACTTTGGTGGAGAAGCAGTTAGAAGGAAACTGCTCGATTCTCATCGGAGAGAAACCACTACAACGTGATCCGTCCTCATCAAAAAACCACCCGCTTCGAGTGCGGCGAACGCACTCTAATATCTTGACAGTCTGGCCAGAAATTTTGGAAACGCAGTGTTCGGACAAAGCCCACGGTTGGTACATCACCTCTTCCTACTTGTCTGATCTACCTGATATGTCTTGGAGTATCTGTCATTTTCCCCATAGATTCCCTTCTATTTCTGAAAGAGGATAATATGGTGAGTGACTGCGATATCAAAAGATTGAAGGAAAAAAAAATAAGTAAAAAGAGAAAACACAATCTATGTGTATGTGTTGATTATGCACGACACCCTTGCTAAAAGCAGATAGCACCATGTGCTTTTATTTTTGGCATGTATCTGCTCATGCATGAGTGTGTCTGTGAAATGAATTTCCTTTGTTTTGCCGAGTACATGCATGATTTATGGATTTTATTATTTGATGCTGTTTGGCTTTTTCTTTTTTTTTTTTCCCCCTTGTTGTATCCTCTTTATTCTTATTTTTGAAAACTTGATTATTATGCAGGTTTATACTCAAAGCCCCTCTCCGGATATATCATTATTCCATAGCCAGGAGCAGCGCTGAATTGAACGCCTTCATGTGTCCATCTCGTGCATGAAATGCTTCGCTGCGCCTTGCCCTGGCAATTTCACACCTCCTTCTCCCTGGGCCGAAACGCAATCCCTGACTCGAAGCCAAGAACCAGACTTTTCCACGCATGAATGTTTGAAGTGTCCATGTTTTTTTCACCCCCGTTTTTCCCTCCCTTCTGGTTTTGAGTTCGTGGCGTGCGTGGCTTTCCCCTTATCGGTAGTGGTTATCTGGAAGTCGGGGTACGATCGCGGCTTTACTGTTACCAAAAGGGAAAAAAAAAAAAAAAATAAAAAATAACAAAAAGCCGAAAAAAAGGAGATTTCAAAAAAGATGTCTTATACGAACCAAGCTATGCTCCGTACATGTAGTGGTAATTAACTCGCCTGTTGAGAGATCTTAAATGCTAAGTTTTTTATTCATTATTTACTTCCTGCTGCGCGTACTCCAGTATAGATTCAAAATTCGCTGTCAATTTCTACACACAAGCGGATATGCACGGTAATAATCGTTCGTGTTACTCCGTCCATGAAATGCATATGACACATTGGGTATAGAGCAATTGGAGAATAGAAAGAAATACAGAACATCCAGGACAAGCAAAAGGGGAAACAACTGCAGTGCAAAAGGAATGGCAAAATTACATAGATCATATTTTCAACAACCGGGCAAAAATAAAAAAGTCAAAAAGGTGCCTTGTCCGGAAAGGGGGAGGAAAAGCCGGGGGGAGGGGAGCTCAGGCCCCCGATCGCACCATCGTAAGATCCCGGCGACATTGACAAACTATCCATTGTCATGCGACTAGGGGAGACAACCACTCGTTCCTCTGCCCCTGTACGGACTGCCCTGTATCCGTTTACAGGGATACTTCCATGGGCAATTGTGCAGCTATATTTATCAGGGAAGAGTCGGCTGCGTGCATGGGAGGAGATATAGGTTCTGAATTAATTGCAGAACCATATCCAATCAATCATATGAATACCTACGTTAGTTCTGGACGTCCGCCTGCCTTTAGGTGCAGGAAGAGGAAAAGAAAAGCCCTCCAACAGCGAGTGTAATATGTCAAGCGAGAGAAGGGAGTAGAGGTATGAATCACCCTGTTTTACGCTTGATCACTTCCACGACCAGGGGGGAGTCTATCTCCTCATTTTTCCTACAGGTTAGGTATGTTCGGATTGGTTTTGCGGTGCTATCAAGTTTTTTTTCTCAGCCGTTCGGACTCCATCATTGAAAAGAGGAGGTGAAAACCTACACGTTTCCCACCGCCAAGGGCGACCTTAAAAAGGCCATCTGTCTCACCAAACCCCTCTTTCTAAGCGCTTGGGTCAATGTATCCTCCTTTACATCCAGACCCAGCGCGTTGACCACCTCCTGATACGTCATCTGACGATTCTGTATGGAGGAGGTTATAAAGGTTTCGATCTCGTCGAGCTTTTCGTCAGTAAGGCGCCTGGCTCTCCCAGGCCGACGCTTGGGAGAGGCAGAGCGTTTCTGGCAGGTATATTGGACGGCGCCAAAGGGCACGTTCAGGTGTTTGCAAATCTGGTGGTACGTGTGGCCTAGACTACGCATGAGGAGGATGTCGCGTCGTTGGTCGCGTGTGAGGCAGTGGCGGTGTGGCTTGATGGATTTGGAGGGTTCGGGGAGCGGGGATTGGGTTGAGGGAGGGATGATGGAAGAGGGAGACGAGGAGGCGGGGACAGTGGCGGGATGGAGGGATAGGTGTGGAATAGGCGGTTGTGGTGGTGTAGGAGGTACTAGTTTGGTAGCTTGGGCCTGTGGTATCGACGCCGACTGCCCATTGTTTTCATGGGGCGATAGCGGCGCCGGAGAGCGAGTTTGCTTCAGAGGTCTATCGGTGGGGGAGGTGCCCGCCGGAGGGAGAGGGGTCGTGGCGGCGGTGGACGAGGTCGGAGAGAGGGGGGTGTCCATCGTTGGCGGATGGTGGTGCTATGGGCTCTGTAGACTATTCGTGTAGTCAGGGGCGCGAGTGTGCATGCATAGGAGGTACAGGAAGTAACACATCCAGGCCACTCAGACAGCCGGTCTGGACAAGATGCATCAGTTGGGATGGTCTTCTCATTGGATGCATGATTGTCGAATAAGAACATGTTCGCCAGACAGGGTAAAAGGAGAAAAGGTGCCCCAGGTCCAGCGTGACTTACTCCGAAGCCAGGAGTGGTAAGGCTCGCAGCCAGCCCCCGAACCACCAGTTCGCAAGCGCAGAATGGATGATTCGTCGAGTGGCTCCTGGAGAGACGGCGCTAGGAAAAAATAGTTTCAAAGTGAGACCCTGGAGAGAGGAATTGGCGCCTGGCCCGAAGAGGGGGAGGAGGACAGGTTGAGGTTTGCGGAAGAGAAAATACTTTGATGTCAGGAAAGAAAAGTCTCCAGGGTGGAGCTGGCGCTAAAGAGCGACAGCAGAGCTGCAGATCCGGGGGGGATTTGCCGGCCAGTGATCTTCACGTTCGAGGTTCTTCAACCGATGTTCGTCATGGCAGCGTGCAGAGACGATCGATCTCGATTTCCACCCAACCCCAATGCGGTTCTACTGTATCTCTCTCTCTCTCTATATCTCTGTGTTTGTTTGGCGGCGGTTAGGCAAAAGCCCGGCGAGTGTCTGCGGTGACATCAGAGATACCTCTTTCTGGGTGGCAAACCCGGCACCAAATCAGGTTCCGCGGAGGTCAATCGCCAAATCCAGCTTCTCCTTGCGGACTAGCGCCAAGCAACCAACCAGCCATTACATAATCCACCGAGCTTCAGGCTTTTTCTGGCTTTTCAACCACCGCTCGGATCGCGAAACCAAGCGACGGACTGCGCTCGAACCCACACAGGCTACGGGGTACGAGGACACTATTATCGCCCTGTCTATGGGGTAGTTTGTTGGTTTGTTCAGCTAGGCTCGCGTGTCTCACCGCCATGCATGATCTTGCCCACTCCCACGTTTTAAACACCTTCGCTTGCTTCGGAGAACTACGCGAATTGGCTCCGAGCTAAGATGTCTTATTGATTCTACCCCTCCTCGCGATTGGGCACCACGCGGTTTCGCCTGGTTTCATAAATCCTTCTAGCTCCTTCGTTAGTTTGGACAGATGGGGCACTGGCTTTCCTGCCTCACAATGGTTCACTCTGATGCGGATCTGCCATCGCTGGTGGAAATGTATGGACGCCTGGATCGCCCGGGATCCTGTTCCTGTCATTCGTCCGGCATGTCACCACCGGCGATTCGCCCTGAACTCTCGAAGCGCATCCTGCAGGGGGCCTGTTAAAAATAGCGATACCTCCAATTGTGGTTTCAACTACTCCGTACTCCGTACGGAGTAGAGCAAAGTCACACCTGGCGCTAACGATGGCCAGCCCAAAACTTGAGACTCGAAAGAGAAACCCTAGGCGGATGAAGGAGTTTCATGCACTGCTCTTTTTGCACATCGGTGGGCCGAAACAGCCGAGTGAAAAGAAAAAAAAAAAAAAAAAAAAAAAAAAAAGGATCTTAACTTGCAGCGTTTATGTACATCCATGTCCTGCACGCGATCCTCTTAAGGACGCTATCCGCTTTATCCGGTAGCAACTATTGGCTAGTTGCGTTTTCGGTTCCTGGCTAGCGAAAAAGAGGAACTCAGGTCCAGCATGCAAGCTCTCGGACTTTGGCGTTGAACCAACGTTTCATGGTTTGGCATCCTTCTCTAGCCTAGCGATTGTTGGACTTCCAAACTCGCCACCGGCTTCGTGAGCCTTGCAATGGAGAAGACATTGCATATCCAGCCACTGGATGGGCCTTTAGGCCCCTCATGATTCGGAAAGTCAATTTCTAGTTCGCTGCATCGCAGCGCCAGGGGTTTCTCCTCCAGCTTCTGACGAGTGCTTCCGGAACCCGTCTGTGCTTGGCCTCCTTTGAAGGAGCCAAACATATATATACCAACATACCCAGAGCTCCTTCTCCGTGTTTGATTTCTCTGTCAGTTGTTCTAGTTTGGGCTACCAAACCTCTTTTCTTCTTCTATCATTGTTTTTACAGTATTGCTGGCTTTTTGTTTTAGTCTATCAACTCAGCATTCACTCGTTGTAATTCAAAGCCAGTCATTTTATACATAATAATTGCCTGCGGCAAGCCATCTCTCTCTCTCTATATATATATCTCTCTGCATCTATCTCTTCCTCCCTACTTTCAGCAAGTCTGATTCCATCTATTACTGAATAAATAATCGTTTTCGCCTTGACTCTTCCGCTCTTTTCACCATGAAAATCTACCAGAGTACCGCCGTGCTCTGGCTCATTGTCCACCAAGCAAGCGCTACCGTATGTCTCCTATGCTTGTCGATTCATGTGGACGAACTCAATGTGTCTAACGGGAATGTTTAGCTGTGGGGCCATGGCTCTTTTCCGTTCTTCAGAACCCCTCTGAGATGTGACAACGTGTGCACTCCTGGCCAGGAGAAAGGCTATGATTGGGGTGGCATTGGCCTTGGCCTTATCGACCTCTTCGACGACTTCAACTTCTCGGGCTTCACCTGCAAAAATATCCTTGATTTCAAGAAATGGACTGGGAAATTCCAAGTATGACCGTCGAGACTCTTGTCATATACCTTTATTTTGCTGACTGTGGAATACAGGACAAATGCATCGAAGGAACTCTGCAGAAGGACAAGTCGCTCTGTCCCACAATCATTTCCAGCAGAAGGAAAGGGTTTTCTATTGATACCTTTCATATCACTGTTGACATCGATATTGATGTTGCCTTCGAGTATAACATGCCTGATGGAAAGACCTGCAGAGAAATCCATCCATGCTCCCCGGGAGGATCTATCATCAAGAATACCCAGTGTGGAGGTGCCACTTCGGTGTCCTTCTTCATCCCCAGTTTTGCTCTGAAGGCGAAATGCAAGTTCGCCATCCACAAAATCATTTTCAAGTGCGGTCCTCCACAGTTCACAAAGACTGTTGTTCCCAGCTTGCCTGCTTCAACCACAGACATTACTTTGTCGACTCAGCCGACTCGCCCCTCAACCACTGAATCTGTTGACGTTACAACCACAAGTGCGCCGTCTGTGACTACTTCCACCGAGGGTGGAAACACCCCCGGTCAAAGCAGCACCGACATTATTCCAGGCGAAAGTTCTACTGTGATTATTCCAGGCGAAAGCTCGACTGTGATTGTACCAGGCGAAAGCACGACTGAGGTTGTTCCAGGAGAAAGCACCCCGGTCATCACCCCAACTGTTTCTCTGTCAACCTCGACTGTGTTTACAACCAGCCTTGTTACCATCACTAGCTGTGCTCCAGACGTTCCAGACTGCCCGGCCCAGTCACAATCTACCGTTGTTGTCACTTCTACCGTTGCGATCTCTACAACGCTTTGCCCAATCACAATTACCCCAACTGAGCCAGCGGGTCCAAGCAGCACGCCAGGAATTCCAGGACAACCATCTCAGCCCGGCGATGACAGCTCCAACGTTCCCATCCCTACAGAAATCACCCAGACAAACGTCCCAGGCCAACCTAGCACAACCAGCGGAGCTTCGCGTGTTGAATCAACGCCCAATGTTCCAGGACAGCCATCTCAGCCCGGCGATGACAGCACCAACGTTCCCATCCCTACAGAAACCACCCAGACAAACATCCCGGGACAACCAAGCTCACCCCAAAACTCCTCTCCAGTCGAGTCTACTCCAAATGTTCCCGGGCAGCCAACCACGACTAGCGGTTCTTCGCCTGTCGAGTCGAGCCCAAGCATTCCAGTACCAACCTCTCCATGCCCGGATGTCGTTCCCAAGTGTTTTAACACCTGGTTGGAACTTCTTCCCAAGTGTAACTCTAACAGCGATGCTAGCTGCTTCTGTCCATCCTCAGAGTTCACTTCTGAAGTTATCAAATGTATTGAGGCTTGGGGTGCCTCCGATGAGGAAGTCCGGACCGCTATTTCGTTCTTCACTGGTATCTGCGCTCCATACATCCCTAAGAACCCTGGAATCATCACCAAGGTTCCCACTTACATCCCCATCGGTCCACCCCCAACTGCTACCGCCCCAGCTGGCGTTACTGTTACTCAGACGGTTCCGTGCACCACCATCACTGTTTCCCAAGTGATTACCCTGACTAACGCCGAACCGACCACCCTCACCACCGAAATTACTGTTCCTCAAGTCTCCTTCACGACCGGTGGGCCTGGACCCAACCCAACCGTCGACCTTATCCCCGGCCCCGCGCCCGCCCTTTCTACCCCGTCCGGAGAGGCCGGCCCGGGTGCATCTACCCTCCTTACCGTGCCAGCCACTGCACCTGGCGGGCCAAGACCTACCGGCCCTGAAGAGTTCACCGGTGCTGCCGCGTCGTTCTCCGTCTCAGGCAGATTCCTCTTCAGCGCCGCCGCTGCAGCGGTTGGCTTCATTGCGCTTCAAATGATGTGATTATCAGATGCACTATAGGCAATTAGTGCTTTACATTCCCTCTCTAGATGACCTCTTTGCTCTTATCCTTGTTTATATCATATTCTCTTACTCTTTTTTTGTTTACCTCCAATCCCTTTGGACGAGGACAAAATAAATACCAAACCCTGGTTTGCACTACTCAGTACATGTCTTTTCTTATTTTTATTCTCCATGCATGATGGCTATTGATGGTGTGACTTGAATCTCATATAGAGTGTAATTATCATGTGTTCTGACATTTCGGATATACCATTGACCATAGTACTGGTTAATATCAATTAATATGTAAATTATAATTCAAAACGAATCTTTTCTATTTAAAGACTGTTTTTTTTTCGGAGGGGTACTTGAAAGGGTGCATGTACTGTACATATATACTGCGTACTGAAATCCTACAACCCGGGCAATGATATGGTGAAAGCTTCAATCGCACTAGAAATCGAGGCTTAGAATTCTACGCGACTTCAGTGCAAATGTCTGGTGATACTTTTATGGAGAGTATAATGAAAGAACCTTTCTAGAGACCCCAACAGAAATGAAAGATAAGGAAGAATAGGATTAGATGCCCGCCAACATGCGGAGTTATGCTGATAATTATATCTAGAAAACGAGAAACAGCCGTTTAAGATCATCGTACATCATATATATATTTTGGTCATTAAGCCTTGAGAGCAAGGCAAGGAAATTCGGAAGGGCAAAAATTATCATCCCACTCTGATCCCGACGGCAGCACTTTTGGCATCCGTTCAAGATCCCGTCAAAAAGAGACAAACAGCTCATCCGCCCTAGCCAAACACCAAGCACCTCACCTCGATGCTCTCCCTGCCCCTAGCGCCCACCGGCGTCCTCGGATCTACAAAGGCGGTATGCGGCACTCTCTTCCCGGGCGCACCCTCCTTCGAATCCGAACATTTTAACAGCAACCTCTCATCCCCGCCGATCCCGGACCAATAGTACCACTTCTGCGTGGGGGCATACAGCACCGTGGCGGTCTCGCCCGTACGATCTGGATACCGATGCTCGACGGGGACCAAGTCGGCGTCGTCGACGGAGAGGGAGGATGCGAAGGCTAGTGGCATGTCCTGCACGGGCCCGTTGAGCGGGCGCCAGACGTTGATGATGCGATAGCGGCCACGCAGCAGTTGCTCCGCTTCGTCGGCGGGGAGGTGATATTTCACGCGCTCGGCGGCGCTGTAGGGTGTCTGGTCGACGTGTGCACGGGTCACAGGTCCGCGAGGGGCGTCCGGGTTGCTGCGGCGGATGGTGTGGTCGAAGATGACGACGCGGGTGGCGCCGGGGACGTGAGTGAGGATCAGGTCCTCGACTTCTGGGTAGTAGACGGACTTGATGTTTGCGTCGTCGGTGAAGGAGGGGTCGGCTTTGGTTGGGGGCACGTTCTGGAGGGCCTGGAAAGCGTCGCGGTCGAGGGAGAAGTTGGCTTCGTGCCCGCGGATGTCGGTGATGGAGACCTTCTGGGGGACCTCGATGAGGTTGGATTGGGGTTGGCCTGGTGGTGGATTTTCGACGTAGTAGAATGGTTTGGAGCCGTCGGGAGGTGGGTGCCAGAAGGCTATGGATGCCTCGACGGGCCCGCGTGGGATGTAGCTGGGATCGTTCGCCGTGGTGGTGGTGGTGGTGGCGGCGGCGGCAGCAGATGGTTGAGAGACGATTGCCGTCGACATGGTGGAATCCGGATATATCTTATTGCCTGACTAGGCGTATAAACCTGAAAGCAGCGTTGAAACTTGTGGGCGCGAGATATCTGGCCATATAAGTACAACATCGGGGACGAGGGGACTCTTGGATCCCCCTCTCAACCGAGGAGCTCTCCCCGCTTTCGACAGACAGGGTGATGCCATCCTCTTCCTCCCCACACACACAACGCTCACCCTACCGACGCTGCTCACTCAACGCGATCACGCAATCGGCTGCAACCCAGCTCTGCCTGCTCGACAATCGCCCTTTTCACGGCCTTCGGGCTCGGTCGTGAAGCGCGATCGATTTACCGCCGTTTTATCCCATATTAGTAATCCCTGTGCCTCGTTATTACGTCATTCGGATAAAGCGGCTCGGCGCTGATTAGTAATGACTAGCGGCAAACACGGCAAACTTGACAAACAGAGCAAACATCCCCTCCCGGCAAGACAAGACAAGACAAGACAAGACGAGAGAGAGAGAGAGAGGAGAACAAACCAGAGCCAGAGACGGAAAAGAAATGCAGGATGGAGAGTTGTCCGCCTGGTTGTCTGCCGTGAGAGCTGTAAATCTTCAGTCAAATGACAGCCATTGTGTTGACTGTGAGACTGCCGATGCCTTGTTATGATTATCTGTTGATAATAGAGTCAAGCCCATCACAGGAAGCACAGTCCATCGAGGATTTATAGGACGACAGGTTCAAGTACACAATAGCTACATGATTTCTAATATATGAATACTGATGCTAGCAGAGCAGCACCAAGCAAAACCAGTCGTATCAAGGCCATAGTCATCAAGCTGTCTTCAGGATGTTGAAGCAAACTCAACTCCTGCTGTCAGCCATCCCGCAGAGAGAGAGAGAGTTAGAGAGGAGAAAGAAAAGAGGTGGGGGGGGGGGGGGGGCGGGGGGAGAAGCGAAAGGAAGACATAAAAGCAGTGATTCAATATCAAATCCATCAACAATCCTGCAAAAGAAAGCAGGTTAGAAAGAGGAGCAAAACATGATGCTCCATGGTGTCCCCTTCTTTTTCGCAGCGCGCCCGGCAGATGGCCCCAGAAACACCAGCGGAAGAGAACAGGCAGCAACAGCTTTCATATCCAACCCATCTAAAAAAAAGAGAAAGAAAGAAAGAAAGAAAGAAAAAAAAGGAAGAGGTTAGAACAATCACTGTTCAAATATCTAAACACCTGTTTTTTCATCCTTCCACCCAATACTCCACTATGAGGTTAGCCCGCTAAAAGAAAAAGGGAAATGAAAAAGAAAATCCAAAATCGATAAGAATAGCATCGCGGATCTATCCCATTATCTAGCTGTCTTGCCGAGGATACGCCCGAACTAGATGCACGTCCATCTCCCGCGGAAAGTCTGGGTGCAGGCTGCTGAATCGCTCGCAGCTGACCGTCGTCGCCTCGGACTCCGGCGGCACGAGCGCGTCCAGCAGGTGGTTGACGAGACGATTATCGATCCATCCACGCGGCTTCGTCTTCTTCAGCTTTTCAATGCGCGCAATGTCATCCTCGATCTCCTCGGGCATCAAAGGCGGCGGGGGTGGCGCCGTCCCCGAGCCGTTGGGCCGTTGGTGATAGTTGCCCAGGATGAAATACGGTAGATTGGGGCGGTTTGCGTTCTTGTCGGTGAGTTCTCCGAGGAGGTTGAGCCCGGCGGTTGCGTTATTCCGTGTCGAACGTGTCGCGTGCACGCTTTGACTGGCTGTTCGTTCCATCTCCGGTGCGGCCATGCCATCTTCTTGGCTGCTCGTGTCACCGGATCCCGCTCCTTCTTCGCCTTCAATGCCTTGTCCCGCTGAGCCCGCCGCCTGCTTGGCGCGTTTTGAAGCTGACAGGAAGTGTAACGCGGCAACGTGCGCCTGATTGCTATGCATGGCAAGTTCCTTTTCGGTGAAAAGAGAGAGGATGTTGTACAACGGCGCGTTTTGTTGCTGGTTCAAACGGGCCTTGGCGCGATCTGCGGGTGTGGAGAGACCTTCAACATTCGGCGATCCGAAGTCGTCGTCCGCTGGTGCTTTTCGCTTCCTCTTGATGGCTGTTTCTGCGATAATCGCGTTACCCATCTCATCAACATCGACTCTATGGCGAGTGTGCCTTGTTTTTCGGTTGCTCTGGAGTCCGCCAGGGCTTCCGGGATTTGTGATGCTGAATTGATTTGGATGAAGAAGCAGAGCATTGGTGTCTGCAACATCGAGTTGCTCCTTTTCACGCATCAGGCGGTTCTTTCGCTGGGAGATTGACTGGATCAGCCGCTCCCGAATCGTGTCAGTTAGTTTGGCACACTCCTCGATGGCGAATTGGTGTCGGAATTCTCGATCCTGCTTTAACCTGTTGAGATTGTCACGATGACGATGCTGTCTCATGTTAGTATAAAAGCATTATCATCATCATCACCACGTGCAAATAACCACAGAGGACTCTAGCTCACCATAACGACGGTCAGCTCCACATCCCTCTCTTCCTTACTCCGATTTATCTCGTCAACAAATTTCGAGTACCACCGCCCAGTTACGGGGGCCTCCGATACAGTATGCCCGCTCGCAGCCAGCTGCTTAAGCTGATTGGCAACGTCTTCGGGGGCGTCGCTCATTGGCCACTCGTCATAAACTTCAGCATTGGCGATCAGGGCCATCTCGTTCTGAAGCTCATGCACATGCTGGCGGAAATGGTAGTCGCGATTATTGGTAAACGCTTCTCGGATATCATTGAGTCGGTCATGGATCGCAGTGCGTCTCTTGTCTCGCTTCGACAAGGGCTGGGCATGCTGCTGGGGTGTTGGGGAGCGGGCAGCTAGGTTCGTCGTCGCCATGGTGTAAGGATATACGCCGGAGCCAGATCACTAGGGGAGAGAGAGTTGTTATATTAAAACCAGCTCGCGGAGCGTATTGATGGCTGGGAAAAACTATATGCGGCTATGCAGGTGCTGGGGAAGATCGGAGTTTGTTCGGTGAGAAGATTCGCGGCGCACCCCTTAGAATCCTTGTATCCCGTCAGCCGCATTGAAGTATTATCGTTTATTGAAAGGAACGATGAGAGCTGGGGTGTTCACTAAATGTGGTGTCCTTATTCTCTGCTAGGGTCAAATGAACATACCTTCTCTACCCACTAGTGCCCGCTTAGAGAAAAATCCTTGTGTGACAAAAAGCAAAGCTCGTGAGGGTTATAGGTCGTGACTGCCGTCTAGATATATCCGCTCGGTCTGAAGTGTCCAACTGAATGTCGAAGAACCACAGGACGAGCTCTAGGCGGTCGGTGTGATGGGGCGGAGCGCAATGTTGCAAAGGGTTTCTCGGTGGACGGCGGAAGATGCGATCGTGTCGAGTGGAAGTAGTGAAAATCGTAGAAAAAAAAATTCAATCGACAGGCAGATAATAGCATGCGATATGGCCAGCCGTCGAAGCGCTTTAGAGAACCGTGGTTGAGGGAAGAGTAGGGCTGTTGTGCAGAGCTTGGTTGGCTTCGAGGCGCTCTAAGACGGGATTTGCCCAACGGGCTCATGCAAACAGACAGGGTGAAGAGGTAAGTAAATAGACGAGCAGAATCAGGATCCTGAGTCGAGATAATGGCTGTCGAAGTATACCACAACGGCAAGTAAGCAGTGGAGAGCGTGGACAGAGGTAGCAAGCATTATTGTCTGGAGAGCAGGTAGAAAAACAGAATCTCACTTGCTGGATTTCTTTTCCGCTGCTGGGCGATGATTTTGAGGGGGTAAAACTAATTAACTTAACCAAAAAAAGCGCGTGATGTAACTAACTGACTAGTCAGGTTAGGGCGGTGTGGGCCGGCAGTAACTAAACTAAACCACCCGATAGCAGTTGGATTTGATTATTATTATTCATTATAACTACGGAGTAGTCTTATGCAGTATGGCAGTTGGATGATGACAGCAGCGGCAAACATGATGGCAGCTGAAGAGCACAAAATATTGTATGCTGCTATTCATGTGTTGGAAGCCCAGCGATGTGTATGAGATAGCCAGACTACATAATCACTCAGTTACACCTGTGTACTCCGTAGTACAAGAGTACTTGTGCCTGCAAGCTCTTACTTTAACGACCCTCTCTGGACTAACTACGGAGGTGTGTCTCAGAAGTCTTTACGCACGCTAGTAATTAGGCTAGTACCAGAAATACATTGAACCCCACCAAATTAGTATGGATCAGCCTGTACCTTTGATCAGGGATTCATTCCTCCTCTTGTACATCTTCCCAAGTGTTCATATCTCCAAGATGTAAAGCTGCTAGAGTCTCTGCAGCTTCTAATCTACTAGCTAAGCAATCCCTTCCTAGATCCTGCCGTTTTGAGATCTTTCCCTTTAAACGCTGACCTTTATACTCTCGAGGACCCTTATAACCACCCTCTCTATACTCATTCCCTCCCTCAAGCCGTATAATCTCTTGAATGTGATGTGGAATTCACTCAATCCACTGTTGAATCTTCTCTTGCAAAAGCTCATTCCAGGCTTGCAGCCAAACCTCCCTTGCAGTCTTGGTTTCGCGTGGAGCTCCACAAGAAGTCATACACCTTTTCATCCACATCCAAGCAGGCTCAATTGCATTTAAATCCAGTGAATTCCCTGGCCAAAGCAGCTGCTTTATTCCATGTAAACTATATAACTTTCTCTACGCAAAATGAATATGTGCTGGTGCTCCATCTTCTTGCACTAGAGTCCTTGGTTGATCTTTAAGGCACTCCTTTGCAAAGGGAATAAGCTTGGGATATACCAGATTCAAAGGCAAGAATCTCAGTGGATTTCTCTCAGCCAGCTCTATCCTTGCGAATCAAATCCAATATCTCAGATTCTTTACTGGAATCTATCTCTTTAGGGCGTCCTGATCACTTTGCATCTTCAACAAATGAAATATCAATTCACTGGTTCTCTTGAGGCTTATAGCCGCGGTCTTTGGCTCATTTTTCAATCACCTGGAGGGTTCTAGCAGGAATTCCTAGAGCAGTAGAGACTTCATTAACTGATATTCCCCAAGAGACTAAAGCTAGAGCTTGGATGCAAATAGCAATTGGATGAAACCAATTATTTTTAGGCATTGGAAATTATTTGAGACGAGATTCAAGCTGGCGATTGTTTTGAAATCAGAAGGTACTCGTAGGTCCGTAGTTATTTGGTTGGGGGGTATTGTACTTTTGATACAGCTATAATTACTAGCGTGCGTAAAGACTTCTGAGACGCACCTCCGTAGAGACAGCCCGATTCCCTAGGTAAGTTCACCCTCCAGGGATCTGTCAGAATATGCATTCATTTTCCTTAGGGTTTGATATCATGTGTTGGTTCTCAGATGCATCCATCTCTCCTACATAACTTTTTTGATATTCAAAGGAAAACAATGCCATTGACAAGAAAGAACTCTCCTTTTGCACCCACCATGCGAGGGAGCAGTAGTATAATCATTATTATCCAAAAAAAAAGGAAAAGAAAGAAAGTCAATGAAGCCCAGAGACGAGATTGAGATGCGGTGGGAAAGTGACTGCATCAGGTCAGTGGTACTTTTCTTTCTTTCTTTCTTTCTTTCTTTCTTTCTTTCTTTCTTTCTTTCCACCCTGTAAAAAGGCCGAGTGATGGCCGAGTTATCTGAGGAATGAAAATACGTTTTCCTAAAAAGAAGTTAAAAAGAAAAAAAGTAAAAAGTAAAAATTACCAGTAATTCCACTTGGGGAAATGGAGGTGTAAGAAAAGACATTCCCGACACATTTCCACTCTGTGATGGATGGTGGTTAAAAGAAGTCAAGAAAGGAAGAATAGGTGAAGATATGAATTATGTCAGTTTTGATTCTGCAACACATGAAGAGAGAAAAAAGAAAAGACAAAAAAAAAAAAAAAAAGGGAAAAAAATGCACGAGAACACGAGAGAAATGAATTCATCCATCTTCTGACACTCCCCCATCCCATACTGCCGACCATGACAATGAGTAATACACACATTTGACAACTTGGAAGTGAAAAAACATGAGAGGGGAATAAAAGCAAAACAAAGGTAAAAGGAAAAAAAGAAAAAGAAAAAGAAAATGGGTATTGTTAAATGAAAAGAGCTGGACATTCAAAATGAAGTATCCTGCTGCAAAGTAATTCCCTCAATACACACACAGAGACACACACACACACACACACACATATGAGAAATACGCCTTCCCTGCTGCCTTGATCGTATCGCTATTTACCGAAATCCCAAATATGAAGAGAAACAACATGCCCGAGCATCCCAATATAAATGTAGAAACTTTTTTTTTTTGTTTTGGCTCCCTTTTATTTTATTCCCCGCCTTTCCCCCATCTGTATCTGTAAAGAGGACCATCTGTACGCCTGTCTGCCAATGCTTTAAAGCGATCTGCGAATCACAAACACACCCAGCTCCAACCCACAATCCGGCTCGCACCCATCGGGATAGGCCCGGTGACGAATTCCATCGAGGATTTCCCGCAGAAGAGACGCGCCCGTGATCTCCTGAGACGTCGGGTGCCTCTGCGCCGCGTTCATCAAAGCACGGTCCGGCATACGATGGCCCTTGCGCCAGAAACGGTTGAGGATGTCCTTAGCACGCGGTGCTTCTTGCTGGATGTACCACTCGGTCCAGAGCTTCCGGTCGACCTGCACCGTCGTCTGTCCCGCGTAGGCGAGGGTGAAATTTGTCCTGCGCGAAGCTAGACCGGACGAGCTTTGATTTCTTGAACTGAGGCTATCGCACAGAGCGAGGAGTCGGGCTTTCATTCCTGCGAAGTCATCCATGTACTCGATGGATGCTATGCGACCTAATGCGTTCCCCACATCGGCCGATAAACCGTTTACAACGGCCATTTGGCGGAGGAGAGGATCGAGGATGGGACTCAGGTACTTGTCTCTGAACGTCTCGGCGCCCCTTCTCGTGGGGTATATGAACATCAGGCTCCCCCTGTTTGTAGAAAGTTCGAGAAGTCGATCAAGCAACACCGACGGGCCTTTGTTTAACAGTAAGGACTGATACTCTTGGATGGACGAAGGTGGGAGATACCGTTCGATGACGGCTATGTGCACACTGAATGGAGGGACGACTGGGGAAGATAAATGATGATGTCCTCCGGAGGGCTGGGAATTTATCTGATCGGTGGGATATCCTGGGACGACGGCAGCACTTGAAAACACAGTATTGCTGAAGTAGTCATCTCCAGAGAAAAGCAGGTGAGGTGTGCTTGGAGGTGAAGTCGGCAAGCTGCTGAGATTGAACATAGGCGGTACGGCGTGTACAATGTTGATATATGGAGAATTGCCGGGTTGAAGCCGACTCTGGATTGCTTTGACGATAGGTGTAAAGGCGGATCTTGGTGACGCGGTTGCTGAAGATTCAGAAGGTGGACATGGAAGAGTTTGGGAAACTAGCTGCACGGATTCTCCTGGAGACTTTGGGATAGGGAGTGATGATACTATTAAAATGAAAGTCAGTATATATATACAAGTCATAAAAAAGTTAGTAGAAGCTATGTAGATGGTGAACAGCACCCACAAGCATTGCCAGGTTTGAAGGGCATATACTGACCTGCAGGTAAGATAGCATCCTGCAGCCATTCGTCAGAATTATCTTCAGGATACTGATTCCCATTTGAAACAGGCATTGAGGTTGTCATGTTTCTTGCATTTTGAAGAGGTAAGGAGGCTCCCTGTCCATTTTTCTCAGGGTTGGATTCTGATTCTGAGCTTTCCATTGCTCTAAGGTCTTCCAGATAATGGCCAGAATCGTGCTCATCAGAAGGTGGGCTGCTGTGATGTGATGATGGCTGGATGAGTTGATGTGCGTTTGGGTTCCAGAGGACGTTGTCCTCAGTTTCTGGCGGCGTGAGGGGTAACGGCGATCTGTAGGGATTGTCGGGCTTTATGCAGAGGGATGAGGATGGTAGGGGAGAGGAGATGCTTGAAGAAGCATCTGTCACAGGACGGTAGAAGTTCCTGTCATTGGGCTGAGATGGTGTGAAAGCCAGTGAAGAGTTTGATATCCCCAGAGACTCAAATGACAAGAGTTGCAGTGGGTGATTTGATCTTGACGTTGCACGCATCGCTGACAAAGGTTCTGAGCGGAGAGACGTATGGGACGCACTGCGTTTTGCCTTTGACGACGGCAGAGAAGAGTGGGAATGACCTTGGAACCGTTGGTCCCGGGAGAGCTGGGTGTTTCTATCCGACATTGGAGCAGAAGCCCTGCTAGATTGGAATTCGCAGGAGACGCTTCGACGGCCTTTTCGGTCTGACGTGTCGCCCAGTTTTGAATTCCAGCACGGAGAGCTGGTTCTGCTTTGACGATAGAACCTCATGTCTGGTTCAATATTCGCTTCTCCCGCCGTTGCGGATGCTCGAGGGGCTGATGGCTCATCCTTATGACGGTACATTCACAAAAGACGAGGTCGTAAATAGACCACGAATTATTCCGCTGAAAAAGCCCAATCTCAATAGTCACCAAAACCAGAGAGGAGATCCCTTCCACACCAGCAGTGTGACTGTTGGAGGCGTAAGCCCAGATGAAAGAAAAGGGCAATCGATGAGTCCAATTCCAGACACAACTAGCGGTCTATGTCAAACAATCCCACGGATTGACCACCACCGCCTCTGTCGATGTTATCGAAACGCACACGCACACGCCAAATGGGAGATTCGAAAAAAAAAAAAAAAAAAAAAAAAAGAGGGGGACTTCGAGACTCCGAGCAAGCGATGCGTCGTGATTACGGGGGCAGCCGATGGGGGCTTGGGCTTGGACTTGGAAAGGCGAGAGGACGAGAAGGCGTTGAACAGCTCCGGCGAGGTCCAGGGCGGTCGGGACTAAGACTCACAACGGCACTGTTGCGGCGTCGGTTTCGTCGAGTAGGAGAGGAGGGGTGAGTAGGCGGAAAAGGGCTGGAGCTGGATCTGATCGCGAGTGTGGAGTTGATCGTTGGCAGGATCGTAGAGGGCGGGATGCGTGCGTGGACAGGTGACGAGCTGGAGAGTAACAGGGACCTGACGCCTGTAGGCAGTGAGAAGAAGCACACGGAGAAGATGATAGTCTGGGGGAAGAAAGGGAGAGAAGGAGAGTTAGGCAGAGAGAGAGCAAGAGAGAGAGAGAGAGAGCGAGAGAGAGAGTCAGAGAGAGTGTGAAAGAGAAGAATCACCAATCCGAGAGTCGAGGATGTATCTCGTGCCTCTGGCTGGCCGAAGCCCGGGTCGCAGCTCTTAAGTTGAACCCAGTTCTGGCCCAACTGGCGACGGTTCACGGGCTTGTGTTCCAGGGTTCCTCAGTCGAGAGTGGTCTAGACCAACCTAGAGGCGCGCTGCACGCACGAAAACTCTGACCGGGATGATTATCACACGCTCGCTGCCACCGCTGAGGCTGCCAGCGGAATGCTTCCATCTCGAGGCATTTTACAGCCCTCTTAACCGTCGTGGTCGGTCTGTGATCCTCGCCGCTGGTCGTGTCGATTCTGAAGAATTCACTGCAACTAGCGAGCCAGCCAGCCAACCACATGGTTACCGGACTTTTTCCTGTTGGCATTAGGAGTCGACCACGGAACAAGTTACAGAGTTGCGCCTTGCTGACCCCTTAACCTCGATCATGTGGTTGCCAACAGCCGTAACTACATATCCTTGACGGTGATCATAATACAGGACGGCAGGTCACTATAGCAGGTCTGGAAGAGAGCAACTTCATTTGCAAATAATATTATTAGCTACGGGGCTATCCGGTGCTACAGTTTCAAAAATCCCTCTGCCCTACGAGAGCCCTGCCTCTAGGTGGTTAATATAACAGGCACGTTAATGGCCCGGACAGGTGTATAAAACAGCGTCCGTGTCCTGGCCTTTCTCTTTTGACACTTCTTCATGCAGGTGTTCCAAACTCCTCCCCGGCCGGCATGTGTCCGAGTCATAGAAACATCCCGTCTCCTTCTCTCATGCCGGCTGACCGGATCCCCCTCCCCCCCGGGCTGGGCTCTCTTATCTTCTCCTGCTGCACATGTACCCTCTACAAAGGATGTTTGCGAAATCTGCACGGCTGACTCGGAATGATAATACTCGCGGGGATAATCCACATGACTCCCCTGTCCGAAGCACTATGCTCATTCGTGCCCGGATGCTCCTTGTATAAGCGTACGTATGTACTCAATTTCCTGCGGGAGTTAGCTCTGTAGCAACCGCGTACATACCGGGAACCACGGGTTTGCCATCTCCATCGAGTTTCCCTATCATCTCTGCACCCATGGGTCGATCGATGATGGTGATACCTGCCTGCTTGCTGGGGTGAAAAAGAGCTTCCTCAATCTCGCGGCCAGTGGGTCAAACTCTCCCTCCCCACTATTTCCAACCATCTACCAGGCCGATCTTCTGGTCAAGCTTAAAGATTAAACCAGGAGTTCCAGACAACCCCCCCCCCCCCCCCCCCCCCCCCGGCGGCCCACGAGGGAGAGATCTCTTCGCCCGGGGATGATTCCAAGAAACCTTGCTGCTCAAAGCAATGTAATATGTAGGCGAACGTGTGCAGGAACCCAGCTTATGGAAGGCAAGAGGCGAATTTCATTCCTGATCACAGTCATGAGAATTCCAAGCACCGATGCCTGCCCTTTATCAATTTTATCCTTGAACTAGTTACTTGTCCCAATTCTCCACTAAGCGAGCTCGCAAGTCATTTCTCGTAATTTTAGTTGCCGCAGGAATTCACAAGCCAAGGCTTCCCGTCCAAACCAGCCCGTTCGTTGATCACACTGCAACAGGACTCCGTACTCCGCACGGGGATTACAAAATAGAAAACCTCCCAGCTTTCCCTCACGTCTCTACGCGGCAAAATGGGAGAGCAAAATCTCAAATCCTCAAAGCATTCAAGCGCCGTCGAATAGACCCTTCGATGATTCATCATCACTGGACGAACCCACGTTTTTGCGCGCGGCTGATGGGCCGGTGGATCAGGCTTTTCTTGTCTCCGCAGTGGTGGCAAAACCCTCGTTCCGTTTCGGCACGGACTTTGTTGCGTCCATAGGGCTTTTTGCTAGAGTGCGTGGGGGGAAACCGTGGATGATATGCGAACTCTCCTTGCATGACTCCCCTCGAGCTTCATTGTATTTTTCTCAACCTGGCCGTTCCACAAAGGGAACCGAGGGTGGAATGCAGAATGGCCGTATGTATCGAACAGGGCACTCCGTCTCTCTCCCGTGTGAGATGCCAATTGCACAGAGAAGCGCGGCGGGCGGCCAACGTAATCATTCAGGGTGCACTGGGTCCTGCGCCGTCCTTCGGAGAAAATTCATCGCCCGCCCGTGCAAAACTCGGCGATACAGGGATTGTCCTGGCGAAACGACCAGCTGAAACGAAAATCATTCATCACCACTGAATCTCGAAACCTCTCGATCAAGGCATCATCACTCCATCCGCCCACGGCTTGCGGTCGTGATCCTCCGGGGAACCACCGTGCTATCGACGTTGCGTTGCAGGGGCGGGTGATACAGGCCTTTCCGTCTTTCTCTCTCGTTGACCTTATCTGCCCTTCGATCCCAATACCTCCATCGATCAGCACTCGTCCCTCAGCATCTACGGTCAACGCTTTGTGCACCCACCGATCCGCTCCTCCATCTCAAAAGCAGAAGGTGACCACGGTCCCTCCAAACTCGAAATCTTCCCTTCGTATTCGCACTGACCCTCTCTAGCCTGCACTTCATTCCTGACGCCTGATGTTGTCAAACAATACCGCCTCGCCAGCCAGCACAACGCAGCGAACAAGCTGCCCCCTGGCATTTGCCCAGTGATTAGCGCATCCTTGTTGTCCAATAGGAACGTCACCACACCCTGGTTTCATCAACACAGAGGGAAGATATTCGTCCCAAATTTGAGGGCAAAGGTAACAGATTGTAACTAGCATCCATTTTACCCCCCTTACCGCCCTGCAGCACCAGCATTCTAGCTTGTTATTTATGGATATGAACGTCCTAGAAGCAAGCGAGCATCGATCGACAGCTCGCTTCTGCTCGACGACTCGCTTCGTCGGTACCGCCTACATGGACTCGTGGCATAACTTTGGAATTGCCAGAGCATTGGCTGAACTGACAAGCCATTTACCATAAAACTCCAAAGATTCACCCAGTGCACAAGGCATTAAGATACGCACGCTAAAATTATTTTTTTTTTATTTATTTATTTATTTATTTTTTTTTTTTAGGCTCGTCCGACGCCGTTTTCAACCAGCAGCGGACGAGGTTATGCGCTCGCAATGACGAACGGGCCCTCTTCTTCCAAGCCCCAACCCATCGAGAAGCCCGTGTCCTCGAGCTGCAGCGTATGAATTGTCACTAAAACCGTCCATCATTGCATCCTCATAGACGGGACCCATCCCAGCCATCCGGCAACCCCTCCCAAGCAATAGCTCAACGCACATCATCCTTCTGGCCGAAACACTCCCATCCAATGCTGACCAAAATCCATCATTCAAATCCCGGAACCAAATCCCTCACACGGCTCTTCCGTAACCCATGAGTCCATAATTAGCCAGTCATTCGCGATTTACGAACCGTGACCTCTTGTGTGATTACGGCTGCTCCGTCCAATGCGGGAAAACCAAAAAAAAAAAAAAAAAGAATACAGGCCCCCAAGGGTCTGAGCACTCTGCCTCGTCCTTCCCGTCCGTTCGTTGCACCCGAAAACCTCCAGGAATGTATCCCGAGGGAGCCAATCACCTTTCTCCGTGCCTTTCGTACGGTGTACGGAGGACGGATGACCTCTTAGACACTGCCAACTGAAACCCAGCAGGGTTTGTGTTTGGGTTGTTCTGGAATTTTGCTCCCTCTCGTTCAGGGGCTTCTCCCAGAGAGGGGGAAGGGACTTGATTGGACCTTTCTTGAAGCATGTCTGGTTTTTGGAGATTTTTCTTTTTTCTCTTTTTTCTTTTCTTTTTTATAACTCTGTCCGGTGGTGACAAATCCTTATGTATGGAGTATGTATGGGAGTATGCGGAGTACATACATAAAATACATACGGAGTACATTCATGCAATAATAATGCACACTGGGACATACATGTCTAGCGGATTGTGAGATTATAAGCCGATGTCCATCCATCCCATACAGACATATAACCAATTCCTCGGCATACATACATCATCATACATCCGGAGTCAGTATGGGAGTGAATTGTCGAAATTCCGGATGCAGCTCTGCAGTGTCACATCCCAAATCGTCGACCTGCAGCAACCTCCGGCTGCGACCATAGTACTCGTCGATCAGACCCTCCCGAGCACCGTTGATATGGTAATAGTTTAAATAGTTCATAGGGTATTTCACCTATCCTACCTTGCACACACATACACATGCTCTCTCCTCAAGTGCGCCTCTTTGCCTCACAAGAACTAGCCAATCAATCCCAGGCAACACCATGGGCCTTTTCTCAGTTAAGAAAAGGGGGCGCTTTCCGTGGAAACTCTAGTATACTTCAAAGAATGGGGAGTTGTTTTAAAGCGAAACATAGCAGCGTGTTACCTGGGACTGACTGACCGCCGATAAGAGTATCGGAACTGGAGGTTCTCAATACGCAAGGTATGTAAAGTACATTTTCCTGACATATTTTTTTTTTTTTTTTGACGGGTACCGGAAGGAGACTTGTGAAGGAGCAGCATGTACATATCTGCTCCGTACTTGAGACAAACCTGAACCTCCTTGAGCTGAGTGACAGAAGACAGAAGATAGTAAGCACCGAGGTCGGAATCGCAGCCATGACTCTTCACCAAAGTGACAGGTGAAACCACAAAAAAAAAAAAAAAAAAGAGAAAAGAAAAGGTCATGGTCAACAAGGTCCTCGTCCAATATAGCCTCTAGCCTCTAGCGTTTAACATTGATGGTATCATGTATTAACCCGTATTATGGACGGGAAAGAGGCGGTTCTGCGATCTAGGTGCCTGGGCCGCTCGGCTGCGACCGGGCACCCCCTGCAGTCAGCTTCGACAATTCAGCCTGTTCCTCCCATTTCATCGTCACCTGCCTCAACGCTATGGCCGAGAGCTTTAGCTGAACGCCATCAGACTGCGGCCGGGGCCTGGGCATGACGTCGCTTCGGGACATGCCAACCGACTTCCTGCTCCCCACACCGCGTAATTGGAGGCACTGCACCGTAAGCTGATAGATGCCCAACTCCAGAGAGGTCGCACGGGACTCGACCCTTTGCCAGAACCCGTCGTCCCAGAACGGATCTCTCTCCACGGCGTCTTTCAAGGCAGTCAACCAGAACCGGAACGAAGGGACGTGGTGCTGGCAGCGGCCGAGCCCTGCAGACCTCATATATTCTGGAAAGCGACACGCAATGATGATGAGACGGACGAGTGGCTCGGATTGAAACACATGCAACACAACGCAGGCGGGGCAACCCTTTGTCAGACACCAATTGCGCTCTTCGGTCACTATACATCGAAGCCACGCGTACGCACTGCGAGCATCGCCACGGAAAGCCAGCTCCAAATCCGAACGTGGCTGGTCCGGTACAGCAAGCGCAGCGACCAAAGACGCCTGCCGAAGAAACTGCAACAATGGCGTGAAGAGGGCGTGTAGTATATCGCGATGGAGCTGGAATGTCTTTTTCTCAGATGAAACGATCTCATTTCCGTGCAATGTGCAGAATCTACCTTTCGTTAGAGAGCCAGGTTCTTTCGTTTTCTGTCTAGCCTTCTGGCGGTCATCATGGTGGGCATACTCTAACCGTGCACTCTCTTGCAAGCGCAGCCTCACCGCTTGAAACTTTTCACTGTCATTCAAGGCGGCCTTGTCCTCCTCTCTGATCCGAAAAGGGGATTCCATGGTGGAGTTCAACATCGCGAGCTCTTTATATTCTGCTCTTAGTGGCCCCATAGCCCGGAGCTTCGAGTTTCAACAGTTCTGGCTTTAAGATGGCTCACACGTTTCATCGATGATTGAGGCGTGGTACCTCGAACCTACGGGCTTGGAACCCCCCCTTTCCTCTGCCCCCGCTCGGATTAATCGTGCTGCAACTGGTGAGAATATACAAAGTGAAAATTGAGGTCTCAGCCAGTCATCCTGCAAGCAACTGTGAATGCAAGAATTGGAGGGGCCGAGCCAGCTGGCTGAGCTCGAAGCGCGGGCCAAGCGGATGGGCAGGCGATCGGTCTTGCGGCATGCGTGATGAACAGCGTTGTCGGCAAAAGTCTCATGATGCGAGATACCTGCGTTCACGCTGGGTCCGGGCGCAAGGACGAAGTACTCCAGATCAGAGGAATCGCGCAGCAGCGACGACCTGGACCTGCCCACGTGCACATAAAAGCCCGAATTCGGCAACTAAATACGCGTAATCTTAGGGAAGGCGCGTTTCCCTGAGATTGGAGGGAGGAGTTGCGCCTTCTCAATTAAGAGAACAACAAAACAAAAGAAAAAAAAAAAAAAAAAACAGAAAAAGGAATGAACGGGTATTAGGTTGGAGGGTGAGGTGGGGGGGCAGGAAGGAGCAAGAAGAGTCTGGAGAACCAGATGAAGAAGGCGTTGACCCTTTTCTTTCTTCCTTTCTTTCTTTCTTGTTTCTCTTCCTTTTTTTTTTAAGAAAAATAAATAAATAAATAAATAAATATAAAACTAAAAAAGTCGGCAAGAGCAAAGAACAGGAGAGACGGACATGAGGCGCCCGAACGGGTTAGCGCCGTGTAGTGTTTTTTTATGTAGAAGGTTGTGCAGGTGCAGCAGGGACGGCAGGGACGGCGGGACATCGTCTGAACGCATCCTCTGCGCTGTCGGCGGTCGTGAGCGAGACTGAAGACGGCCTGCCGCTGGGATCTTCCTCGAGTCGAGTCTTCCGCGGTCGGTGCATCGCTCAATCGGTACTGGAACTGCCTGTCGTCCTCGGGGTCCGTCGGATGGAAAGGCAACAATCATGTCGGACCCGTTGGGTATCACGTAGACACGGAGAGGGGGGTGGTTGCTCAGGGGGCCTTTGGAGCACCAAATGGCCATTTCTGAAATCTTCAAGGATGTTGGACCATACTGGTTAAATTGCGAGTACTCCGTAGTAGTTCGTTGAAACCCGTCTGTCATCGCTGCTGTCGTACGCCGACAGTCTGCTTTTCCGCCATGTCGTCGTCCAGCCGCGTAGCACTTTTATCGAGTCTGTATCTCATCAGGGTCGGGATATGCCAGGAGAGCTCGCGTCGTGTGGTTGCGAGGTTTCGGAGAAGCTCCTCTCCCTGAAGGCCAAGACGCTGCTGTGCTCGCTATTGGGCCAGACAGATCAACAAGGTTAGCCGCAGATGATAATATAGCCCGAAGACGGGGGGAGAAACACGAACCAGGATAACCATCACAGCCTCTGTTGCTCTGCAGCCATCATGAGCTGCGATGTCAGGACACACCTTGATAGAGGCATGCGCCGGTCGGGAGAAAATCGAAGATGTATAACACGCGCCCGGCCACTGCCCAGAGAAAGCAGTTCTGGTATCGTGCTGCTAGCGTTGTTTTTGAACGGGTGGGAAAATGAGGATGCCAACAGCCAATTTCGCGTCTCCTGAAGGAAACACAAGAGCATCTCACAGCCAACAATGCCACTCGATTGCTGGTTACATCGGCCTTTTTGTCTGTCCTTCGTGTCTCTCACTCATTTGCCTTGCGCCCGAGATCATCAAGGCCTCTCTTGCTGATCGGAGAGGCATTTCAACACAGGCTGGTCGTGTCCAGCCCGCACACACGCAGGACTCCCTTTCCTTCACTCTTTTAATTCGCTCTCTTCACTGCTGCAGGTTACAGCTGCGAGCCTCGAGGCTCCATCCTGTGATGGGACAATCGACGTTATAGAAATGAGATTACCGTCTGTGTCCACTCTTGCGGCGTTTGTTGCAATTCTTATCCAGTCACAAGGTGCCTTCGCAATCTCCAGGATCTCCGCCGTTGGCTCCAAGTTCTTCAATGAGGAAGGAGAGCAATTCTTCGTCAAAGGTGGGATATCTCATGCGCACTAGAAGCCAATCGTTCTACGGCAATTGCTAACCGCTATTCGCCCCGTCCGCCTTCCCCCCCGGCAGGAATCGCATACCAGCTCACCCCGCAGGATCCTCTGGTCAACACCACGCAGTGCTACCTCGATGTGAAACTGAAGGAGGAATTGGGCGCCAATGCAATTCGAGTCTACCATGTCAACCCTGACGGTGATCATGCCGGCTGCATGAAGGCATTCGCCGATGCGGGAATATATCTCTTTGTTGATCTCGACGATTTCCCAACACAAATTGACCAGGTATGGGAGGGATTGGAGTACATGAATATCCCAGAACATGGCGTAAGAGAAAACACAAGCTTACCGAAGATTTTGCCGGGCAGAATCATCCCGCGTGGGAGGAAACACAATTCGATGCGTTCAAAGGGACCTTGGATGAGTTTCAGCAATTTGAAAACACCGCTGCTGTATTCGTCGGAAATGAGGTTTTGAACACAAAGAATGGCTCGCATGCAGCTCCTTACATCCTTGCAGCGGCTCGGGATATCAAAGCGTACCGTGACCCTAAAAGGTACCGGAATATTCCAGTGCGCTATTCGGCAGCCGATATCGCCGCGTTACGACCAATGTTGCAGAACTATCTTGTCCGCCGGTCGAATGCCTCTGAAACATTGGTCTTTTTCGCCCTGAACGCGTACGAATGGTGTGGAGATTCGACTTATACGCGCTCCGGCTACTCAAACCTCCTAAAACAGGCTGAAGGCTTCCCAGTGCCAATCCTCTTCTCGGAGACCGGATGCAACACTGTCCGCCCAAGGGAGTTCCAGGACTTGACCGCCATTTACGGGCCCAAGATGGCGGGAACCTGGTCTGGTGCAGTCGTCCATGAGTGGATCCAAGAAGCAAATGACGACGGCCTGATAACATACGGCAAAGCTTCCCAGCAGGACGATGAGAAGGACCAGTCTGATACAGTTGTCGTAGATGGATATTTCCGCCAAGGCAAACCAAAACCGATCATACCGGATTTTCCTAATTCAAAGTCCCGCTGGGCAACGTTGACTCCAGCGGGTGTGAACTTATCGGACTATTCGCGGAAGGCATCCTCCGTCATCGCTCCGCCACGTCCGGATTCCACCTCTGGATGGAATGTAGATCCCAGCGCTGAGCTGCCAATCCTTGATGAACCGATTGCGACCCTGACTGCAGAATTAAAACCCACCCAGACTGCAGACGGAGCAGCACCGTCACATAAAAGCAGTGCAAGCCAATTGCTTTCATCACCCACTTCTGGAACGACCATATTTTCCCTCATGGTGGGGGCTTTGATTGCTCTCGGTGGAATAATTGGATGGCTTCTCTGAAAGGGGGATAATTCATTGGGCTGAGCCACCATAGTTTATCCCTCTCAGGTACCATGGGAACCTGGCGTTGAATGTCGTTCCAGTTAAGAAAACTACAGTGTGGATTCCAATTTATGGACGATCACGAGATTCTCCTATGTAATACGGATCATACTGTCTGCTCTCAGGGTCTCTTCGGTACGCTACGTTCGAAACTATGGAGTTGAATACCCCTACTTTTTAACGATTTCACCCAATATTACTGACTGGTTCGGTTGCACGCTACCTAATGTATGCTGTTAATGTATGTATGATACCAATGGGCTGGCTTCATGCTGGCAATTCTATATTGCTTTGAGCTCCTTTGCACCTGTCTATTCAGAAGTGACCGACCGTTCGACTTTTCAGAGATACCCGAGCTGCCATTACGTTCTATCTGGCTGAGTATAATCCCGCTTGAAGACCTTTGCCAAGTCGTCACCCGAAGTGCAAAAGCTTATGGGATCCAACTACGAAAAGTACGATCAATAGACCCCTAGATATTTTGTATTGAACCACTGTGGTTGTAGGCACGAAGGATTCGGATGCTTTGTATCCATAATACTCTGACATATACGCATATCAGCCTCTCCTACCGGCCTTTTGACGGAACAACACGTGGGCGAGTAAGGCCATAATATAAGATCATGTCATCATTGCATCAAACTGCATAGCCTGTCAAATGTCGAATATCTCCACCAAGCATAAACGAGACGTAGGATGGATCAAAAAGCAGTGTACTCCGTAACCAGTGAACCGGGGAATATTCTTTGAAGCAATGGATCAAAACGAGACAGCGAACCCAGAACAAAAACCTTCTACCGACCTTCCTAGTAATATCCATCACTCCAAGGGAAAACGAGGCTTAAACTGGAGAGGAATGCGTGTAGCCAGATGAGACATTGCAAAACGGGAAATGTCATCACATAATTAGGTAAATCACAACATGAAAAATCCTCAAAATTATCCCAGTCGTACGCTGTTCAAGGCACATTGAAGTAAGAAAAAGTAGCCCAGGGGAGGCGGGAATCAAAGGAGAGGAAGCGAATACTCTTTCAAAGGGGAAAAAACGCCCCCCTTTCTAGGAAGTTTCGAAAGAAAAGAAAACAAAGGAAAAGCCAATTGTAATCAGCGACCCATGACAGACGTTCTATGTCTCGAGAAATTCGGATAGCCTCTCCTATTTACGCTATCCAAATTAAATTCCGGAGGATCCACGGGCACCTGCATCTGCGGTATCTGGTCCGCCTCCCTCACTTTCCACGGCGTCACGGGAGAGCGTGGGAACTTCTGGAGTTTAGTCCTTCCGCCCTCGTTGGGTGTGCGAGACCGCGATGGGATATAGCCAGGAATCACTGGTGCGGGTGAGAAATCAGAATCTAGAATTCGCGGTGGGAGGAATTCTGGGTGCGGAGCGGAGCGAATTGGTTGGAATGAGAGCGGGGCGGGAGTCAGGTGGTCTCCAGCAACACAGTGATTTAGTGGCTTGGCATTGGGGTTGGTAGGCAGGGTTTGACCACAGGGATTCGACGGAGAATGCCAGGGGGGAAACGGCACCGTTGTTGGGTTTGACGGGTGGAGTCCTGGTGGTGGGTTGGACCGTAGGTGCGGCTCAAGGTCCGCAAATCCAGCGTCGATGTCAATGCCTAGGCCTATCTCCTCATCGTCGATGATATCAAGATCAAGCGCCACGGGCTTAACTGGGTTGTGCTTCTGCCTTGGTTGCTGGGCATGGTCATGCGGGGCCGGGTGGCTGGAATGCTCGTTCTCCTCTCCCCGAAAGCTATAACATGACGAAGGCGATCGACTGACTGGATCTAGCTGCAAGAGCGGTTGTCGCCTTGGCTCGCTAGGCACTTCCGCCACTGTGTCTGGGGTAAGCGGAAACGAATTTGGCCCCGAGGAGAATGAAGAATAAGAGCTATGCTTATTTTCTAAGCTGGAGTTGTCGTTGCTCTCACCGCTGTCGCGATGGTTCATTGCTGCTTCGGGATGAAAACGACAATGTGGCTCGAAATCGCTGGCAACACTGCATATCGCCCGGGCGAACCTGGCTGCTACTTGTCCTGAAGATGGGCGGACCTCAGGGTTTCGTGCGAGCATATCTTTCACTACCGCTAGCAAGGGAGACACGGCACGATAATATGAACCCTTCTGCTTCGATGCTTCACGTTCGAGGATATCCATCCATGAGAAAATTTGCTCGGTGTTCCTCGCAAGATGAAAGGAAGCATCTGGGATATTGCCTCCATAGCCAGGTGTACGATTTTTTGCTCCCCGATGGTTGACGAAAGCGGATTGTTTCTTTTTGCAGACGCAGGTAAGGATATCCAAAGAAATAGCTGCAAGGCAAAAGACATCTGACGCCGGAACGTGGTGCCCTAAAGGTAAGGTCCCGGGTCTTCGTTCGCTGCTGTTCCTCCCACTGCCGTCATTGCCGTAATTGCTTAAGTTTAGATTGTTTGGGCTATTCAATGTACCTATTGTCGCCAGTTTTGGAGTTGCTGGATGAAAATGATTCGACGACGAGGTCGACATTGTCGACTGCGAAGTAAAACTCGGAATATTCCTCCGTGCTATGGAGTTATGGGAACTAGACGCATTTGATGAGGAGGATGTGGATCTCGTCAAGGAAATTTTAGAGTGACGCTTTGATGCTGGAGACCGGGAGAAAAACCCCGCCGGTGACCAGCCAGGGGCGTTGTTCTGCATAGCATTTGGGGGTCGATCATCCCTCTTAGCAGTTCCTGGTCGGGATGGAGGACAGCTCTGAGGATAGAGAGTTGGCGTAACAGGTAAGACATTTGATTTCTGCTCTGGAGCCGCGTACTGGTAGGTTTCCATGTTATTTGGCTGTTTTTGAGGGATCAATGGGTTGAACGAATCGAAGAACCCCAAGAAAATGCGACTCTCCGAATCAATGAAGACATTGGATGGGCGAATGGCACCGTGGCACTGGCCATGATCATGGAGCCATGCAAGTCCACTGGCCAAACAATGGGGCCAATTTAGCAAAACTGAAAGCTGGTCGTCCTTCGATAAGTGTTTGAATGAGCTTGGCCGGTCTTTCAAGAACGATTTAAGCGTGCATTCCGGTGAACCAGACAGCAGCACATTAAGAGTATCTCCCACCGAATAGGAGCCAAAGACAGACATTATGTGTTCATGAGCGAATGGCCGCAAGGCCCTAACTTCGCGAAGAATTTCCTGTTCGTCCTGGCAGAAATGAACCTCATCGAGAGTAAATTTTAAGCGCAGCACTTCCCGACATTTTGAGCCAGCATGGACAACCCTGTCGACCTGGAAAGAATCAGGGAAAGAGATGGGAATTTTCTGCCGATGTAATTCCTTTAGGGGTATCAAATCATGTTCATGAAACCTTGTATGCTCGCCCTCGGGGATCGATCGCACCAAGTACTGTCGCTGCACGCCGGGGAATCTCCAGTCCAAGAAGACATCCTTGACCATAGACGATAGACGAAGATTAGCGGTGTTCTCTCTGGTGATGGGCAGGTCAGCGTCATCGTAGCCATGATCTATGAGGTGGAATATCCGGTCCTGGAAGTTGATTTCTAATAGAACGAGATATAGCTTGCGCGCTCTTTCGAGAATCCAGTCGATGTAGGAATCGTCCGTCAGGCTTTTGCCAAAGGAGGGATATCGATCGAGGCGAGAGTGCAAAGCAGGATCAAGAGTCTTTAGGACGTAGTCGCGCGAGACGGTGGCATCCACTCTCTCGTCTGGCCACCACCGGGACGTTATTTCAGGCATCTTGATGGCATCGCTGGGCAGGCGGATTTTGTTTTAGCGTGCAGTTAAACTCTCTGGCCCATGCGCATCTTTTCAGAAGAAAAAGCGAAATGTCGCGTGGGAGAGAGGGATTGATGGCATATTATTATCCACGTTTTGTTCCCCTCCCCCTCGTCTCCTCTGCTCCCGACTGACCCTCTTCCCGGGCACCCTTGGTCAACATCGAGTATGCACGCCACGATCTCCACCACGCGACCTTTCTCGCAGGCCAACATGCTGTGTGGTATTTGGCATGTGGCAGGGATGGGAATGAAACCTCGCTGACCCTTGGCCACCACCTTTTGCCCAATCCCAACCCGCAATCGCCCGCTAGCGGAACGAGGGAGATCCCTGATCGCGACTAGAGCCAAACCCCCCCGCCGACGCCATCTTCCCCAGGATTCTTCGTCGCTTCTCGAACACTGCTGGAACGATTGGGCCAAGGCACGAAGGAGTGATCGCTGCTGAGAGAAGCCTTGGCTGTAGAGATGGTGGTGATACGCCATCTCATCACCCAAGAAAGTTTAGGCCATGAAACACGCTACACATTTTTGCACACGACGCAGAGTCAGACACGGCGAACCGAGAAGCAGATTGAAGAAAACCATTTTGATCCGGCACACTGGACTGTCTCACGGCGTTGTTACATTGCGTTCTTCGCGGTCAAGCTACAAATAGTTAGTCGTCACGGCTTTATCCTCGTCGAAGAACGCATTGAACCCGGAACATAATACTGTGAATGGAAGAGAGAACATTCCCGTCTCTCAATCAACGCTAAAATCCATGAATGTGCGCGCAAGCACGAGCTGACCACGTTTCCAGCTGACATCGCTGTCGCGACGGGCCCAAGCCGAGATCTCATCCATTAATAATAAGCCAGCCAGCCAAGGCTTCTTGACTGCGCGCTATGCGACCTCGTCCGCAAAGCGGAGTAGGGCTGACGTTACACACCAGACACCCGGCAATTCAGAACGTCTTTCTGGGTAGATGTGAAGGGGGTTGAGTTTTGGACCAGCATAACGGGACGAGTGAGTGCACAAGCTTGTGTTGGTCATGGTTTTCTATCACGATGGGAAATTTAGGCCACCTGGCCGGGAAATTAAGTTACGGCACCAGTGTGGGACGATCCTCTGTGCAGCGAAGGCCCGTATTCTCCAGGCGCCAGACCTTGGCCGTCGAGCGAATAAGATGGAGTGCAAAGCCTTTGTCCGTTCTGGCTCGATAAGACTCGCTTGCTGGCTTTCAGACTGGCTGAATAAAATGCCAGCTTCCACCCAGTGACAAAGAACCCCTTTTCTTTGACCGCTCGACGCGACCCCAAAAATGGGATTATCCCTGGACGAGTAATTTCCGAATGACCCATGAAATGCATCCCCGAGCACCTGCAAAGGCACCAATAAACAGTGATTTTTTTATGTTGGAAACCAAGTGAAGCAGAGTGGCATCTCGGAAGTACCGAGGGAAGACGCTCGAACAATCACACACGACAAATTCCAGCAGGAAGAAACGCTCACGTCGGGCGTCTCAAGGAAAAAGGAGATAATTACTCCGTACTCCGTACAGGAATTGGTTTGGAATGCTCAGAATGCTTTGACCACGCGAGTGGACACGAGTCCACGACATCGCAAGGGTAGAGGCCTCGGCAAGTAAACAGGCAGTGATGCGAGAAATATTCCGCAAACTCTCTTGAACATCCTTGAATTGATCCAAAAAAAAGACACTGACATTGGCTCCGGGTTTAGCTGAAGCCAAATATGGAGTATGTATGTGGGCCTTGGACTCGCAAGATTCTTATCAATGTTCATCGATTGGTTCAATGCCGATTTTTGCTAATCTGTTAGTTTCTGCTGTGCAGCTACGAGGTTCCTGACAATCTGGATCCCAGTGAGTTATCCCGTTTAACCAATTAAGAATGCGTGCCTTGCTTTCCACTCCGTGACCTGTGGGAAAGCCTGGGAGCAACCTGCAGACGCCGGTGCGAACAGCGAGCTCAAATGGGCGTCGCCTTTTTTTTTTTTTTTTAAAAAAAAAAAAAGCCCCTGAAAAGAGGCGCATCCAGGTGGGGGAATATCCTGTAAGTTAACAAGAGCTCGAGTGAGACAAGAAGCCCCTGAAATTAAGCTGCCCACCACTCCAACACCCTCTGGAGCCTGCACTCCGTTCTCATAAGCGAATTCAACCAGATATTTTTCTGTGCGTCCAATGGCAGTGCTTTATACAATATCTCCTGTTTATTTTTTCATATTATCTGTAGCCTAGTGGCCGGTGACCTACAGCAGCATCCTGAAGCATCAGAGAGTCCGGAGGAACTGGTACCCGAAAAGATTCCCACGCACTATTAAATTTACATCGACAGAGAACGGAGGACGGAGTATTGAATCAAAAATGGGTTCTTTCGGGGATTATATGAAATACACTCGCTGAATTGTGCATCAGTGTTGGATAGCTACATACGGAGTACAGAGAACGTATGTTGAAAAGAGGCGACATATCATGCCGCAGATAACAATACTCCGAATTTACTCCGCAGGAAGCGATCAATCTCCTACACTTCTGCTTTGTCAAGCGTGAGGCCGAACTGTTGCTGCCAAGCAATATCAGCCCCTTGTCCTTCCTCAAGCCCTGGATGAGAAAAGATTGAGAGAAACGAGCTTGTTGCCGTGTGTGTCTCGCTGCAAGGCAAAAATATGGTCAGAAACACGGGTAAACATTGTCAACCCGCACATTCATGTCCTAATCAATAGACTCAGTCGGCCAGCATGCAGCCAACCGCGGAAGCATCAGTGAAATGGTCCTTCTGAGACATTTCTCTCCAAATCTCATAGGACTATTGGGGGTTTTGCCTGTTCCTGGACAATCCAGGATCCCTCATAGCGCTCAGACAAAACGATCATCGCACGATTCCGCTCTCTGTAGCTTTTCATATGTAGGAGTGTTTCCATATTGTAGTTATGTGTATGCCGGCCTTCGAACAAGGCATTAAGTATGATGTAGTGATTCCGACCAGACTTCGCGCAGACCTGCGTGGTTCCGAAGACTTAGTGACAAGAAAACTCAAGTGCCTTCGCGAACAACCGGGATTCGGAATGCTTTTCAGCCTCAAGATCAGCATCCTGGAAGCTTGAAAGACTTTATCCATCCCCATAGCTTGTGTATTCCGTAGGCTAGTTTGAATTGCGATGCACGCGAACAAGGGGCTCGGTGGCTGACGCAATTTCTATCTGTTATCCCGAGGAAACCAAAGGCCATTGACGGGAAGCGTATGGAGGGGGAAAAGAGGATTGTTTCCCGCGCCCATAAAGGCCGTTGGTGGGCAGGCCGAGCAAGGGTTTGCTTGTTCCAGCAAAGTCGAAGCGAGGTGCACGGATAAGCGGTGGCCTTGAGTGTTGGCGAGTGTAATAACCCCAGATAGCCTAGGGAAGCCGCTGGGTCGGGGGAGAATCGATGATGACGCGATGCGAATATCTTTCTCGATGGGTCAATGTGCAGTCTTTATCGTGGATGACCAGCGGATAATCCAGGTTTCCATTATTCATGCTCACACAGTGCGTGTCTCAAGAGAGGGAATCCCCGCATAGAACAAAGCGGTCAAGCACACCAACTGAAAATGATTGTCTATTTTATCCTGGATATGTATTTCGAGAAGAGGGATTCATATTTTTTTTAACAGAGTAAGATACGCTGGCCTGACTGATCCTCCACGTTCTATGCACCACCTGGCTCTCTCTTGACAGAAATCCCGTTACAACTCCATTTGCCATTGCTCCTCACTTTCATAGATGGATCTGAATGCGTCATCTCATAGCCTTCTATCGTGATCTTGAAAGGGATTACTCATGGGCCTATCGGGGATGATCTTACCGTAATGTTTCGCCTCGGCCTGCTCGACAAGGCCTACAAGGTCGATTGGCCGAATCCCACTCGGATAAGCAACCGCAAAAAGATTTTCTTGAACTGCCTGGATCGATTGACATACATTTATAGCTTGCTCTCGCGTTTCTCGAGCTCCCGCAACGGCATTTCTGCTTTTGTGGGCTGAAGATCTATTCCACGGTTATGCCCTGGCCGTGGCCAGCCAGGCGATGCCCGGTCGTAGCGAATTACACCATTCCCCCTTATCGGGGTGATCCGGGTCATTGATTGGGAGGACGGGTTGCCGCTTCACATATACCTCCCAGTTGTTCCCCTTGGGGAGAGGAATCGTGAAGACCATAATATATTAGACAGATCGATTTCTGCCAGGTATCTTCGGAATTCATTTTTTTAGGTCAGCTAATCATCTGGGTGACCTGGTATTGGCGGCACAAACTCACGTCTTGACTCGCGAAGGTCCGTTGAAGATGTCCCGATTACATAGCATATGTATTATATTATATATATAACAAATGCCTTCTTTAAGGCTATCGACAAAGATACTACTTCTTTCGAATAGCCTGATGGGTAGAAGGAGGAAGCGGGGAGGAGAAGGAATAGAAGAATGCGAGTTAGTTATACTCGAGAAGGGAAGCAAGAATTTTGGGTCAGCCTAATGACCGTTTTAGCGGGTGTAGCCACTGGCGTCAGCCGACTTGACACATACGGCGAGAATGTGTGCAAACATTGCGATGGGCAGAGTCTGTGAATGGTGGATGCTGCTGTCCGATAGGGATGAACGGGTTGACTGACTGACTGGCGAATGTCTCCCTTGTATGTGAACAACAGCAAGCAGGGCTCCTCAAGGAATACTCTTGAATGCGACGATACATTTCATATTCACAACTGGCCAGAGGTAACAAAAGGCCTAGGTATACATGCAGAGACCCAAAGAAAATCGCAGACGAAAGACAGCTTGCACAAAAGAGATTCAGTCAATCCAGAATATGGTATCTCAGTTAATATTTACAGAAAACAGATTAAAAAACAACAAGCGTCCTATGCAATAGGGTAGAAGAGCTCGTAGAAAGTCCTCGGTCATCAAAGTCGTCATACACGTACCTATCCCAACATCATAAACGCCCAACAAAGGTTCGAGCAACAGCTGCGAATTTGACAAAGCACCATAAACCAGCCTCCAATTTCCAAAACACCTCTTATAGTCCTATACAGAATCAAAACAATATGCCGATACTAAGATCGGACACCCAGAGCCGCAACCCCAAGATGGTCGCCATGTTCACGCCACAATCGCGCCTGGGGTCTCCGCGTCTCCTATTCCATCACCGGTGTCTTCGACAGCCTGCTGCCTTTTCCGTTCTCTCCTGATCTTTTCTCCAACAATTATGCTAAAGAGCCTCCATAAGATATCTTCTTCGGTCCATCCTAGAGTATCAGGCCCGCCACTCTTCCTGCTTGCCTCAATCAGATCCTTTCTGAACTTGTCAACGACAGCCAATTGAATCTCCGTAACTTGTCGATGATGATGGCCGTCAGCCGACCACATCCACTTCCCTAACATTGCATCACGCTCCGGTGTCGGAGCGTAGTGAAATAGATGTGGCGATTCTTTTGCTTTGCGATATATACGACGCAGAGCGAAGTAGTGGTCGTTGGTAAAGTAGCCCGAAAGGGCTAATGGCTTTCCATTTGGCCTTCTCCTTCGATGAGTAGCTCGTGGGGTAGTTGAGAAATCAGCTTGTTCTTGAACAACAGGCGGGAAAGAGGTGGATTGCATGGGATATTCGGGTTGATCAAGAGGCGGTTGATTTTGAATACTGTGTGATTGTGTGGAAGGTGAGGCAACAAACCACTTTGGTGCAATATTCGTAAGTCGATTAAACCAAGATGGGTTAACAGCCGTTTCTTGCGCTTTGAAGTTGGGAGAAACGGTATGAACGTCCTCCTCTAAATCATTGCGAGCTTCCCCATTCGACTCAAACTGATTCTCAGCGTTATCTCCAACATATCTTAGATTGGGTGACATTTGATCTCCAAGCAAAGGTGACGGCTCATGTTGGCCGTTGGTCATGATATCGCTGCCGGTATACTTTAGAGAAGGCGGCGGAGGAAGTTCCGAAATTGAATCACTTGAACTCGAAAACGGCGGACGTGCTTGTTGCCGGACATCCTCTATAGTATTGGCTTCAGCTACGGCTGACGTGGGAACTTGCTGCAGAGGAGCCTCGTTCGGCATGGAATTGGAGCCACGTGTGGAGGCTGATTCTAGAGCTCCTCGCATCCATCTCCTCGTCGAACTCTCTGGCGTCCTTATCAGAGATGAAAACTCGAAAGTCATATCCCTGTACTTTTCCAGCTGGGATTTTCCAAGTGACAGCATCGGGTACTTTTGTGTGTGAGCTGACCATGGCTGCCGGGGAAAATTTTCTTCATCTTGGGCGTAGCCTATATTTGTAGGAACAGCGGTTCTGCGTGGGTGAACGGTATCATCATGTGTAACCTCGGCGAACGACGGTGAGTCTGACGGAATAGCCCCCTCTCGAGCCTCCTGCTGCCAAATATCTTCATAGTCATCGTCCTCAGCAGTAGTCTGGTTCCTCAGATCACCAGGTATGTCTTGATCCTGATGATGAGGGGATTTCGTGGCCAAACGTTCGTCGTCACTCTCAATGACAATGACCTGGCTTTCACTTGCCGCCTCAATCTGGCGGCTGATTGCTTCCCTTTCCCGCTGCCATTGCTCTTCACGTTTAGCCATTTCCATGTTTATTTTTTCGGTCAGATTCTCGTCTCTAGGTGTTGGGCTCCCTAGGTGTACGGAAGAGTGATCGTGATCCTCGTCCCGGGACATTGTTGACAGTGACTGTCCATCTGCAGCTATGTCCAGCAGAGGATATTGGATGCCTCCAGAGTCGGAAACAGAAACATGCTCATCTGAAGCCACTTCTGGCTGCCACTCCTGACGCGCTATCCTGGTTCTTTGTGCGAGTGCTTTGCCAAAACGTAATGCAGCACATAGATCTCTTCGAATCTCCATGCTAAAGCCCTCAAACAGTTTCTCTATTCGTCGTCTTGTAGCTTCGGAGTCATCATCTTGCGTATCGGTAGCATTATAAAGAGGGGCGTCTGAATTGAGTATCCTCCAATTACGGTTCAGCATTCTTTGCAGTGAGATTCCAGTCCGGATTATACGCGCTAGCCGAACAATAAGACTTCGGCGCGATACTTGTTCGGGCACCACAGGTACCGCTGGCGGTGTGAGATGGTGTGGAGGAACATTGTTAAGGACTGGCTTTTGGGCTTGAAAGTCGTCCGTCTCAGCTCTGTTTGCTGGCCATCCACCTAGTGCTGTTTCGGTAGGACGGGGATCGGTTGCAGGACTGGGTTCTGCTGCGGAGGGAGTGGAAGCCCCATTTTCTAAGGCTTTTTCTGTTCCCGCATCCGCCTTCGCCAAACTTTTCTCGAGAGGGGTTTCAATGGTGACCGGTACAGACGAACGTTCTTCTAGAGAGCTAAGGAGTTTCCGCTTCGCAGACGGCAATGAATTTAGCGAAACCATACTGAATCCTTCGCTTTCCATGATAGAGTCAAATTCCCTATGGTCCTCGTTTGGGTCCGCAATACGTTCCCCCAGTTTCACTACCTTTGTTTTGGTAGTCGAGGAATGAATATTGTTAGCCTCTAAAGGTTCTTCTCCTAGTTGGGAAGAAGATGTGGGAGTCGGATAGAGACGGAATTTAGGCCTAGGAGTATGTCCAGCAAAAGTTACGTTGATCGGGGATGGACCAACATCTCCGTGTATAGGTGAGGTTTCCGAGACCCCAAATTCTTTCCCGGGTTGCCCGGGTTGCAATCTTTCCCCTGCTTCAGCTATTGGAGTCAATTTTGGCGAGGTTTGATCATCTTGAATTGTAGGAGCACCAAGATTAGGCTGAGTGGTCTGATACGTAGAAGCGTATGTTTCTGGCTCATACGCGGCACCATCAACACCACCTTGGGCGATATCCAAAAACGGATCATCTCCACTGAGCAGGTCTGCGATTGATTTTGCGGGCGAGGAGTGACGCGTGGGTGAATTCTCTCGAACGGGCTCTAGGGTCTTCCTTGACCTTCCTCTTTTTCGCTTCCCTACACTATCTAAAACGCCATCGAAAATTCCAGCAGGTCTCTTCCTTCCCGGAGTGGGCGCACGCTTGGATACGTCAGTTTTCCTCCCTTTACGGGGTGACTTCTTCGGTGAGGGCTCAGCCGATGAATTTCCACCCTTCAGGGGTATTTTCAGGGCGTTGCCGCTTTCCCAACCACCAGCTCTGCTTTGGATAGTGTTTTGACCCTCCTCTTCTTCGTCGCGCTCGGCTTCTACCGTCACTCGGATCCGCCAGGGACTGATGTTACTTTCCGAGTGCATGGTCGTTTTGGTTGGGGAAAGCGATCTCTGGTTGAAGCGGTCCCCCGAAGGTGTAGACGGGAGGACTATATCAGGATACTTGATCGATCTTGCGACGCTTTTCGCACTTCTTTTGCCTTTACTTCTGGTGGACCACGGGGTTCTCGGGGTTCGGGACTTGAAGGGTGTCATGCTCAGTCTCCGCTGGGAGAACGGCTTTGTGGCGGATGAGAGTAGAAATTCAGGATCGCCGGGATAGCCCAGCGGGTCAGGGGACGAACTTCCATTTCGACTCTCCATTGCGATACGTTGTTATCCTTTCTTTGCTCCAGAGCGGGAGGAATGGCAGGCGGCGGCAGGGAATCGCGAGAAGTGCGGAGGGGGCAACAGCGGTAGCAGGTATCAAGGATTGGAAGCTATGCTCCATCGGGCGCGACCTGGTTGGAGTCGCAGGCTCATCGATTCTCTTTCAGCGCTCAGGCTAGACCTGGCAATGCGATTTCAAGACGTCTTGCTCTGGTCCGATCGGTTCGCCTTCGACGGAGCTTCGTGCTGGTCGTCGGAGGTGGCTCGTGCGCTTTGTTTATGTTTGCATTGATTATATCATCCACCCTCATCGCTGGAGCCGGATCAATAATTATCCTACCTCGAGAAAGCCTTTCATACACTAACCAAATTTGGCCTAGAAGAACTCCAGCCACACTTCGGAAGTACTCGGCCCGAGAGACTCACCGGAGCAACCCACAGAGACGGCGAGACAACAGCACCACTCCACTGCAGCAGCATCGCAGCATCGCAGCATCGCAGCACTGCAACAGGGATCTTATCGACAAATATGGCTGGTTCCGATCCGGGAGAGTGGTCTCCCTCGCGCATCTCTTATTCTTCCTGGTCTCGGCTTTCGGTGCCGCTCTATGTGCGCATATGTACCTCTACATCACCAGGCCGCCCGTTAAAAAAGCTCTTGAATGTTGAGCTTAGTTCTGTGTTACCATCAACTTTATAGTTCAAAGCACGAGTGGTACGGTCCGTCCCGGGCAGAGTATCCCCAGCCGCAAACGGTCCGAGCGGCGGATGGACCGGGATTGTTTCAAGTGACAAGTACATACGCAGCTCGTCGATCTGACTTCCAGCAAGGTGGTTGCAGCGTATGACGATCCACTTCCCGCTGGTCGGCATCATATCGCGACGTGGTACCTCCATTCCTACCTGGAGCTATGGTATGCCCTCTAATACGTTACGTTGTCTCCCACAATCCCGTCCATGGTCCAAAAATCTCATCGTTTGTTGGGTTCACTTTTATTGTCCCTTAGCGACATGACTGTTAGTATTCACTCATCCGTCCCACGGCTAGCCTGTATTTCTCCTGTAGCTCAAGGTTCTCGACTCCGGCGACGGAGAGTGGTGACGTCGTATAGTTCGTGATTTGAATTGTAAGGAAGGGGGTATAATAACCCCGCCCCTTCACGCCCTTTGCAGATCCCTTTATATTTCTTAGTTGAACCATGAATAGTTACGGAGTATATCAGAGAGGAATTGACACTATTTTCTTCCGCCACCACTTTTGCAGGCAGGAAAATGCACTATTCGCGTTTCGTTGGGGCTTTCTTGCTCGCCTGCGTGGGCGTGGCTGGGACGCCACAGGGCATGAATGTCACTGTTCCCGCTCCGCAGCCAGCTCCCGCGCCCACCGACTTCCCTTCTAACGCTTCTACAGCACTGCAAGTATATACGATATCTGCAAACAATATCACGGCATCGTTTATTCCGTATGGCGCCCGCCTGGTTTCGTTGCTTGTTCCCGATCGATCTGGCCAGCAGCAAGATGTCGTGGTCGGCTTTGACAATCCGGAACAATATGTTGAAAATGTCGCGTCTAACAATGCCTATCTTGGGCCTATCGTTGGACGATATGCGAACAGAATAAAAAATAGCACATTCATCTTGGATGGCGTTGAGTATAAAGTCCCCTCGAACGAGTTCAACGATACCCAAACGCTGCATGGCGGCCCCGTTGGTTATGATCAGCGGAACTGGACTGTCACTAACCATACCGAGGACTCCATAACTTTTGCTCTCTTTGATCCCGGATTTGAAAATTTCCCAGGGAAAGTGGTGAATCTGGCTGCTTATACAGTCTCTTCTTCGTGGAGTCCCGACAACGCAAGCTTCGAAACCAAGCTGACCACGAGGACGGTATCCATTGCGCAGTCAGACAGGACGCCTATCATGCTGTCTAACCACATCTACTGGAATTTGAACGCCTTTAAGGAGCCAAATATTTTGAACGACACATTCCTCCAACTACCCCTTTCTGACCGATATATATCCACGGACTCCCACTTGATTCCAACAGGACAAATAGCAGATGTTAAAACTTCTTTCGATGAAGCCCTTGACTTCACATCCCCCAAGCTGATCGGCCAAGATATCCAATCAACCACTGGCCTCTGCGGTGACAACTGCACCGGCTACGATACATGCTTCATCATCGATCGGCCAACGAACATTTCTGACTGGACGTCGTCCCCCAAAGCCATGGTCCCAGCTCTAAACATGTTTTCCACTACCACTGGTATCTCCATGCTCGTCAGCACCAATCAACACGCCGTCCAGATCTACACCTGCAGCGGTCAGAATGGGACCTTACCGGTGAAACAGTCGCAAGTTGACCGCAATAATCAGCAGAATACTGGAAATACAACTCACCCGGTCGATACTGTGCAGAAATATGGCTGTATCGTTATTGAGCCGGAAGGCTGGATCGACGGAGTTAATAATCCACAGTGGGGCCAGTTGCAATATCAAATATTTGGGCCTAACACCCCGCCAGCAGTTAATTGGGCTACCTACGTCTTTGGAAGAGTGTAATGGGGAGATACACGTTAATGGAGAAGTTTCTGATTGAAGCATGTAGGAGTTTGGAGCAAGGAGTATAACTTGGTTGTGTTTTTAGCGACTGCACACGGGAAAGTAGCTTTGCTTATACCCGTTGATACCTTAGGATTTACAAAAGGCTTCCAATATCATTCCTTACCACCTGATCGGCCTCAAAGAAAGCCGGTTCTAGCTTGATAGTGCCCGCTTTTATGCCCAGCAGTTCATTCATTCCTCCAAATTTCCATACGGGACGCCACGGAATGATTTTGCATCTAGGCCTCCTGTAAAATAATTGGATTCCTTCCTGCCGTCGTTTGTCACCGCTTAGTATGACCATGTAGCCCCTAATTTCCCGACAAATCAGCCCAATATGCGTTGAATTCCGGCACTGACTGAGAACCAGCAACAATGACATACGCCTGCATGCCAGACCAACAGACCACCGGACGTCATCCCATTCTTCCTGTCTTCATAAAACCGAAACCCAAGGGGAGCATCACAATTGCCATAACTCCACCGGACGCCAAGACCCGAGCCGTAAAACCGTAAGAAGCCTCCCTCGGTTTAGTGGTAATCGTCTGCAAACAAACGATTCCACCCTCCAAATGTGGGGAGCTCCCTAAATCTATAAATAGGTGGAGGCGTTAGCTATCGGCGCTGAATGGGAAGGGCAGCTATAACAGAGTGGCTCACCTCCCGGGTCTGAACCCCAAAGGCCGCCCGAATTCCTCAATTCGCTCCATCTCTTGCAAATGGAACATGACGAACTTTGCAAGGCGGTTTCTCGTGTTTTTCACCCCCTGAATGCGGGCGTTCAAGCATCCAGCAGCGTGGACGAGGTGGTCTTTGTGGCGCATACTGCGGAGGGTGCATGCCAGTTGCCCAATGGTCTCGTTATGACCCTGGATTTCTCGCTTAAGCCGTTCAAGCTGGCCGACGTGGTAGTTAACAAGACCTTCAAGCTTCAAACGATCATATGGCAAATCGTCGCGGGGCGAGTCAAGGAGACCTGGAGCTTCGAGCTCCGCGGCAGAGAATATTTCCCCAAGGAGCTGACTGGTTCTGCGTCTTGAACCTCTTGAGCCTGCTGAATCGTCTCTGTTGACCGGGGCACCCAAAAGGTTGGCATTCGAGGCGCGTCGACGGACTGGGGACGGCAACCTCTCTCTCGATGGCAGAGGGGACCCTGACATTCTGCGGAGTCCCTGAACGAAGGAACCCACTCGCCGCATTCTTATGTAGGAAAAGTGGCTTTGATATAGTCGCCGAGATAAAAGAAAACGTTTCTTTCAAAGCTCAAAGTGCTTTGAGGAACATATAACGTTCAAAGAGCTTTACAATCTCACAACAGCTTCAAGGGAAAGGAGATTTTTTCTTGTTCACGTCACTATGGAAACTAGCAAAGTGTGACCATGTAGTAAGAATGTGGAGGTAAACCCCGAAGCGAGGTGAATGGAAAGGGCCGGTCGCGCCTTGTCCGCCGGGGAAACATGTGTCGAGGAGGAAACGAGCACTGCCTTTCATTCTTTCATTTGGGCTTCTTCCGCGTTTTTCATTACTCCTATTCGAGATAACTACCACGGCAGGCTTCCCTTGGCCTTTCATAGCATAGGAAGAGAAACTGTTACGGCCAGCATCTCGACATGATGCCTGAAGCTGAACTCAATATCCACGCCGCATGTCTCTGCTAATGCAGCATTCCCTTCTGGATCAATACCGAGGTTCTTGGGTATCAGGGTATATTAGGCAGGTTGCGTTGTTGGTTGACGATGTTCAAAGATCTGACTATGCCCATTCTCCCAGTGTCCAACTAGATCTATCGCCTCCAGATCTAGCCATGCTTGGCCCGTAGCCAGACCTTCGATCCATCGATGTGCTGATGTTATGGTCCCTGGAGGCACCTGCGAACCCATGCTGAAGGAACTTCTCGCGTTCAACTTCAACTAATCCCTTGACTTTTAAACTGGATGCCAAGCTGGCACCCGCCCACGATCCCAGCGAATCTACTTGCCGAAGAACTCCATGAACATGTGGCGTAGAGTCTTTGCTATTTCGCTGGAATCTCTCGTCAATGAAGCTGGTATCTGGCGTCTGTTCCGATGCCTTGGTACGCACGTCGTTGCTGGGCCGATCGGAGCCTGCTTTTTCATTCACACCTCGCTCCCGACTTTCTCCTTTTTCAAACACTTTGCCTCGAGTTCGAGACCACTGGTGCTTCTCGATGACGGTATCCACATCTTCAATGATTCTTTGCCGCAATCCGGGGATGTTTGATCCGCCGCCAATAAACACAATTCTAGACATGCAGGTTCCCCGTACATCTGGGCACAGTGAACGTAGCGAATTGTAGACCAGCATGTCTAGTGGAGTGTCCTCATCGTCCCAATCTCGCCCAGTGGTTCCACCTGCAAACAAGGCTTGTTCTACCAATTCGGAAAATTTCAGGAATGGAACGTCTATATACGACATCGTGTTTCCCACAGGTAATGGTAGGGATACTAACTCGGATAGACCAGGCGCGGCGTTGGGGCTGTCGTCGCCATCGTCTAGGGCGGACGTTTGGTGTGAGTCTTCAGCTCCTTCAGATTCTGGTCGCTGTCTAGTCGTGGTTCGAGTTCTGCACCAAGCTAACCGGGTCATAATTTCTTCGCATAGATCAACGCTTACGTCTATGGTATCATCTTCCGTGGTTGTCAAGCCTTCTTCCTGGCGGACAACTTGGGTCAAGAATCGCCCCACCTGTTGCATTAAGAGTTTCATTGCACGAGTACTTCGTTTGGATTGAATTTCCCGATATTCGTAAAGGGCCGTAACTGTCGTTTCTTCCCAACCAATGTCTACGACAAGAGCTGATCTGACACCCGCAGCCACAGCGGCCATAGCAGAAGATGGAAGCAAGGTGATAGCGGGATATCTCCAGCGGTGGAATATAGTGGATAACAGGGAGGAGAGTAAGACATGAGGCACGATTGACGGAAGAACAAGAACGAGTCGCGACGAACCAGTATCCGTGAGCAGATATTTGTTGTATAGTTCCCGAATGGCTCGTTCAAGCTTGTCTTCAAAAAGACCAACGTCAAGGCCACGAATATCCTTACGCCAGAGTTCATAGCTTTTTAGCCAGTTTTGGATACTGGTAGGCGCTATCTTTCCCTTTTGGCTATCTTGGTTTGGACTCCGTATCCATCCTCGATAATCACCAACCCGTCTTCCTTCCTCCGGGCCGAATCCTACCACACACACGGGAGTGCTGTTGCCTTCAAACCCGGCCCGCAGCCAACGAGACCCAATTTCTATGATAACGGAATCTTCTTCATGTCGAAATGACGATCCCGGCGAGGGAGAACCGGTGTATGGTGAGTACATCTGACGGGATTGCTGTGGAGTGTGCGGGGATGCGGGAGCATGCGTTCGGGAAGATCGGAGACTTGTTCGTATATCAGTCGCAGATGACCGTCTATCAAAACCAGAGGATGACGAAGAAATGGTTGTCATGACGGTCAATTGAAAATTCCTTGTCTTCAAGGCCAAGTCATTCGTAGCTTCAAAATGGAGAACACAACTCAAAATCGTAGCAACACCTACGGTGTCAAAAATGCAGGATCAGCTCCAGATTTATTTCAAGTAGTTCGGTTTATATAGTTTATTCATATGCACCATGGCTCTTGTGGATCATAGCTTATAAGACCTCTGCTGGACCATCACCAACTCGCTGTGAATCCATGTAAACAATGCTTCAGCAGCAACAGCACAGTCTGTTGTGAAGAAGCTACAATATGAGAGGTATCACTTACGCTTCTCAATGTCAAGAATAGCTCTGCATCAATCTTCGCAAGTGCATGGAGCTTCGATCCCATCTTCACTGTTCCATGCTGTGATGTCGTCGCGCGTGAGAGAGGGTGTGCAAGGTGATGTCGCCAGGGGACAAACGCCTTGGCGGTGAAGAATGGCAGAATATGCCCCCAAGCCAGTTTGCTGCAGCCTGCCTGATTACTGGTTGCATGCAGAACACACAATTCATCACAGGCCCAAATGGATTCCCAGTTACCATGTCATCGATAAGCATACATGGGTATTCCCGGGTAAGCACTCACCTGTTCCAGGTATCTATGTTCATAAGTGTTGTTCTAGGTACTAACATTGCTTTCAGCCTTCTACAGGAGCTCGGCCCTGGAGATCGAGTCTCCTTGGCTAAATTAGCTATCGACCATTTTCAACAGACCTCACGGCCGCTCCGCATTGCAATCGATGTATCAATCTGGCTGTTTCAGGCTCAAGCCGCCCAGGGAGGTTTAAATCCTGAGCTGCGAGCATTGTTTTACCGACTCGCAAGGTTGATATCATTACCAGTCCATCCGATCTTCGTGTTTGACGGCTCAGGACGCCCTGAATACAAACGAGGGAAGTTGGTCATTAGAAATGGCAGGGCTGGTGCTTGGAATATCCGCTCATCGAAGCGACTCATTGAGCTCTTCGGGTTTCACCACCACGACGCGCCAGGGGAAGCAGAGGCAGAATGCGCAAAGTTACAAACAATGGGCATAGTTGATGCAGCAATGAGTAACGACATTGACACGGTTATGTTTGGATCTAAGATCACATTTATGAATTTCTCAAGAGCTTCTAAAGGCCCTAGTGCCGCTACGCATGTTAGTGTGTATCGTCGTGACGGGTCCGCGACTAATGTCCCATTTGATGTCGGTGGTATGGTCTTGTTTGCGCTTCTAAGCGGAGGTGACTACTTACCGGCAGGTGTGCCGAGATGCGGGCCCAAATTGGCTGCCGAAATTGCGCGTGCCGGTTTTGGCACCGATTTGTTAGACATCATCACCTCCAACCCAAGGGATTTAACTATGCCCTTGAATGAATGGAGAAAAAGATTGGATTACGAACTTTCGACGAATGAAAGCGGGTATTTTAAGTCTAAGCACATGGCTGTTCGGATACCGGAAAGCTTTCCTGACCTGCAAGTGCTATTTGACTACATTCATCCACTGACTTCGTCCGAAAGGGACTTGGAGAAACTTCGAAAACTCCAATGGAACGGAGACTTTGACGTATCTGCACTTCGACAATTCGTTTCTGAAGAGCTTGGGTGGACGAGCCTTGCCGGAGCGCATCGATTTGTCAGGAAACTGGCACCTGCGCTCATTTGCTACCGCCTATACGCTCAACCACAGGCTCCCCCTCGGGCCAAAGTATCTGGCAGAAAGGACAACCCTACTATGGACGGCTTGGCAGAGATAAAACTGCAATTCGTTCCCGCTCAAGTTGTGGGCTTAAACCTAGAATTAGAATCGGAATCCTTGTCCCAAACAGAGAGTGCAGATGTGACTGTTGATATGGTTGAATCTGATGATGAAGACGACGGGATCGAGATGCTTCATTCTACCACAAAACGAGTATTTTATGACCCAACAAAGGAACAAACGCTCTGGGTCTTTGAGGCTCTCGTCAAAGTAGGTATGCCAGACGCGATACAACAGTGGCAAGATGAACAGGAGCGGAAAAAGCTGGCAGCTTCCAAACCTCAAGTTTCTAAGAAGGGAGCTAGGGGTACAAAGAAAGTTGTGGATGCTGGAATGGCGCCAGGGGCGCTTCATCGATATGGCACCGTTGTGAAGCCCCAGCTACGGACGTCTACAGCTCTTGGAAAATCTGGCAGGTCTACGATTGAAAGGCGGAATCAAACTGGCGAAGGCCGTCGTGACTCTATGAGCAATCATACACAAAGGACGATTGCAGACTGCACTGCCTTTGCTGTTCGAAGCACAAAAAGCGGAACATCCTCATTCTCCAGGGAGCCGAAGCCTGCAAGGAAAGTTGATCACCCAACTTCCAGCGACATCGAGGCAGCTATGGCTCTCGGAGACAGTGACGAAGGTAGATTGTCATGTTCCACAAACCCAAAGGACGATTCTAACCATTCTCACTCTTTCAGAGCCCTGGATTTACTAGAGACGGAGTTCCAATCTATTACAATCTCTTCTTCGTCTGACGAAGGCTCGTCTCGGGCTGAACGAAGAGGAAAGGCTAGCCCTGTAAAAGGCAGATCAAAAGCCACGAAGTCAAGGGAAACACGCAACAAGTTGGGCCCGTCGAAATTCAACACGACCCATTTGTCTCCACAAGCCTCCGTATCGTCATCAGACACCTCATTGATCAAGGAAGCGCTTGCTACTCCAAAGCATTCCGCACAGCCTATATTGAAGCCTCCATGTGAAGGGAAAAACCTGACATCCCTGGACTCGTTACTGGTCGACGACTTCCAAGGACTATCCATTCAAGACGAGAATTCATTGCAGTCCACTGAAGCACCCAGCGAGCAAACGACACATATACACCTGCAAGATATAAACATCTGGAACGGCTTTTGGACGCACACACCCGGAGTTCGTTCTAAAGATACTTCGTTAGCAAACTACTGCGATAAAGCGCCAACCCAGTCCAAGTCAAGCAAACAAAAGAAGCATGCCGGGCGGATCAGCATCCTAGATCTAACTTGATCGAACTTGGTTGCGCCTACTCCTGCCCTCCTTTTCTACCAATACTCCGATGTCCATGTTACACTTACCAACACCGACGAGGGTCAGTATTGGCCTCGTCAAGCATGACATCCTTTCTTAGAAAAGCATGTCCGATAAAAATCGAAAATCATGGAGAATGATACGATTTGTCTTTTTTTTTTTTTTTTTGCGTTCCAAAAAGTCTGCTATACTTTATCAGCGCAGACCAATGTTAACTAATAAGCACTGACTAAAAAGGTTCCCAGCAAACCTCATAATAGCTATCAAGCATGGTGATTCCCCAGAGGCCCCTCTGGTATTGTAGGCGAAATCTTCGTGCTACAGAAGAATGGCATAAACACATTAAATACGTAATGATAAACAATGTTAATTCAAGGGGGATTATGATCATTTCTACGCAGGATGACTTCTGTCATGGTTCAATGTTATTGTGAACATAACGAGGAGTGTGGCCGGGTAACGACGGCGAGAAGATCGGTTATTTACTATACATGCAGAGGTATGCTAGGTATTCAGATCTAATAAAGCAGTCTCGTGTTCAAGGAGTTGCGAAGGACAAAAAAAGGGGGAATATAAGGAAATGCATTTAATAGGGGTACTGTTGGAGGTAACAGGGTGAAAAATGGGCATCTTTAAAAGGTGTATCTTCGGTCTGAACGGGCGAGAGTGGAGGACGCTGGGCATCGATAGAAAGAAACAGGATGATTAGAAGGAGGAAAACATGCAGACAACGTAACAGCGTAATTAAATAGGACAACACCGAAAGAAAGAAAGGAAAACTGCCAAAGTGCAGTTTATGACCCGAAAACCTTCAAGAATCCCCACATTCCAACGCCGCTCAACACCGGAATAGTCAAATTATCGTCCCAACCGAACAAATCAATCAACTCGCTACCAGCAGCGACGATGCCCGTCCACAAACTCATCACACCGAGGGCGAGTGGGCCGGACACCACAGCTTTATCCGTGATCCCCCGGGAGATTCCCACCCATTCAAGGGCACCTTTCACGTAGTCTGGGATAAGGTTCAATGTTCCAGTGAACATGAACGAATTCTCAGGATCGTTGGCAAAGGAGCTAACAGTGGGAACAAGGTAGCCCCAGAATGCTGTAGCAGTAACTATGCCGACAGCACAAGCGGCCAAAGTGCCTGCTAAGCTCTTTCCTCTGCGAATTCGAGGGGTGTAGCGACCATAGAGACGCCCGAAGGTCGATGCTGCTGTATCGCACCAGCTCAGAAGCAGAACGCCCATAACGCCCACGTCTTTGGGGAAGAATCTCAAGACAATGAAGGCACCAAGGAGGTACCAAATGACGCCATTATAACCCGACACCTCAGTTTCGCGCATCAAGGCACCCAGGCAGCGAATATAGAGTTTATTAACCGTCTGGAAACGGTGCCTAAGGAAATCTGTGGCAGCAATGGGAATCAAGGCCGTGAGAAGCCATGGAGTGATCTCCAACGTCTGCACGCCACGGCGATAAAGATCGATCGTGATAAAGCCGATTGAGACATGGAGCAGCTTTCGTGGAATCTCATGGCGATGGATAAAATTTCTGTAGTGTCTATGGAGGGGGATCAGGCCGAGAGGTGACGGCGAGCGCGATAGATCACGGAAGGGCTCCTTGGCCGTTGAATATGGCGAGAGATGGCCATTAGGGGAGAGAAAGCCATTCGTCAAAGGTTTCAACTTTGAAGGGGATTCGTCGATTGATGCCAGGCCTGACAGGCGACGCCGAGTCTTGCCGGGCGACTTTGTAATCGGGCTCCGAGATCGGGTTCTGGCGCGCTTGTTGGTGCTCGAATCTGAGCCGGACTCGTTCTCCTGTCCTCTATCTTCTTCTGAGATTGGTGGAGGGGAAGAGAGCTGTCGCCTTGCTGAGGCAGAACGAGTAAGGGGCCCTCGATAGCCATCTTTCGATTCCGAGAGTTCCGAGGGGGTGGGAGAAGGGGATATCACGCGCGGTGTCGCGGGGATCTCATTTTGGAAAGGCATGACAGGGACAAGGGCGAGTGGTTGTAAGCACGATCTGGCTGTGCAGATGCAAGTTCAGAGAAGCTTCGGTTCAGACAGACAGTAGAGAGCGTTTGGAGGAGCTAAATAAAATGAAAGTCGGAGATGGCGGCGGATTTTTTTTGTTTTTTAAGATTTTCTCAAGGGGCATGTCAACTGCGGCGAGGAAGGCACAGGCGCATGTTCGTCGATCGACGGCTTCGCGCAGGGCTCGAGGATGGAGGATGCGGTTCGAGGAGAGGCAGCGAAGAGGCAGGCTGGAGGAGAGGTGAGTCCCTGTGCTGCTAGCAGGCCATGTTTGCTGGTCTGAAGCCGAGAGATGAAATTATTCGCGGAGCACATGCTGGCCGGAACAACATCAATTTTGGTAAATCTTCCGGTTCGTGGCTGTGCGGGTGGCGCTGCACCAGCCAATTGAGGGTGGGGAACTGAGGCGCTTGGGCGGAAAAGCAAATATTCCTATCCAATCAAACCATCAGGTTCGTTACCGCTAGTAAAGCGGTTACGCCATTTCAAAAAATTCTCCGCTTAGTCAAAGGCGGTGTTTAGCGGCATAACTGTGGGTCCCGTGATCAGCCCTGCCAAGCCTCCCGAATTGGGAAATTTTGTGAGCCAGCGCAAAAGCGGCAGCGACGAGCCCAAGGGAGCCCGTAAACAAACCCTTCCCCCCCCCGTTTGCGGAAGGCACAGTTTTCTGCAGCCAGCAATGGCATCCAAAAAGAAGGAGCGAGGGCCTCCGCCGCATTCCCGCTCTTGGCAGGCCCTGACGCCGCCGCTGTCGGAATGGATCCTCGACGCCGTTGCGGCGATGGGCTTCACCCGCATGACTCCCGTCCAGGCGTCGACAATCCCGCTCTTCATGGGCCACAAGGATGTCGTCGTGGAGGCCGTGACTGGCAGCGGGAAGACCATGGCGTTTCTGATCCCCGTCGTCGAGAAGCTCCTACGCCTGGAAGCTCCGATAAAAAAGCACCACGTCGGAGCTATCATTGTCTCGCCAACTAGGTGAGGGCAAACTTGCTTTGCGTTCCCCGGTTTGCCTACGAGATCTGTGTCTTGCTAACCTATAGCTTCAGAGAGTTAGCTGAGCAGATATATAAAGTCCTTCTTTCCCTCCTCGCGTTCCACGCGCCCTCCGCTGCGGCCATACAGCCTTCAACCTCCGATGAGACGGCAGATGGCGAAACCACCCTTCCCTCCTATCCCTCCTCGACACTGAAAGTAGTTCCGCAGCTACTCCTTGGCGGTGCAACTACTCCCGCTCAGGATCTAAGTACATTTTTGAAACGCTCGCCGAACCTCTTTGTCTCCACTCCTGGCAGGCTCCTTGAACTCCTTTCCTCCCCGCATGTACATTGTCCTCAGACTTCTTTTGAAGTTCTCGTCCTAGATGAAGCCGACAGGCTACTGGATCTCGGGTTCAAGGATGACCTGCAAAAAACACTTGCCCGGCTGCCGAAACAAAGGCGAACCGGTTTGTTCAGTGCCACCGTGAGCGACGCCGTAGATCAGATCATCCGAGTTGGTTTGCGGAATCCCGTGAAAATTGCTGTTAAAGTAAAAGGGGCACCTGGCACAGAAGAGAAGCGTACCCCGGCAAGGTGTCTAGTCACTCCGGGTCCTTTTGATGTGAACAAACAGCTAACGCCGCAACAGTTTGCAGATGACATATCTCCTGACACGCCCCTCTCATAAAATCCCCGCCATCAGGCAGATCCTCAACTCGATAGACAATACACCACAGAAAACTATTCTATACTTTTCGACATGTGCTGCAGTAGACTACTGGAGCCACGTCCTACCCTCCCTACTCCCCGAAATATTCGTCACCCTACCCCTTCATGGAAAGCACCCACCTAATGTCCGACAAAAGAACTTCAGCCGTTTTACCAATTCAGTATCTCCATCGGTCTTACTAACCACCGATGTCGCCGCTCGAGGATTAGATATCCCGCTTGTTGACCTGGTAATCCAGTTTGATCCACCAACCGATCCTAAGGCATACCTCCACCGATGCGGTCGTGCTGGCCGGGCTGGACGTCGTGGCCTAAGTGTCATATTGCTCTGTCCTGGCCGAGAAGAAGATTACATACCCTTCCTTGAAGTCCGAAAAACACCTGTATCACTTCTTGAATCTCCTCCGGTAGCCTTATCCGACACTCTCGCGACAGAAGCAACAAGCAAAATCCGGGAAACTGTCCTTCGTGACCGTGCATTGCACGACAAAGCCCAGAAGGCCTTTGTCAGTTGGGTCCGCAGCTACACTAAGCATCAATCTAGTAGCATCTTTCGTATCACGGACATAGACTGGGAAGAAGCAGGTCGCGCGTGGGGCTTGCTCAAGCTGCCGAAAATGCCAGAGCTGCAGAAGTTCTCTGGGGACAGGACACTCGGAGTAACCCTGGACTGGGACAAATATTCCTACAAAGATAAGCAGCGAGAGAAACACCGTCAAGAATCTCTAAACTCTGCCACTACCCATAACCCCTTGAAACGCCCCGCCCCATCATCCTCTTCAAACAACGACACAGCGCCATGGAGCAAGACTCTCGAAAAGAAATCCGACAAAGAAAAACGGCGCGAACGCAAACGCGCAAAGAAAGAGAGAGAACATTGGGAGAAGATGACGGAAGAAGAGAAAACCAAATCTCGCGAGACACACCAGATGCTTGAAGAGCTCCGGAAAAAGAACCGGCAAGAGCTCAACGCAAAATCCCACACTTCTTCTAGCGTTCTTTCAAAGCCGCAAGAAGCGGAGCTCGATGGCGAGTCGGAGTTCGAGGGCTTCGACTAAAGTATTGTAAACAATTATAAATGTAGCTGTCTCAGATTCAATAATTACATGCCTAAGTTACCTCAATTGCTCGTCTATCTATGTAGTATTCTCCAGTCCCATTATCGCCATCTTCCACAAATAGTCAAAGCCATTAAGCAACACTTGTAACATCGAGACACCGCCCCGAATCCGCGAAGCAAAAGGTAGCTTCTCCCGGAAAAAAAAAAAAAAAAAAAAAAGGAAGAGGGGGGGGGGGGGGGGGGGGTTGGTTGAAAGCCCAACGGATGGAACTTTCCGTCATCATAATTATAAAAGATCAAATCCCTCACTTGGTGGTCCTTGAGCTGGCATTGTGGATGCATTTGGATCGGTTCTCTCTTTCAATATTTCCTTTCTTCTTTGGTTTTCCCCCCCGCGATGCACTTTCATGGCGATAAATTCTGGAGATTTTGGTGAGATCCGGAAAGAGAAGAAGGTATTGAGCCCCCTGGGTCGTGGAGTTGTCCGAAGGAGCTAAATCAAAGACCGCTGATATTTTTGAGCATCTAACAAACTTGCTTCGCGTGATATTACGGCGATAATGTGAACATTACCCCAATATGAACCGACCCCGACGAATAGCACAGAAATCACATTTTCGAATCAAATCATTTGACAACATGGGCTTCGCACTACTTACATCTTGGGCTCCTGTCTTTTAAGAATACAAAATTATAAAAATATTAAACAACGACAAAAACGACAGAACCGACAGAACCGACAGAACCGACAAAAAAAAAACCATGAAAAGAAAATAACTAAAAGGAAAAGGCCCATGCCGCTCCGGGAGGCTACTCCAACCCAAAGGAGGCATCCCATGAAAATACCCAGTCCCGAAGGAGGGCATTCACTAGAGGAAATACCAGGGCGAAAAAAAAACTATATACAGGAAAGAAAATCCCCTTTCGGCTCCGCAAACCGGGCGGACGCAACTACAAACGCACCAAGCCGAAAGGCGGGCGTTTGCAGAGACGTCGGAGATACAGGAAAGAAAATAAATATGTACGATAAAAATAAAAAGACAGGAGCCCACTTAAAAAAAAAAGGAAAAAGAAGCGAAGAAGAGGAAACACCCCCAAATCATTTGCCCGTCTTAAGCGACGAGCGCACCTCGCAACCGGCCGAATTCACGACCGAACAGCCCGGAGCCCGCGGCTTCCCCACGACCACCACCAGAGATGGGGCTGTAAGGGTTGGCCGCAGGCCAACGAAGCACAAAGGTGTCTGCCGGCACCGTTGTCTTTGCGGGCGGTGCCGCCTCCTCCTCGACGTCTTCCTCATCACTGGAAAACAAGTTGTAGTCTAACTTGTATGTTCCAGTGGTGTTTGTGATGACGGGAGGGGCCGACACACGGGTTGGAGGTCTTCCCAGAGCGTGCGAGAGGGCGTCTGCAGAACCGTGGCTCGCTGGTGCCGCACCAGGCGAGGGGGCGGTCTGTTCCGCAGCGTGGACCTCACGCGAGAGGCGGCTCGGAGTAATTGGCGCGCGGGAAGGTGTCATATCGGCAATGGCCATGGTACGTTGAAGCCTAAGCTTCGACGGGGTGTCTTGAGGGCTCACGTCAAATCGGACACGCTTCCGTTCTCGAAGGATGCCTCTGGGGGGAAGGGATTTGGGGGGCTTTGTCTGAGGAGGTTCCTCTTCCTCTTCTTCGCTTTCTGAGCTATAGCAGAAGTACTTGAGATCCATGCCATAGCTAACACCCGGGGGATTTGGAATCACGTCTGGTGAAGGAGATCGCTTTCTCTTTTTGGGTTTAACGACTGGAGCTGCCGCATCCTTGTCCCTTTTTGCAGCAGGCAGAAGAGAACGGGAAACTTGCGGCTTATCACCAAACGGTACTTCAACTTTCCGGGCACCGAAAAGCAGGCTGCGATCTCGTGGTCGTGAAACAAGAGAAGAGCTTAGATCGCGAGGCAGGCTTTTCGGTTTAGGGCGATTTGCTTCCGTTAGCTCGATTGACTTGATTGGCTCCATCGGCTTGGGTGGCTCGGCTGGTTCTTGACCGGTATGGGTTGACCCCTCAGTGGTTACAGCGTCAGAGATCGGGGAACCAGCGGTCATAACAGGTTCAACATCAGGAGCCGACAACTCCGTAGTGACAGCGTCAGAAACGTGGGGGGCAGAGTTCGAAACGGGTTTGGCATTGGAAACAGGTGTTTCTGCGCTAGGAGCGGGTTCAGTGAGGGTGGACGGCAGTGCGGGTGTGGGAGTCGTCGGTTCCTGATTCTCTTGTTCTCCGAAAGATGACATAAGTCTTTGGATCGAGCGTGGAACAGAACTTAGCAAGCCTCGAATGCCCCATCCTCTCGAGGGTGTAGATGGAGCTGGTTGGGTTTCAGTCGAAGACTCGGTTTTCGAATTATTGTCATTGGCGATGCTCGACGGATGGCGGTGGACTTTAACAAATCGGTGTGGCGACTCGGGGGATTCGTTTCCGTCAGCTGGCTGGGGATCGATGAATAATGGAACACCGATGCAGGTCTTCTTTTGAGCCATTCTGCGAGATCGACGCTGGGCAATTGGAATAATGTTACGATCTCTGTGGCAAGCTAAAGTCGCAGCTCTGAGTTCACGACGCTTAGATGAAGGGAGTTCGGTGTCTTCTTCGGGTGTTTCTTCCGTCCTAGATCGCTTGCGATTCATAGGAATCACTGATTCTGGTTGAGTCAGCGTCTTGTTTGGCATATATTCGCGAACTTTAGATTGCAACCAAGGAAAGTGGCCATTGGGGCATTGCAAAATGGCAGAACAACAGTGACACGTGCGATCAGAGCCCTTGGTGGTCACCGAAGACGTTTCGGGAAAAGGGGATGCACCCATTGGCTGAGCAGATTCCATTGGAGGTGTCTGAGTGGCGATGGATGCGGTTGTAGACCGAGTGGCAGGCTCCATGGGAGACGTCTGGGTGGCCACGGAATTTGTCTTGGGTGGAGAGTCAAGTGCCATTGGATCACCGGATGGGTTAGAACGCGAAGGAATACGTGAACCGATGGCTTGTATCCCAGTGGTGACACCAGGTTTCACGGGCCGAGGTGGAGAAGTTGGAACAGCTTGTGGGGAATTTGCAGCCTGTGCTTCTCTACCGCTGCTTCCGCGTGCATTAGAGCGCGACGCAAGCTCATGTTGAATAAGACTTGCAGGGGCACCGAGATGCGTTTGAGCTTGGGCAAGAACAGCAAACCGCAGAAGAGGACTTGGACCACCATGTCTAACAAGAGGACGTGGTTGAGGCGGCCCTTCAGCAAAGATAACAACTGGAGTCGGCCGACGAACAGTTGCATGACACGAAGAACTATGTGGTCTTTCGACAGAGGCAACAGTCGGAGCCGCTTGGCGGAAAGTTGGTTGACTGATGGATTGACGTGATCCTTCGGCAGCGACAGCAGCTGGAGTTGGCTCACAGGGAGGTGTGGGCTGACTGGTAGGCTGGGGCTGTTCCTGGGGGGTGGCAGGCGAACATGAAGCAGCAGGGTCGCCAGAATCTGGTTCATGACGAGAACTCTGCGAAGGGCACTGAGACAACTTGTTTGGCTCATGCATGTGTACCAAGGGAGGGTTTACTAAATCAACTTTCGACTGCAAGCCTGGCTGCTGACCACGAACCGGACGAGAGTTCGCTGAAATAACCTGGAATGGCACGCTTGGCTCCTGAGTTGAGACTTGAGAAGAAGCAGCCGTGGTGTCTGGGACAGTCTTTGAAGCACGCTGACGAAGCTCTGAAGATAATTGAGAATCCGGGCCCAATTGCTGAACACCGGCTTGAGAAGAAGGCTTGATGCCTCGGCCAGTCGAATTAAAATGGGTATCATGAGTACCAGCCTGACCGACTGAAGAACGAAATTTGACTTGAGCTTTCTGTGAACTCAAGCTTGAAATAATAGATGGCGAACCATGGTCCTTGAACGGGGGGATTTGGGTATGAGGTTTTAAAACTTTAGCTGCCGGGACATATTGTTCCCTGGCTGGAGTAACGATATTTGGGCTTGCCACACCCAAAACTCGACGTGGAGGATTATCCAAAGAAGTACCAGCGCGTCTAGCAGACGGCGCTCCAGACGGATGCACTGGCAAAGCAAGACTCGCGTTTTGAGAACGCCCAATGTTAATAACTTGAGAAGAAAAAATATGTTGCTCACTTTTGGTAGATGCAGCGGTAGGCTCGCTTGCAGGCGACTGGGTAGTCGCTGGGGGTTTCGAAGCTGGCTGACCAGTCGGTTCGTTAACATCGTTTTCAGCGTTTGCAACCGGTTCTTCTTTTTTGGAGCTTGCGGATTTGGTCGCGCGTGCGGTTTTCTTGGTGCCACGCTTGTTGATAGCATTGGTGGTAGACTTTGTGGTATTTTTGGTGACGCGAGTCGGCGGGCTTTCACCACGAGCAGAAGCAGTAATTGGTGCATTCGCAGCCCCCGCAGTATTGGCAGTGGAACGGGTAATTCTGCGTTTGCGAGGAATGTCCTCGAGGGATTTGAAGCCGCCTGGAGAAATTGGCTGAGAGCGAGTTCGAGCCATTGCGATGGATGATAAATTATCCGAAGATTGCTCAAAACAAAGAAGTCTAGGCAAAAGCCGACAGGCCCTGCACTATCAGAAGAAAAGACGCTTAATAGCGCTATTGAAAAAGTGTTGTGATTCTGTATTTGGGACGAGTCAACACACAGCGGGCAGAGCAACACAGGTCGTCGACGACATACAAGAGATGGAATACACCACCAGAGAGCACAACAAAGTTTGACAGGGAAGCTTGAAAAGCTAGATGTCAAACACTGAGAGCGTGTTAAGCAGAGTATGCTAGACGGATAAGGAAGAGACAAATGTTAACCTGCGTCTTCCAAGCGTTGCTTGAGGGGATGAAGCGTACCTTGTTTACAGACACTGGAAGAGCTGTTGATACTGGACGAAGGACAGCGGTGTGTGCGGAGTCTTCAACAAAGAATCAGACAAGTATCTTTTTCGACGACGAGGAGATCTGTAAGTGGTAGCTAGAGCAGACGAGACAGCGTGAGGACTTGTTGAGCCGTGAAGCTGGAGTGCGGTGGGTGAAGGACAAGAGGGGAGAGGAGAGGAGGGCGACGAGGAGAGCGAGATACTTATGCAAGCGCTGGCAGCATCGGGGCAACCGTTTGTTATGGCAGCTGCGGACCAAACATTGCCCGATCGGGAAGCAGTCGTCTCGTTGCCCTGGGCTGAGTTGAAAACAGAAGGAACTCGCCGGTTGCTGCGACCGTGCTTTCCTAACCTGGGACGCAAAACTTTGGGGTGCGACGCCGGCAGAATGAAGGCGGTGGGCCCTAACAAACGGAAAATTACGGCCGCCGGGTCAGGAAGATCAGTTTCTCCGTCACCGAAACATCTGGCTGCGACCTCAACCTCACAGTGCGGTACGATCAACGCTCCGGCGCTTGTCTCATCCACTGTCGAGGAGGTTGGATGACAGGCAAGCGGTCTGTCCGGTGCCAATTTCAGGGTGGGAAGCGGTGTGAAGCTGAATCTATATCGTCTCACGGAGAGTTCAACTAAAGCTACGGAGTGTACGGAGTACATACATCCCGGTAATCGCCATCTTGTACTCGTCCGGTCCCTCCATCCCTACCGTCGCAACTGCGCCTTTGAACATCCAATCGATAAAGTCCACGTACATAGTGCCACCGAACCGACATCTGTTCCTTCGAGCTCCAAGAGAGGGGTAATCTGATGACTCCCGAACAACTTGTCTTATGCGCAGTTTTTTTGAGTGAGATAAGCTTTTGGATTTCGCATGGTTGATGGCGTATAATTGGCCGGTATTTCGAATCCGAGAGGCGGAAAGGGGAACTTGTGCTATCTATTACTTTCCTCTTTTCAGATACTCCATCAGATGTAAACCATACACACAGAAGTGAAGGGTGCACCATGCGCTGGCACGATCTCCTCGATCAGTTATACACACATATCAATCCTCCGGGTACATATGGCTTGCATGCATACCCTACGCTATACATATTCTTGTAGCAGTTATTTAACTCTCCCTAGCTAGTTGCCTCTCTCCTCATCCTTTTCAGTTTTCAAGCGAAACCTGAAGCCCCGATATCTGAGCGAAACAAAGTAGCACACATTTCTAACCGTCGACTCCACCGAATACCACATCCACCACGTCAAAAAAATAAGAAAGGTTAACGGCAATGCAACCGCAAAGAAGAGCCCGATATCACCAGACGTCTGAAGGGGGCCCGACATCGAAAAGAAGGACATGCTGAAAAAACCAGAAACGGCAGTAGTCGGCAGGAAAAGCATCGTCATCACGGCAATGATCTTCATCGATGCACTGTCTTCTTTCGTGTCGCGAGCAATGCTTGTGCTGGTCTCGCTATCCTGTTGTGTCACTAGGTTGAAGACAAGATTCATCGCAATGTCCTTCCTGGACTTTAGGCTTTGTAGCCAGCGTTTCTGTGCCTCGATTGAATCGATGAGATACGCCAGTGCGTCACCGACATTGCTTTTATGAAAAATGTTCGGTGAAAGTTTAGAAGTCCGCTGCCGGGCTTTGCCCATGTGGGTGGATATCATGCCAGCCATCTCAGTACTTGCGAAAAGCGAATCTGCATCTTGGGAGATCAAGTGTAGCTGGTTCGTCATTTCCTGAAGATTGCTTTTATCGAATGGTTCCTTTGCATACTCACCGACAACGTCGAGCTGGTCGTAAAGCCTGTGGCGGAGTTTCGTTATGATTTCCTTTCCATCTGTAAGCGACTCATGGCAAAGGATACTTTGCAGTAGAAATGGATCGCTGATCTGTCCGGCAGCGGCGGCGAGACCATCGTCATCAGCGAAGTAATCATTGAGTCTCGTCTTCGTTCGTTCTACATACTCCTCTCCTTCCCCACTAACAATGATATATGTAGTGCATGCTTCGGCAAAATCGTATCCCATATAAACCGAACATGGCTGCTGTCTAGCGTGAATATTATAGCGAGGATGCTGCCAAGTAGCCTCTGAGAAATGTAAGAGGTCAATAAAGCTGCTTGAGGATAATGGTTAGCGTAAAGACGTACCTATTCGAACAACTCTTTTATCATTCCTAAGTGGGATAAATAAAGGTGCCCAGTAGTCAGGTTCCCCAAGCATGAATGGCAGGAAATGTGGGAAAACCCTGAATGCCGTGAGCAAGCTTTTTGTAGTAGGCTTCGACAGCGACAGCTGGTATCCAAAACTAGTGTCTGGGTGCCGGCGGAGATTGCAAAATCTGCAGCGTTCAATTTCCCAAAGTCAGTGTTCTTTCCAGATCTTTGCGCATTATCCTTGACTTACAGCACCCGGAGGTTCAAGCCTTGAGGCGTGCTTTTGACTTGACCATCGAGGAAAGGCTTTAATAACCCGTCAGCCGAAGTCTTGAATTAAAACTCGAGCGCTATACCTTTATATATGTCATAATCTTTTCATCATTCCAGCCGTACTTCCAAGATCTTCTCCCGGTCTCGTAAATCTCAAGCACGTCACAGCTGCTTTCGCATGCGAAATTGGCTTCATTCGCGAGAAGACCTTGGCAAAGGGATAGGTTGTCCAACGATGGAGTTAAAAACTCAGCCTGCGCAGGGTATGACGTCCTATCTAATGAAGCTATCACTACTGGCTGATAGCTTCGAGCTATCCGCGGCACTGTAGATTTGGGTGCCGGGCGGTATTTTTTCGTGCGTTGGTAGCGCCAGGAGAGGTGTCTCCTGGTATGCGAGGCATCCATACCTTCGAACAGCATTCGAGAGTCGGCCTAACTTGTGGGATACTTGGACGATTGTCGTCTCAGAATAGGAAGAGAATCAGCAACATGGTAGCATTTTCATCTCATTTAAACCGTTATCTGCCATCTGCGGCCCCTCACAAGACTCGCAACGATCCGTGGGATGGATAACCATATTGAAACAAAGCCTCCCAATGAGTAGGCGTTCTCGTTATGGGATGAACGTCGACCAATTCCCGAAAAAGGTTAAAGGTAGTCCTTCGAAAGTACGGCATAACCCTTTGTATGTATGTACGTCGGAAACTTCAGGATGCGATACGAGGTAATGCTTAATGGTCCGGACATCTATCACCAGGAACAGCGATAATATCTGACTGGTCTTCCCGTCAGTCAGCAAGTCAAAAGTGCTGATCCTGGGCCGGTCCACCACTTGAGATGTTCTTTCTTACGCCTTGCTGCAAGGCTGGCCTTGTGCCGCAACATAGGATATGCCCCCATGGGGGCTCAACTGGCATGCATGCAAGAACAAGCGTATAATTCTCTTGATTTCTCGTCTTCCACTGAATTCCTTGCGGTTTCTGCGGCATCACAGATAGGTCGCCTTGTGAACCGCAGTCAGAACAAGGCTGTGGGGCCAGATCCATGAATCGAGGCCCGTCGACAAGGATGTGGCAGAACGGCGCTGTTGGGACAGCCCGTTCAAGATAGCCCCCACGAGAGCTATCAGGACGACGGAGGAGCGTTTGGCTCTCGATCTAAGTCTTGCATGTATGGAGCGTCTTAATAGTCACTACTTCCAAACAATACATTTATTCTGTATCCGGCGTCGTTCATTAGCAAATGGCTTTTGTTGTCTCCGAATTGTATCTGAGTTTCATAGTTACTTACCTTAACTAACCGACCGAAAACGCTCCAACAGGGCTGACATAAAAGGACAATTCAGGAAGTAACTAGTTACACCTGGACGCTGGAGACCCGACTTCGATAAACACTACGTGTACGGAGTAAACGTTCACTTAACCCTTCATATCAAAAGCTACCAATAACTAACTACTGTTGATCTAGACTCAGCTCTGGCTTCACGGAATTCAGTGGACCAGTCTTCCCCATCTTCCTGGTCACATTTGTCAGTACAGACTCTCATAGCGCGTGGCTTGCCGAAATTCAATACTGTTCAAGCGCCAATATGAACAAAAGGGGCCCAAATAACGGGTGCTACCTTGGATGCTATCAAACGCCGAAGAGCAAAATGTAAACCTGCTGCAGCGCTGCCAAACTCCATCTTCACCTCCGACGTGACCAAGGATCCATACACACTTTCTGCAACGATTCCGCAATACCTGTCGGATACTTGCCACAGGGTCCCGATGACAGTGGGGAAGCCGGCTAGCTGGCAGGCTCATGCCATATGTATCGACTCGTCTAGAAGACCCGAAGCATTATTATTCGCGACATGGCATGCAGAAAGATAGGCAAATCTAGCGTGTTCAAGATTCAAGCTTATCATCTCCGCAACAGAGAATGGGTCCGTTTCCCAATCGTCAAAAAGGATTTTACTGTGAGACGGATTTGAGTAATCCATCTCCCCATGACATGCGAAATACATCATCGAAGATTTCTGGATGCATCGTATAACAACATCTTCTTTCTTTGGACAATTCAAAACATTACGACCAGTGGACTTTGGGAGAACTTCGGAAATTTTTCCGCCTCTTGAACAGCATATTTAAGGGGACTACGTTTTGGTGTGCTCCCCATCACGGCTAGTAGTAAACTATTTTCACGTTCACGAACGGAATCGATTTTTTCCGCCTTCTCGCGCGCGTATTGAAGGGTGCGAATAGTCGGCACATATGACGAAATAACGTAGTCCGATGTGCACCTTCCCGGGGAAATCATAATATCCCGCTGCGTGGAGTGGAAACAAGCTCATCTTTTCAACCGGAATGCAGTACACTGTAGGCCAGGCCGTGGCCGTTTGCGGGACTTCAGTAAATCCCAATGTGTCCAAGATTGGGCTCACGACAGCGTCTCATAACCACTCGAGAATACATACATCCAATGTATATAAGCCGCTGAGATCAAGACCATGTATAGACGCTGTACTATACTCCATAGACTGGTCACTCGACCCATTGAAGACTCAAGAAATCTCGAAGAAACCCAGCATCATCGAAGCGTACGACTGGTACACACAAGCGAAAACATAAATACAATGTTACCTGGGAAAAATACTCAAAGAGAAATAATAGTACAGTACATATATCCACGCATCGCTCCTATAGACTGATTTCCCCTTTCCAAGTCGCATCACTGAGACCGAGTGTGTTCACCAAGTTCTGCCATCTTGGACCCCCACGTTCCTTTTTCCGAAGATAGTTAAGCAGCTTTTGTCGTTTATGAACTAGTAATCTGAGGTTCCGCTTGTTATGCTTATCTTTGTGTGAAGTAGTCTCCAATTGTTTTGCAAGAGTAAGAATCTTTGTGGTTAAAATCGCGATCTGAACTTCGGATGAACCGGTATCTGGACCGGCACGAGATGGTCTGGGAGGATGTTGAGGTGCAGAAGGGTGTGGGGCGGCCTCTGGCTTTGGAGGAAGAGCCGCATCTGTATTATGTCGCCCGAATGTTTCGATACAACGCTGGATGTTCAGCCGTGTTCGATCTTTGCTGCTGGCGTTGTTCATCTGCATGATACGTCTCACTGCTTCCTCGGCATTCTTGTGCTTGTCCGAGTGCCTTTTCGCTTCCTCCTCCGCCTTTTGCGGGTCGAAAGAAGGGCCCTCCTCTACCACAGGCTGGGTATTTTTCTCCGAGCGTGCAAGGGCGAAGTTCAATTCGTCCGCCGACAGAAAGAAGTTAAGATCCGATGAGCTGGCCGATGCCTCGCTGGCTGCCGCTGGTGAACTTGGAGGGATAACTTGCCCATTTAGCAACGCCTCGGTCAAAGCTGTCGGTTTTCCCACCACCGGATCTCCACGCGCGGCTTCACGTTCTTCTTTTAAAACACGCTGCCGGGACAAATTCGCAGCTTTCCTTTGGCGAGCCTGCGCCAATGCAAACGGGTCATAGTGTTTCTTTTGGCGTTTCGTCTTGGATGAGGCGGATCTGGAATAAACGCTGGGCCCAAGAGACAGGCCAGCGAACCAGTTGTATAGTGGCCCTAGGTAGCAATTGCGTCAGAAAAAAAGGGTCAAGCAGCCCGTTTAAACTACTAACCGTTAAGGGATTTGGAACACGATTGAATTGGAATTCGTGGCGGCATTTTGACAGCGCTGACAGTCCCCTTCCAATGCCCTTCTCGCCGCAAATTCTCGAAAGGCCTTCGCTCTGGTCGAACTTTTGGGCCAAGTGCTGACATAATGCACCAGTGTCGGCCCGACATTGGCTCCGATAAGCTGCCCTAACCAACTCTTTACTAACCGGGTTAGGTCTAGCGCATATCAAGCTCCGCGGAACCACACAAACCGCCTGCGAAGAAGCGCGAAATTGACCGTCTCGGAACTGTCACCGAGCTGCTCTTCCTTCCACTTCTCTCCATCCGACAACAGCCAAACGATTGATATTTCCTTTCTCATCTCCACCCAAAATATCAGTCGCCCATCATGGCCCCCTCTAACCTCCCTCCGGTTTTCAATGCCACATCTCAGGATATTGAGATGCTCTTGGCTGCCCAGTGCCATCTCGGCTCCAAGAACTTGCAGGTTCACATGGAGCCTTACCTCTGGAAGACTCGTCCCGATGGCATCAACGTTATCAACATTGGCAAGACCTGGTAAGTCGCGCAAGGTATGATATTCTCCGAGGTTCGTATGCTGATCGTTTGCGCAAACTGTAGGGAGAAGATCGTCCTTGCTGCGCGCATCATCGCCGCTATCGACAACCCCGCTGATATCTGTGTGATCTCCGCTCGTCCCTATGGTCAGCGTGCCGTCCTCAAGTTCGCCGCTCACACCGGTGCTGTTGCTATTGCCGGCCGTTTCACTCCCGGAAGCTTCACCAACTACATCACTCGCTCCTTCAAGGAACCCCGCTTGATCATCGTCACTGATCCTCGCACGGATTCTCAGGCTATCAAGGAGGCCAGCTACGTCAACATCCCCGTTATCGCCCTCTGCGACACCGACTCCCCAACTGAATTCGTTGATGTTGCTATCCCCACCAACAACAAGGGTCGCCATGCTATCGGTTTGGTCTGGTGGCTCCTCGCCCGTGAGGTCCTCCGCCTCCGTGGCACACTTGCTAACCGTGAGACCGAATGGGACGTTGTTGTTGATCTCTACTTCTATCGTGATCCTGAGGCCGAGGAAGCCAAGGAGCTCGAGGAAGCCAAGGCTCCTGGTGTCGAGGAAATTGGCGCCGCTGCCGTTGAAACCGGATTCGGTGCCGAGGGCTGGGAGGCCGCTGGTGGATCTGCTTTCGCTGCTGCTGCTTCAACTACCGCTCCTCCTAACTGGGAAGCCACTGGTGGCGACTGGGCTACTAGCACTGCCCCTGCTGAGGGCTGGGCAGGTGATGCCCCTGCTGGCGAGACCAAATGGTAAACGCAAAGAAAATATGATTTCGATTTGAGTATATGAGGGAATCTGGTGTTGAGTCTGGAAACAGATGCGAATCACGACATTGAGCACTTTATCCTTGTTCCTGCGACATTCCCAAGGACCATTCGCTCACCACCTTTTTTATTCCCCATTTCACTTTTTGTCGGAGGAACAAAAGCCAAAAAATTTCAAATATTGAAATAATTAGATGCGTTTATTCCATTTCTCTTTCTTTTGCCCACTATTTGTCCTGGCGCTGGAAGGCATTGTGAAACTGTTTGACGGCACTTATGAGGGAAAGATATCCATTTTGATTTCGTTAGTCATATGGGGGAAAGCCCTGTGCTGCCAATTAGGGGCGTGCTTAATCGTTGTCCCACTTCCGCTCAGCCATTTGTTTACCCGGGTAAAAAGAAAAGATAGCCTTCAAATTGAAGCTGTTACAACGTACATTTATTGACCTTGGCCTCTGCTAGGCTCAGTGCCCTATAGAAGCCATACATAAGGTATTCCACATCTTAAGTAATGATCAGCTCCTGTAAAGGTGGCGCTGACTGACATCTCAAAAGTTGCTGTCCACCCGTATCAACCTCGAGGTTTTTCCATGCACCTCTCAACCATACATAAATATTTGAAAAGTGGTGTGCGTCCATATCAACTCCAAAGCTTCTTCATGCAATCATAACTCTTGGGACGGTGGTGATGAGTAATGACCGATATTCGAAAAGTCGCGTCGATGTTGAATGCGTTCTACGCCATAATCAACCCTTAGGGAAGTGGTGATGACCGGTACTTTAAAAAGCAGTGCTCATCCATATCGACTTCCAAGGAAGAAAAATTCACCCCGCAACGCACTTCAAAAGTCATCAGGATCGTCGAAGTAGTAATAATCACCCAATTGTTCCTTGTAAAACAAATACTGGTCTTTCTTCGCGATTTTTTTGATGAAATGAATCGCGGAAACCTCACTCAAGGGAACTTGACGCGTGTAACCCCCGAGTCCCATGAGGGAAAGCGGAATACCGCAAGGCCCGCGTTCAACCGCCAGCTGGACCAGAGAGCCCACGAACCAAACCCAGTTTTTGATATCGTCGAACTCAAGAGTGGCCTGGTGCTGCCCGAATCGGATCGTTCCGGTATGGATGTCAGAACCTGGAATGCTGGTGAGCCCACGGATGCTGTATGCAGCGACTCTTTGACGAATTTGCTCTGAACTAAGTCCTCCTTCCCAAAGCTGATGCAGAGCCTTCATATCTCTGCAATCACAAATCCTTTCCATGATGGTTCTCGACAGCATGTATTCCAGCATTTTGCTCGGCGGCAGAGAGCGGGGATTTCCTTGAATACGATGCTCGGGGTGAATAGCGTTGATCTGTGCTTCGTATTTCCAAAGGAGCTGCAAGAGGGTCTGCACGGCCGGAAGACAGAACCCGTAACTTTCGTAGGTCTCTAAGTAAGGCTCGTCCTCAATGTGCCCTACATGAACGGTCAAGGTGCAGGACTTATTGATGATCGTGGTGTACTCGTCTTTGATCAGGAGGAGGACTCGCTCCACTTCGAACATTGACAGACGATAATAAGGCAATACGGGGCTTGCCAGTTTCACTTCGAAGAACCCCCACTCCTCAGAGCCATAGTCGACGTCAGAGACATCGTCGACACTAACGGCGCTTCCTCTCTCCACGGTCCAAGCCTGCAAATCCGCCTCGTAGGATCTGTATTCGTTCACTTCCACACCGAATCGTCTCAGGTATTGGATCATTTCCTCGTGAATGGCCCGCATTTTCTGCAGGTAGGAAAGACTTCGTGCCTGTCGGTCAAAAAATTCCGCGACCTTGACCTTGACAATGAACTCGACCTTGATTGTGTATGATAGCACACCAGTGCTATCAACGAGTTCGGGCTCAGGAAACATCTTGACGGTTGCAAGCCGTCACTTCGAGACGCGTTCGGAACTGGGCACAAAGGAAGCAAGACAAAAAGGAAGCTCGTTGTATGAACTCAACTTCTTAAAGGTTGAAATGACGAAGGGTGGAAGCTGTAGGCCCTCTAGAAGATGACTCCTGGTAAACATTTCATGGAGATGCAACCTCATGAAGAGAGGAGAACAACAGAACACAAATCCCAGGGGTTTGCATCCTGATGATTTGCCGCACAGGTGACATTTCTCGGCGATTTGTAAACCACCAGGCTGTGCGGCTCCCCTGAGATTGAAAAGCTTCATGCCTTTTATAGTCCATATGAAAGACACAACCAAAAGAAAGAAGCACAATGCAGTCACACCCTTATTGACGGGGATTAGCAGAGGCACACTCCAACTTGCTGGGTTGCCAAAGAGCAAGTTGGACTATAAGGGCCTAACATTGTTGAGATTCCAGCCAAAGCACACATTGCAAGATCTCCATATAGGAGAATAAACTCCTTTGTTAAAAACTTAGTATGAGTACATCAGCTCATACTGTCCTGTATTTCCTGATCTGAGTCATGGGGGATATCATCCCCGACCGAGTGAAGCTTAGCTGGGAGTTGCTCGCGATGCCCCTTTTAAGGGCGGCCGTTGCACGTGATTGTAATGATAATACCTTCATCTGGCTGTTCTACAGGGTGTGATTGGCTAAGTTGATCAGTATATGTAACAAAATTACCACACCATCCCATCAGTTTTTGGACGCGGAGATGGCGAAGCGAACAGCCAGGCGAGTCGCAGGAGGAGCTGGAAGACTTCTCTCGAACTAGGGATGATATCTCCCGTCAGGAAACTTCATTGCTTTAAAGGAGCTTCCAAATTTGCCGTCTCTCTCCTTTTTCCCTTGCCCCGCCGGCAGTTTTACCCCAAGCACCTGTTTTCTTCAACGGCCATGTCCGCCACAAATGACACCCCGTCTGCCGCTGGTGTAGGTCCCCAGCCCGACTACTCAACCTGGGACACTGCCCGCCTTATCTCGCGAATCACAGAATTGGAACAACAGCTCAGTTCCTCCACCGAAAACCAAGCTCGTGGCCGTAGCAAGCCCACCAACGATCTCCCGCCCACGTCCCCGCTAATCAATCCGGGCGACTCCTATCCTCCTGGTCCACTTACCCCGTCGAGGTCTTCCTCAAGAGCAGCACGACCAGCCCGAGACATTGATCCGTCCAAATACAACACCCGCTTCATTGCCTTGAAGTTCGCGTATCTCGGTCAAAGATATAATGGATACGAACACGCTAACGGAAATATCACACCGTTGCCTACTATCGAAGAAGAACTATTTAAAGCTTTACGAAAATCTCGCCTGATTTTTCCCAAGACGGTGGAGAATGTAGATAACGTTGATAGGGCTGGAAATAGGCTATTACGTCCATATTCAATTGACTGGGAAGGGTGTGACTACTCTAAGTGTGGAAGAACCGACCGCGGAGTCAGCGCTTTCGGACAGGTCGTCGGTGTAAGGGTTCGAAGTGCGAAGCCGAAGAAGAAGAAAGATGTCGAGCCAGTTAAGACCCCAGACACCCCTTCGTCAGTAACTCCTGTGGAAAGTCCACTTGGCGGGTTGGACATCGATGTGTCTGATCTTGAGGCTGAGGAAGCTTGGGATGATATTGCAGATGAACTCCCCTATATACAGATGCTAAACGGTGTACTACCCGAGGATATTCGTATTCTAGCATGGTGCCCTCATCCACCTCCAGGTTTTGACGCTAGATTCTCATGTCGCGAGCGTCGATATCGATACTTTTTCACTCAGCCGGCTTTCTGCCCCACTCCAGGACCGTTCGGCTTCCTCAAGAGGCCCGGTGATACGTCGGGTGCCAAAATGAGGGAAGGCTGGTTAGATATAGACGCAATGCGAGAAGGAGCAAAGCGCTTTATCGGATCCCACGATTTTAGAAACTTTTGCAAAGTGGACGCGAGTAAGCAGATAACGAATTTTGTGCGGAAGATATCCCATGCGGATATCCAAGTTTTAGATGCTAGCAAGCTCCCGCCGGCCTTTTTGGCGCAGCAGGGTTTCCAACAATTCGAACACCCAGGCCAACAAGAACGTGCAGCCAGTGGCAGCCACAATGCGGCTTTGAAAGTGTACTATTTTAGCGTTCATGGATCCGCGTTTTTATGGCATCAAGTCCGGCATATGGTTGGTATCCTATTTCTTATCGGCCAAGGACTTGAGCCGCCGTCCATTGTCTCCGAGCTGTTGGACGTCAGCAAAAACCCTCGACGACCAACGTATGAAATCGCTTCGGACGCTCCACTAGTTTTGTGGGATTGTGTATTCCCAGGTCCAAAGTCCGAAGAAGAAGGTCGAGACGGACTGGACTGGGTATATGCAGGAGATCCACGCACCGCAAGGTCAGGAAGAAGCGATGGAAAGTTCGGACAAGGTGGAGCTGTTGACGAAGTATGGTCTGTCTGGAGACAACGCAAGATTGACGAAGTCCTGGCTGCAAGTTTGCTAGACCTTGTGGTAAGTCAAGGTGAGGGCAGCTCAATTGCCAGAGGAGGGTTTAGACAACCTACTCAAGATATATTTAACCGGAGTCAGAAGATGTTCTATGGTGGAAACGACGGGAAATTGAGCGGAAAATACGTACCGCTGATGCAGAGACGGAGGAATGATACTGTGGAAGAGATAAATGCAAGATGGACAAGGAAAGGAAAAAGGGTAGCCAAAAATGGCGCCAATAAGACCCACTCAGCCGATGTTGAGGACGCTGCTTGAGTTGATCTTATCGGCTTCAGTTTCTATCAAGATCCTTGCGTGGTCGACCCTGCCCATCTCCATGAAGACAATGCCTTCGAGAGTCGAACTATAGTCATTGCTGTTACGGGCCGGGTTTATAGAGGCACTTGCGAACCCCTTTCCAAACCTCTTCTAAAATATTACGCCGGGGCAGGAGATTCTATCTCTAGTCAGCAAAGTCTCCAATGCTAGCTCTACGATTTGCGCACCGGGAATACAACGACTACCTCCGCTTCGGCTTCCACGATAATCGCCAAGTAAAACCGGACTTCAAAGCCTTTGAACGCTTCATGAATGACAATGTCCTGTATTTGAGTTGTCGGAATAAATCGTGTTGTGGCACTCATAAAATAGGTGGCTGAGGAGGTGGAAGTCTGAACGCCGAGGCCGCGGATCACAAGGAGGGATTCCTCTTTTGACAATCTATCAGCTTCGACGTAGATAGGAGAGCCTAACGATCGTTTCAAACATACCCGTATAACCTTTCCTAACCATAAGATACAGTAGCACCGCACTACTTGGTGCAATTACCTGCCAGAGATGACGGTCTGCGATGTGGCATGCCATGAGGCCCGCAGGGCTGGACCAGACGTTGCTCCATGGTATAATTCCATCCTGGCAGAATGCGTAGTCGCGAAGCTTTGCAGCATCGACCAGCAACACAGCTGCAAAAATTATGACCCGCAGTAGGATTTCTAGGTAGAAAAGGAGTTTCGAGGTAATCGACGATCGTGAGGGAGCATTGGAAACAGTGAACAGTACAGTTGTTGGAGATGGTCGCTCGACGAGGAGACGAGAAGGCATGGGGAACGGCGAAGGAGTGACTCTCCCTCTTGCTGTCTAGCAATACAGGCAAGGAAGGGAAACCGGTCACACAACTTCACAGTCCTATGCACCTCGCAACTTCAGAAATGCAGCACGATTCAGACTGCGATGTGGAGCTCCATCCAGCTCTCCGTAAACTCAATTCTCTGGCTGTTAAGGCGCAGTCCAGTTTGCTCACGTGACACCGTGGTTTCGCCCATAAGAGCGTCCTCGAGTTGTCTTTCGGGCTTCCGGTGCCGCTGTAGTCTCCCCGACGGATCCGAATCCTGCTGCGGTGCGGCCCGTTGGAACCCTGATCCCTTTGAACGGTGATTTGCGCTCTCGGCGTTCTAGTTTTCAGCTTTTTGCACCAAACAACCTCTCACCGTGCAGGATCAGGCACACGTGCGCGCTCTCATCCCCTCAACACGCTCTCTTGTCGCTGCCCGGCGTTTCTTCCCCGCCATCTGCCCAACCAAGCCTAACTTGGAGGGTTGGTGGCCTTAACCCGTGTTTTCTGATTACGAGCTACCTCCCAGTACCCTATCTACTCCATATAACTTCCCCGCCTCCCTCCCTCGCTCTCTATGCCTAGGTCGACAGATCGCTCTCCTTCCCCCCGGCGAGAGGAGAGAAGAAGAAGTCGAAGTCGGTCGCCAAGAAGACGTCGATACGATGATGATAGAGATAGAGACAGAGGGCGCAAGAAGCAGAGCGGATTCCGGTGGAAGGAGAAGCCCCGTCGCGATGACGATATCTCCGGCAGAGAGCCAGAAAGAGGCTTAGAGCGCGGATATAGAGAAAGAGATCGGGCACGATCTCCATTCAGAGATCGAGACCGTGACTACGGCCGCGGGAGAGAACGATACAGAGACGGAGACAGAGACAGAAGGCCGTCCGACCGTGATAGGGATAGAGCTCCAGATCGAGATACGGAGAGAAACAGAAGTAAGGAGGATCGCGATAGAAAAGAACGAAAGCCAAAGGAGAAGAAGGAAAAGAAGCCAGCGGCCCCTGCAGAACCGATGATTGTTGTGCACGTCAACGACCGACTCGGCACAAAAGCTGCCATTCCCTGTCTTGCATCCGATCCAATTCGTAAGGCCGCAATGCTTCCCTTCCCTCTCTTTTTCTTTTCCCCCTTTGCCCCTTCACAATACAACCTCCTTTGCGATCCTGGTCTTGCTAACGTGTCAGTCTCACAGGATTATTCAAGGCACAGGTAGCTGCGCGGATAGGTCGCGAGCCACACGAGATTTTACTAAAGCGACAAGGAGAAAGGCCGTTCAAAGACCAACTCACGCTGGAGGACTACGGCGTCAGCAATGGGGTACAACTTGATTTGTGAGCTTGCATTCCATCCTCGCTGCCTTTTCTACCTTTGGAATCGACTGACTTTGTTTACAGGGAAGTGGATACAGGAGACTAGCTGGATGCGTTCTTTCTGTTTCCTCCGTCCAGATGACTGTTATGACCATGGCAGGCGTTCGGTTTCTGCGTTTTGATGATCATTATATTTTGGTTTGTAGAACTCATGTATTATTACTGCAACTATTCAAGAATGGATATCATGGATTACTTGCAGCGCTGCAATTGCCACGTCCATTCGCGATCATCCCTGATGTCATTGAAGACATGAGTACGTGACGCCAGCAGCCGCACACAAGTTTGCTATTTGCTGAGCTGGGGCCCATCGATTCGCGTGGCTGGATGACGCCCACCGTGCCCTTGCTTCCCCGTTCCTTTTCCCTGTGCTGCCCGACGAGCGGCCCTCTCCGTCGCCGGTTTCGCGCTGAGGCTGCGGCTGCGGCTAACACAAGCTCACCGCCCGACCATTCCCAGCTAGGCCTAGCGCTGGGCTGGTTCGGCCCGCGTCAACGATAATCCAGCCACTCACAGCGCGGGTCCCGTGACTGGGTGTCGGAACCACAGAAAAAGCTGTTCGAGTTGCATGGATTTGCCCGAAATCCCACCCAATCCACTGTCAACTTTATTTTTAAATCTCTTTTCTCGCTTTTCCTGTGGACTTTTTGGTCCCAAGCAACCCACCCATAATTCCGACCTGCTTTTTCAAGATGACCCCTCCACCTCTGATCGTCTTGTTCTCCCGTCGTTATTCTCAACGATGATGGGATCTGTGATTCTCTGATCCTATTTCCAGAGTTCGTTACTCGTTGGACCTTCGCCTTGTCCCCGGTAACTCCCACCCTCGTTCGCACGGCCCATCTTCGTCACAGCCCTAAGGTGCAAGGAAGTCCGTGCCAAACTCATCTCATCAACCGCCTTTGGCCCTCATCCTTCCAAAACTGCCATCCTCAGTTCCTGACGAGCCATTCAAGATGGTTCGAAACATCGTTGTGCTGGGTGGAACTGCCCACCCGCACTTGAACAAAACCATCTGCGACCAGCTCGGCATTCCTCCGGCAAACATCTTGCTGTCGAAATTCTCCGTTGGAGAAACTCGAGTGGAAATATATGAGTCGGTTCGGGGTAAAGATGTGTATATTATCCAATCCGGTGGAGGAAAGGTAAACGATCACCTTATGGAGCTCCTTATCACCATCTCGGCCTGCAAAACGGCCTCAGCCAAACGTGTCACTGCGGTGCTCCCTCTTTTTCCCTATTCTCGCCAGAGTGATATCCCATATAATAAAACTGGAGCTCCCCTGGTCAAGTCTCCCACCAACCGGAACGACACTAGCCCTGCGTACACTTTCGAGAGTACCCCACCAACCCCGCATCCCGCAAAAGCAGACAGCCTCGGCCTCGTAAACGGTATCGATGGGTTACAAAAGGGCCTTGCGACTGCACAGCTTGAGGACCGGGAAGGCTCTGGCAACACGAGCCCGCAAAAGGCGCGCATTTCCCATTATGTCAATGGCGTTCCGAAGCGCAGCGACACCATGGACTCCATTAGATACGAGGCGGCGACCAAGGGCGATCGGAATGCAGCTCCTGTCAACGGAGTACATTCTCACGATGATTCCGCCAGCGTGACGTCGACCTCATCTAAATTGACCACCTTCCAACCGCGCCCTGGATACCGCCAATGGGTTGCCCAGGCAGGGACCCTTGTGGCTGACTTGTTAACTTGCGCCGGAGCAGATCACGTCATCACGATGGATTTGCATGATCCCCAATATCAAGGATTCTTTGATATTCCAGTCGACAATCTCTATGGTCGACCATTGCTCAAAAAATACATTCAAGAGAATATTCCTAACTATAAGAGCTGCATTATTGTTAGTCCGGATGCTGGTGGCGCTAAAAGAGCTACGGCCATCGCTGACTCGATGGGCATGGAGTTTGCATTGATCCACAAGGTAAACACCGCCTTGACTTGTCTGGCCATCGGATGATCAGACTAACCGTAGTCTTAACCAAGGAACGCCGTCCGACAAAGATTGCAGACAGACAGAACGCCACTATGATGTTGGTTGGCGATGTGAAGGACCGCACATGTATCCTGATTGATGATCTTGCTGATACTGCCAACACCATCACTCGCGCTGCCAAGCTGCTAAAAAAGGAAGGTGCATCGATGGTCTATGCGCTGGTGACGCATGGAATTCTCAGCGGTGATGCAATTGACAGGATCAATGCGAGTGGGCTTGATAAGGTGATTGTTACTAACACTGTGGACCAAGATGATCACTTGAAGCGCTGTCCAAAGTTGGAAGTTTTGGAAGTAGGCCAAGTATTTGCAGAGGTGAGATTGCTGTGAATGCCCCGATCACCTCTCCATGTTCAGTTGCTGACCATAATTATAGGCGATTCGTCGTGTGCATCATGGAGAGAGTATCAGTGTTCTTTTCCAGTACGACTAAGCGGGGCTCTTGCCTCATCTCCTCTGTTCTGCTCATGCAGACTAATTGTCAATTTGGCCTAAATCACATCCTCCATGTGGACATTGTAATGTCCCGCCCAAAAAAAGAAAAGCCTAGACCTAATACAGCAATGCCAGTATGGCAAAAATTCCTTATCTTGTTTTACCTGATCTTCCCTGTTCATGGTTTCTTCATGAGCTATGTCTGGCTAGATGGTTGCGGATACCACACAATGCATATTATTTTCCCCATTTAAACAAAAAAAAAAAAATTCTTTTTCTATCATGCCTCTCCCTTTTTGTTCTGTCCTCAGTACTATCATTTCTGCATTACATGATACATAAAGGAGAGGAAAATTTGGTTGCACGTGTTAAGAGGAAGTTGGCCAGACTGAGATTTTGTTCCCTTTTCAAGTACATCTCAGTACCTGTCTGCACTGTCTCCATTGCTGTGTCAGTCATTTTGCTTACATACATGTCTACATACACACCCACACCACATGAAATGATAAGCGGACATGTTCTGGTTGTCTCTGGTTTAGATTGTTGGAACACAGGACAGAGAAGAATAGGGATCCACTGCAATCCAGCTGGGCTCCTGAATAAGCTGTGGATAGTTAGCACAATCTGTGAATTCATTGTTTTTGTGACTCAGCGAGGACTGCAAAGTTCAAACATGCAGGAATGATCTTTTATAAGTTTGTTGGCCATATCTACTGCCCAAGTCACGTTGTACATAGCCTTACAGAGATAGTTTCTGTTTAATAGAGACACTCTGGAAAATTATTCGAATCTACCTGTCATGCGGGGAGACTTTCCATTTGAAACTTCTAGGTATGACTTCCTTGGTGATCTAGCATTGTAAATATGTATTTATGACCGATGTCATACTGATATGAAAAGGCTTACACCCAGCATGAGTTCCAATGTTTCTGGCAGTACATCGCTCAGGAAAGAAGCACTTAATTAGCCACTGTACAGTACATATCAACATGGGCCGTTTGGTTCTGGTAGAGATTAAGGTTTGTGTCCCAGCCCTTTTCAGGATGCCCTTCAAGTTTGGAGTCAGCTCGGAAAGTGACCAGGACGGTGATAAATCCCGAGAAATTGTGTAGAGAATTACACCACATTTCAGGCACGGAATGGGCACGAAGGAAAGTCTGGCATACGGCGTAGACTCCACCATGACCTTGACAACTAGATTCTCGCACATATCTATTTCGTATAATTCGTGTGATACCAATGCGCGTGGGATTGTAATGTTACTTCTACAAAGAAAGGCCTGCGATGGATGCGGTTGGAGGCGTTTGAAAATCGGTTTGGTCTACTCTGTACCATTTGGCATATAGGGTGTTCGGATGATTTCATCGCAGCTATAAGCCACAGACACGGGGCGAGCGAAAGGCTCTGAAATTCCGACATCGACACAGCATTTATTAGAATGCCTCAGTCTAGCAAAGCCATGGGTACTCAGTAAAAAAATACGTTCAACGCCGAAAAGAAGTTAAAGGCGATAATCACAGAAGCCAAAATGACAATTCACAACCTGTTAATCCCTATTAAACAACCCTCAAAGGCCCTCGTATGACTTGCATATGATTTGAATCCTCAAAACACACTGATATAGTTGCCTATCCGCTCCTTCTGATTCTGCGCAATACACTCAGAAATCCATGTTATATTTCGGATCTCCTACGAGTCATGATGATTAGCATTTTGATGATTTACTATCGTGTAGACCGGGGAAAACTAACCTGTTCGCGGAGCTTTACCCAAGCGTATATCACGGCCGGGGTGAACTGCCGGGTAAATGCAAGTTTCGATAGCTCCATCTCCTTTTGGTAGAACATGTCTTCCAAGCTCTTCCCATCGCTTCCAGTACCACCGCCCATGTTTCCAAGTCCACCACCTCCGGCTTGGTTCAACCCCACAGCATCAAAGAATGCCTTGTAATCGGTAACACCGCTGACTGCGAGAGCAACTCCTTCGACGTCTTCCGCCCGTGAAAGCATCAGTGACCCTTCTGGGTACAGCTTTCCGAGCTCGGGGTACAGCTTTCTCCTCTCAGCCTTAGAAAGTTCTGTTCCAAATGAATTAAGTGTAATATTAATAGCGCGACGATCGGCCTCGAATTCCAGTATTTCAGACATAACTTCCGAGGTTGGAGAGTTTCTGAGATCCGGCTCAGTATTCACAAATTGATAGAAGTCTTCCAAATAATTCTTGTATAGCATGTTCCTCACAATCTCGATATTTAGCTCGTCTAAATCTTGGTGGCTTAAGCTCCCCTTGAAATATGGCGCTAAGGGTGTCTCGACCAGCACAGAATTATACAATTCCTCGATGTTTGTGGCAACACAGAGCACCGGCATTGTTTCAAACCAGCCAAGCGGATGACATCTCTCAAGTAATTCTCGTGTATCTCGTTCATGGAGAGTACCTGTGATGAGGAGAGCAAGATTATCGATCATATATCCGTACGTGAGGTATTCCATGAACTTGGCGGTGGAGCCGGTTGCTTGGGCTTGGAGATAGCGAAACTCAGCAACAAGTTTCTCCGTTGTCTTGCCGGCTAAGGAGGACGTAGATGGGTTAGGAGGAAGGGACGCAAGGAAATCGCCGTATGCAGGGCCGAGTTGTAGCTTAACATCTGGATTGCGTTTAGATGAGTATCTTGCTGGAATAGGGTGCTTTCGGTGTGTGAATTTCGGAGAGCTACCCACCATCTATCGTATCGCATTGCGTCAAGTTGCCGTAGCTTTGTGAATTAAGAAGGTTGTTGCGATATCCCCGAACGATCCCCTCGACGTAGCTAGACGAGTGTAAGGAAGTCAGACCGCCAAACGAGGCTGGGCATGAGCTTACCCTCCGTCCACATTGAACCAAAGGCCCTCCATTGCAAATATTGCCTTTCGATATATTATCTATGTGCTAACAACGGTTCAAACTTCATAATTTCTCCCTCGAGCCACTCGTTGTTTTGCAGTGGATAGAGCGTTGGTCATCGCACCGGCAGAGGTACCAAGGTTGCATCGCCTCACTGCTCGACGAGATCAAGCCACGCCTGTGGCGCAGTTGACCAACTATCAAGCCAACTAAGCAACTAGTCCCAAATTGGTTTAGTGTTTGCTGCACGCCGAAGCTCTGGGAGGAGCTGGATGAGATATGGAGGGCTTGGGATACGAAGCCCTAATCTCCTGATTACGGACTACATTGAGGGAGCAGCCAGAATTGACATTTCGAGTGCACTGGTATAAAATCAAACTTCCATCTTGGCCCTGCCCGGAGCAACTAATATTGGCGGCCCTAAGTCACATTGTGACTGTTGGCGGGTGAGAGGCTTCGGTCCTGAGGGGTTGGCATCTGACACATGAGGGCTCCTCCTTACGTCCTTCTCCATTTTCCTCATACCTTCAATCATGTTAACAGAAGCAATTCGTGCATCACATAACGTACAATCTAGAGCCACATGGTTCATGACAGTCAGACGCTTCGGACTCGTTACTGGTACTATGAGATCTTGATTCTTAAACCCCTTGCAAAAAGCCAGTAGGTGTCTCTACCCATCCCCAAACAATCTCTTCGCATTTGGAAGAATTTTCGAGCTCCTCCCGCACTTCGGGCCTCTAAGGAATGAGAATGGAATTATCTCCTCCATAATGCAAGGCTTGTTTCTCATAAACCCTGCCAGAGTGGCAGGTGCTGAAAATCGCCCAAGGGTTCGCAAAAAGTTGCCAGCAGACTCCGGGAGAACACGCTCACAAACCCGCCCCCCAACGCACATTCACTCTCCTTCTCTATGATGCATTCCTCCGTGTGAGGGAAGGGGTCTATCCGATGCTCAACCCCTAGTCTGTCTTGGTAACTGCCGATCTGGTCCACACTTTCACCCAGGGGGCGCTCGAAAAGGGGGAGATATATGGAGCACGGAGTACTCCGTACTATGCTGAGGAATGGTGTATCTCGTTGGGGCCGTTGAACGGTTCCATACAAGGAAGTTCGAATTGAAAGTGCAGGCGCATCACAGGGAAATGAGAGTGAACCCACGATCCTATCGACTTGCTATCCCGGTTGGAATTTTAGTTTTTGATTTGTTGCTGATGGGCAACGACAGGACATCGCTAAGAGTCAAGCTGGCTTTGGGATCATTGAGAGTGAGAATATGGGCACAAGTTGTTCAACCACTGGATCTTGAAGCTGGAGATCCGTGCTTCGAGTATTTCAGATATGGGATTTATCTACTCCGTATAGTGGGATCAAATACACGGCATCACAAAAACTAGGGAAGCTGCATAGCAAAGATTCCGGTCAAATAGAGGAAGTTGACGGCAATCTGTATTCCCGCTTTCCTGGTGAATCTGCGAAGCTTGGGTTATTACAGCATGCTACTCCAGATAGACCCGTGCTCCTTACTATCCAGGACTCTAATATTATCCCTGGCATCTTCTTCATACGGTGGATTTGCGCCTCTGTACTCCGTACCCTGATAAGGTTATCCATCTTCCTTGTTTTGCTAGCTTCAAACTCCGCATAAGACAACACAGATGGGATTTTGAAGAAGTGAGTTAAGTCAGTACACCTGGTAGCTTTCAAAGAAATCTACATTTGGGAGAACTCGGTAGAATAGCTACAGTCAAGTCTTTGCCGCGCTGAGCGTCTGGCGCTTTACTAGCACGCTCAAGGCTCTTGTACTCGCCTCAAGTCTTCATGAAAGCTAGAAGGGAATATTTTTTATATAAAAGTAGCGATATCATATTCAGACAGACACCCTAAATATAATTGGAATAAAATGTCGGAGGCGGCTCAATCCCAGCGGAATGACGGAAGGCGGTAATCAGAATAAGGTATTGTTGACGTATTGTATTGTCACACATTGCTCTTTTCTGTGTGTGCACAATTATTACATAATACAGCAAAATTTCAAACGAAAAGAAAAAAAAGAAGAGAGAAGTCGCGAGCATCAAAAGCAGAGAAAAGATCCCCAGCCCGTCTCTGGAAGGCGCAACGCACATCTTCCGACCAAAATAGGATCCTTCCTCTCTTGGATCTTGACTGAAAACGGAAGGGGCATTTGGGTAACCTTGAAGAGCCTCCTGGAGCCGCAACGATGACGCTTTTCATTCTCACGGAGACCAGTGCTGGTTATGCACTGCTCAAAGCAAAGGACAAGAAGCTGCTCAAGAGAGATGACCTTGAGAAGGAAACACAGACTGCGGAAGGAGTGTCTAATCTGTGAGTTCTTTTTGTTTCTTTATCATGTACAATGTCCTATTCTGGAGCTCACAGGGTTAACGGTTCATCATAGCTTGAAATTGAAGAATTTCCAGAAATTTGATAGCGCGACGACAGCCCTCGAGGAGGTTGCTTCCCTCGTCGAAGGAAAGGTCACGCCGCGTCTTGCAAGTCTTCTCGAGTCCATTAAAGATGAAAAAAAAGTTTCGTTGGCCGTTGCGGATCCTAAACTCGGTACGTCGTCCATTGCGCAATCGAAGCTTCAGTCTGCAATGCTCCATGAATATTAACGTCTTCTTCTTATAGGAAACGCGATTGGAAAGCTCCCTGGGCTTTCGATCCAAGCGATTGCCGACTCGACCACTGCAGATCTTTACAGAGCTATCAGAGCCCATCTTCCGACGCTGATCCCAGGACTTCTCCCTACTGATATGTCCACTATGGCACTCGGTCTTTCTCATTCACTTGCAAGACATAAGCTTAAATTTTCCCCGGATAAGATCGATACTATGATCGTGCAAGCAATCGCCTTGCTCGATGATCTCGACAAGGAATTGAACACATACGCGATGAGAGTCAAGGAATGGTATGGCTGGCATTTCCCAGAAATGGCCAAGATTTTAAATGATAATATGGCATATGCCAAAGTTGTCCTGAAGATGGGCATGCGTTCGAATTCGGATTCAGCAGATTTAAGCGAAATTCTTCCCGAAGAGATCGAGGGCGCGGTTAAGGCGGCAGCGAATCGATCCATGGGTACTGACATCAGTAATGAAGATTTGGAAAACATCCAGTGTTTAGCAGAACAAGTGGTTGGATTTGCGGAATACCGTCAGCAGTTGGCGAGTTACTTGACAGCGCGTATGACTGCCATCGCACCCAATCTTACCGCTTTGGTTGGCGAACTGGTTGGTGCGAGACTTATTGCCCATGCAGGAAGCTTGGTCAATCTGTCAAAGAGCCCTGCGAGTACGATCCAGATTTTAGGAGCGGAGAAGGCCCTGTTCCGCGCTCTGAAGACGAAACATGATACCCCGAAATATGGCCTCATCTATCACGCATCACTTATCGGGCAAGCCACTGGAAAGAACAAAGGAAAAATGGCCCGTGTCTTGGCTGCCAAGGCAGCTATCGGTCTCCGTGTGGACGCTCTTGCTGAGTGGGAGAAAGATGCCGACGGCAACGAACCAACAGAAGAAGAGAGAGCCGCTCTGGGTATGGAATCAAGATATTATCTTGAAAAGAAACTGGCTGCCATGGAGGGCAAACCGTTGAAACCGAGAGGCGTTGGCATCGCTCCGAATGGTATACCAATCGAACAGCCGAAGAAATGGGATATCAAGGAGGCTAGAAAACATAATCCAGATGCCGATGGCCTGACTGGCGATGAGCCAGCTGCCACAGAGAATGTGAGCAAGAAATCTAAAAAAGACAAAAAATTAGTAGAGGAAATCAAGGATGAAGAAATGAAGGATGCACCTGAATCTGAAGAAGAAGAGGAAGCTTCTGAAGCAGAGGAGAGCGAAGAGGAGAAGCCGAAGAAGTCCAAGAAGAAGGAAAGCAAGACATCAAAGGGCAAGGATTCCGACGAGGCTAAGATCGAAGAGCTTGCTGAAAAGGCCGGGCTCAGTGTTAAGAGGTACCTGAGAAAGCTTGAACGAGGTGAAATCAATTTCGACGAAGATGGCAACCCTACTGCCATTAGCAAGAAAGAGCTCAAAAAGGCAAAGAAGGAGGCAAAGAAGGCGGAGAAGGATGCCGGGAAGAAACGAAAGCGGGATGAAGACGAAGAGCCCGCTGAATCCAAGAGCGAGAAAAAGAAGAAGAAGAAGAGCAAGGCCTAGAATTGGCCGTTCCCTTTTTCGTTTCTTGTATGATATCATGCTTCCTTTTCTTTATTTCTGTTGGTTTTTAGTCAGGGGTATCTGGAGATTGTGTTGTCCGATTTTGCTTGTGTTCAGGGTAGTTACGGAGGCGCTTGGGCGAGATATGTATTTGATTAGACTCAACGACAATGTAGTCAAAAAATGTTGTTATAGTTAATAACATCTGCTTTAGTAGAGTTTTTTTAAGAGAAATGATCTTGAGCGCATAATCTAGAGAGTTGAGAAGTAGGTATGACTTTCTTCGCGGAACTGCGCATTTAATATCCAAGTCCGCCAGCTTCTTAAAGCTTCCAACCCAACCAACACACTCAACATGAAGGTAAGTCGTCGTTCTAGGTGCAAATCGCATGAATTTCATGGATTGATGGTAGATCTACAATATATAGATCCTTGACTCCCAGTCAGCAATATTAACCAATGTCGAAGTGCTGGCTCACTTCACCTTGAACCCTCCGCATCGATTGCCACAACCCCCGCCCAATGCGCGGAATTTCACACCACATCCGGATTTACGGGACCATAATACTGTTGTCAAAGAGGTTAGTGAAAGATGACTCCTGCCGATTTACAATTTTGAAGAAATCAAGCTGTGCGCGAGGCTTATTTGAGCGAGTCGCCGTTGTTCGCGCGCGGTGCTAATATCCTTTTTAACCCCCACACCGAAGCGTAGAAAGCTCTTCAGCTCCTCGATGCTCTGTCCTCGTGCCTTGAATTAAGGTAGCTTCGCTAACTGCTAATCAGTTTCATAACTATGTCACCCGCCTTTCACCACATCTCCTTAAATACCCCAGCTTCCTACCCAAACCCACCGCTACAGCTTCTTCCACGGCGCAGAATGGCACAACTACAACAACGCACACCCAGCAGGATCCAGACTCAGAACAGACAGACCTCGATATCGCCTTGCGCACAATAATAACTAGATTAAAACCCTTTAACCTGACCAAGGCAGAGGTATTAACAATCATTAACCTTGGAGTTGGCTTGGATATAAACCCTGAAGGCGAAGGTGCTGCTTCTCCAGCCGAAGAAGACACGGTGATGCTAGATGGCAACGTAAATGGCGAGGCGTCTGACACTGGCGACGGCGGAGCTAAGGAAGAAGAGGCGGACGATGCAGGAGATGAGGACTATGGAGCGCTGGCGCTTCTGGATACCGTTATTGAAGATAGGGAGGAGAGGTTGTCGAATGAGGATATTAGTGAGATCTTGAAGATTATAAGGGAGACGCTTGGGGGGGAGAAATGAAGGCCGTATTATACAATGGGGCAAGACAAGGGTGTGTTTAAAATAGGTATTTATTGGCTGGAAATGGAGCGGCTGGAATTCCCGAGGTTTATATCTTGGAATATACGATGCATGAAGAATGGGTATTTCTATGCTTTAACTGCGGTTGGATAAAGGTCAGGCTAGGATGGAGCTTTAGGTGGTCTATTTAAATGACTCCTGTAATATGCGCGATAAAGTACATATGAGCTCTTTTGGCAGACATTCTTTTCACAAGAAGCGATAGGGATGTTCTAATCATCTTCCTCATTCAGACAAAAAAGCCTTTGCAGAAAGCAGTAGATTAACTATCTCACCTCCTAAAGTAGCTACTCAAGAGCTGCTAGATGCTGTTCCCATCGGAGCCACGCCGCTGTTTTTATGTGTCCAATCCCTATGAAACAACGAATTCTTTTGAGCAAGTTATACTCCGTAGAGCATACAGAAATCATAGGATATCAGATCTCCTTATCGCATCGAAATTCTACTCAAGGTATATCTCGTCGCGTAACCGCTGTAAATTTCGAAATAGACCTCCAGCGCTGCTCTCTTGGCTGGCTCCTCTATTGTAATCTGAGGACTGCCTGTTCAATGTAGCCGGCGATTCAGTTCTTTGCCTTGAGCTTTTGCTATCCCTAGCTTTCGATTGGTTATCAAGAAGCTTCCGTCTTTCTTCCACAAGTTTAGCCAAGCTGTCGACGAATTTTAGTCGCGCTTTTTCCTCTATAGTGCCTTTCCACACGGCGGCCAGCTGTCGCAAAGATTCCACGCGTCGACTAGCAGCTTCCAGTCCAGCTTGGCCTCCACCGTTACTGTCAAGAAGTTCTACCACTTCGTTTTTCAGTCTCCTTGCTACTTCACGGCCCTTTTCTTCACGGCTGTTGCTTTCAGGGCCGGGTTCAGGAGCTGAGACAGAGATAAATGAGGAAGCAAGTGATACTTCTGAAGGAGGCAATGGCCACTCCATTGCTTCTCCAAAAGTGTGAATCACATCCTCAAGTTTTGCCCTGACCTGACTTAGCGTACGTAAGTCACGGATGTATTCGGGATCTGTGTCTGCTTTCCTAGGCTGTGGTTTTGAATCTAGGTCCGCCGATTCCTCCACGGGAGGCTCTTGTTCTAGTTCATCATTTCTTAGCCGTGCAAGTAGCCCCTCGGGAACAAATTTCTGGATATCATCGTGTAACACTTCAGACAACGTATCTGATAGTCCTATGGTGTCTCCACGCAATACTTCCACCTCATATGCCAGTCGTCCTCCACTCCTCAGTATCTCATCGGTAAGTTGCGTCAATGTGTTCGATAGTCTAGCATTTTGCGCGCTTAATTGGGACAAAAGTGACTGGGTTTGGGAGGAAAGATCGGCTACCGAAGCTGCACGAGAATCTCGGGGGGTCTCGGACTGCCTTGCGAGAGGAGGAAGAGAATCGTTTAGGAAATCAACGGGGTCGAACGTGGGGTCAGCGAAGTGGCGCAAGGAGGGGTCTAAAGAGGAACTGGAGGTCTTGGAATCGACTGACAAACCGGCTGTTCCAGCAGCTTGGGCCATTGGCGATGGTATTGCGGCGAGTTGAATTGATGGCCGTATCAGACACGGTTAAGCCAGGGCTGCGACCCCAATTTTAAGTTGTATATATGCTTTTTTCAGGGACGCGAAGAGATGAGCCAGTCATTGAAATTGAGTCTGTACGACGTCGGCGGCGAGCTTGCTCCAAAAAGCTTAAGATGGGAGTGACGTGAAAAAGACGGAGAACCACCAAAACTCTCAAGAAACAACCAACCTCTTTATTTGGCCAGTCCCACCCTCTTCAAGATGCACAAATGTTAAATGAACCTAACCAAGGGCTCAAGATGCCGGTCAGCCAGGGAAATACTGGCTCTTATCATGAGTGATACTGCCGAGCGAGTTATGCTGCTTTGTGTGGCGCCCAGCCACCAGCTTGCTCCCTTGCACAGCATGACTTCACGCCGTCATCCGGGTGTAGCCTTGCCAGCCTTTGTGCCTGGAGTACTCCGTGCGGAGTACAGAGTAGATGCTCAAGCTCAGGATGGTCGGTAGTTTGGTTCGTCTGAGCCAGTTAACTCGGACAGCAAGATAAAAAGAAAAAGGGAGACCTGACTATACTCTGTTCTTGATACCTGATGGCAAGGTCTCTTTTGTCGGAGGTTGCCTACTGTTGCTTGCAGTCCGTTGCTCTGCCATTGTGACTGACTGCTGCAATGCTCGTAGGAGTCTCTGTTGGGCAGATAGACAGTATTCTCGTTGCAGAATTTCTTGTCAAGAACACAACCTTCCTTCTGAGGATTCGATCCTTACTTGTCACTTTCTTCCACATAAACTGATCTTTTCGACCTATTTAGGGATCCCTTTATTCTTTGCTAGTATTAATTGTTTATTGCTACTGTCGCCGTTCCCAGCTCAAAATACCCCTCTATCTCATCTCTACCTTGCAACATGCCAAGGAGAGACTTTATCCGAGATTTGCAAAAGGAAACATCTTCAGCAGATTATCCTAGTCTCCTTAATGTTGGGCCGGGTGAGGATGATGGAACCATTTTCTGCAGCTTTAAACTTGATGGAAATCACGAAAAAATTGTTGATATTCACTTTTTAATATCTGGTGAGCCTGGTTTCTGCGGACTTTGTGGCCCTGAAGAGTTCCATTCTAAAGCCCTGGTTTTGCTTAGATCTTTCTGATTATCCGCGGGAACACAGCTATTTCTTGTATACAACGTCTGACGATGTCCCTTATTTCATCACGGCATGTCTGGAAAAAGTTCAAGCCCATCTCCGGGGCCTGCGGGTGGCCGATATGCTGTTACATCTGTCTGGCGCTTTAAATCGAGTCGGGACACTAAGGTCGGGGAAGGAAGTCTCATTTTCGGGTGATTCTGACGAGGATACAGAGCTTGAAAATGACTGTGAAATGGAGGATGCTGAGGTTGAGGATTTTGAAGGTGACTGGTCACCTAATTCCCCGTTTCTTTCAGTTCCAAACGCCGACACTTTCGACGAAGCAGACGTGAAAGGGGCTGCTCTTCCAGCACTGATGCAAAATCTTGCATCTGATCTTAGAACATCCAAAGTTGCCGGATTTAGAGTGGGATACCTCGGTAACGTAGTCAATCCGATAATCTGCATTTCTTGTCGTATCTCTCGACTTGGAATCTCAGAGGAGGCTATGGAAGCTTGGAAAGTGACTGGGCAGCAATATTTGGTTTGTCTAATCCGTTACATTGGGCGATATCGGACGCTTGAAGAAATACTGCAGGAGGATGTTGCTCTTGGGAAACCATCCATCGAGCTCCTTGTCGATCTGTGCGACTCCTACAAGCCAACAATGCAAAGCGTGCTTGCCGCTCTAGGTCGACATCATAGCACGTTCGATACCATGTCGCTGGGGGAATCCGGGACGGACCACAGCAACGCGGAACCTAGAGCAATTGTCCGATCATTCATCAGCAAACCCATAAACTCTTTGATGAATGAACGATTTGTCAAAATTCTACGCTATCGACTCGCATATGGTCTATCGTGGGAGGGAGCTGAGCTGTTTTTCAACGAAATTCAAGGGAAGCCCCTAGACTATGCGAACCCTGGGGACCGAGAATACTCGACTAAGGAGAGAGAAGCATCGACAGCCACTTTTTTGCCGTCACTGGTAACGTCTGACCATCTCCTGGAAAGCAAGGGACTAAATTCATCACTTTCCCTTATTGCGATGCAATTTGCGCTTCGGCATTTTGTGAGATGCACAGAGTTTTGTTTGGTGTGTCATTGCAAGACCAACGACGCATTTGAAGCACTGAAGCCGTACGTCTGCTCAAAGAGTTTATGCCTTTACCAGTACATGGCTCTTGGGTTTGGTCCTAGCTTGGAGTGGGAGATTTTGGCTCAGCCCAATGTTGTCGACCTTCTCATTAGCTTCACTTATTCCAGTGCGAGGAACATGCGTCTGTCTGACTTCCCAGTTGGCCTCGGCTTTCTTGTTCCTTCCGAGCTCATCAATGCGGCCCAAGGGAGCAGCAATAGTCTAGGGTCTTTTGCCCCTATCTTATCAAGTACTGTCACCATCCCTGCTCACAAGCAATTGCATGCCGAGTTGGATCGTGTCAATATGGAGCTACGCTTCCGCGACAAGCATGGAACTCGATGCCTCCGAGCTGGAGACTGGATCGTAATTACCGAGTGCGGCGGAGATAAAACACCGTCTCATTGTCGGGTGAAAGATACGTCCCTTTGGCCGTCAGTCAAACTTGGCCCTCCCATTTCAGTTTCTCATGGCCCCTCGAAATGTCAAATGAATCCCCCAATTCCCGGGTACCAGAAAGCCAGCTTTGTGCTCTATGACAAGAATTTCGATGAACTCACTAATCCCAATCGACAGGCTACGATTTGCTTGCTCCTTGACACCCTTCCCTCAGTCAAGGAAATGAAAGCCTATCTTGCCGGCTTTCCCTCTGCCTCCCAGCCAAGCCTTAGTAACTGGACTGACAGAATTTCGAAGTCGGGTCTTGACTTGTTACGTTGGATTGTAGCATCCAATCGTTCCTGCATTATTCAGGATTATCCAGACACCGTTTTTACTGATCAACCTGAAACCGAAGCTCGCGACCACGGTCAGAATTTGGTACAGGAAATGAGTGGATACTTGCAATTCCGGTTTGCGCAAGGTGCTCCTGACAAAGAACAACGTTTTATACAGTCTGTGGCCACATCGAGTGACTTTCCTCAATATCCTACGGTTTTTGCCTGGCATGGTAGCCCGCTGTATAACTGGCATGGAATATTGCGTGAGGGTTTGCACTACAAATCAATACTGCATGGCCGAGCATATGGGAATGGTGTGTACATGAGTCCCTCGTTCGGCGTAGCATCAAGCTACATCAGGGCTTCTATCGGCAATGGTTGGCCACAAAGCAACCTAGAGATTACATCCGCCATTTCATTAAATGAAGTGGTCAACGCTCCTGGAAAGTTTGTGAGCAATAATCCTCACTTGGTTGTCTCAGAGTTGGACTGGATACAAACACGATATCTCTTTGTTAGCTGCAAAAATTCTTCAGAAACAGGAGACGTGTCCAAATTCCAACGAGGAGGACTGTATTACCAGCAGGACCCGAAGTACAAAGCTATGGGCCCCCAGAATAAAGAAATCCTGATCCCGATGACAGCTTTCAGTCGGCAGCGCCGTTTAACATTGAAAGCTCATACGTTTGGATCCACGCCCAGTGCTGTTCAGGCGAAGCTTCCGACCTTACAAGCAGTGCCCAACGGGCTATCGGAAACAGCGGGGATGGAAGTGGATGGGAGCAAGTTTGGCACTGACCAGGACAGTTGGATAAGTGATGACACAGACACCGAAGACATATTAATTCTGATTAACGCGGATGAGAAAGGAAAATCGGCAGTTCGACATCCACCAATTGTTCCTGAAGTACCAAAGACCGATTTCGTTCCGGGGAAACTGGACGGTTCGACATTGGCATTGCTAGGGCCTCCTTCGTTTGCCACTCCGGGGGCAACCAAAGCATTGCAGAGAGACCTTAGGACAACTCTTCAGATCCAAGAGAACACGCCTCTACACGAGCTTGGATGGTATATCGATCCAAACCTCATCAACACAGTTTATCAATGGATAGTCGAACTGCATTCTTTTGAACCCAAGATCCCTCTCTCTGACGACTTGAGGGTGGCCGGGCTCACGAGCATTGTCATCGAGCTTCGGTTCTCAAAAGATTATCCTATATCTCCTCCGTTTGTTCGCGTTATCCGTCCGCGGTTTCTGGGCTTTCAACAAGGTGGAGGTGGTCACGTTACAGCTGGCGGAGCTTTATGCATGGAATTACTCACTAATTCAGGCTGGTCAGCGGTGTCCAGTATCGAGAGTGTATTGCTACAAGTTCGCTTAGCGTTGTCAAGTACGGATCCCAGGCCAGCTCGGTTACAACGGGGTCAAAACGTAAAGAAAGGCACTGTCAGTGAGTACGGAATGGCTGAAGCGATAGATGCCTATGTGAGGGCATGCCGCATGCATGGATGGGAGGTCCCGCAGGACTTTGCGCAACATATGGGCGGGTTAGCATGGTCATCAAACGAGAGCTAGTTAGGCCTGCCTCAGCACCCTACAATGATATGTTTTCCGTGGCTATATTTGTAGGTAGCAGGACGAGGATTGGCATTCACAGTGGGCATCTGGTCAACTCATGCAAGGACGACTTCGGAGACCATGGGCATGATGGATAGCTAGTAATACCAGGAAGTGGCCGGATGTGTAGGTAAGAACATGCTTAGCGCGCCGTACAATCGAATCCGGCTCTCTTGTTTGGACGTTTGTCTGATATTTAGAGCTCGGGAGGGCATGGTGATGTTACTTGGCGATCCGTTTGGAGCACTCTACTCATACATCTAGCACCCGTTAAAGGCAAGACTACACTGGCGATGTCTAGGGCCTCGTAGCTGTCCAATCTGCAGATTTGTATTCCGTGCTCCGCGATTATATATTCTCTCCTTAACAGCTCTCAGAGCGGATTTAACAGCTGCGCTGAGTTGTCGCATTGGTAACTTGCCAGGACGACGCCCACTAGTTAATCTTACAGACGCATAGCTGGCTGTTCTTGTGATGGAATCGAGGAATCGAGATGTTTTGTGAAAGCTTTTTGGTTTTGGCCTGAGTTCAGCTAGGCTCGGGAGTTCCACTCGGCTCCACTGAACTGCGGTCTGATGCGCGATGCCATAGGCGGTTGGCCCGTCTCGAAAGGAGTTTCAGTGTCTCCTGGGTTTCATCCAAAGGATAACTTCACAAGCCGAACGAGAGTGCCTTGACTAGTACACAGCAATTGCGACGTGCCTGTGAAATAGAGTGGGCGTTTAGATTCGGTATTGCAAGCTCTGAATCATAGGTGGTGTCAGATCCCACAACCGACAACCAACGCCTCCAAACTCCCTTGGGTCCCTCTCAACGAATAAATACAAAGCTATGTCTATACCGAGCGCAGATTCCTCGCCGTCGTCCTAATATTCACTTATCCAACTTTTCCTCGCGCCCTTAACTTGTCAATATGTCCATCTCTCCAGTCTTCCCCGGCCGGGAATCGCGGGCCTACTGGTTCGAATACCTCACTCTGGACCTCTTCATCCGAGTCCTCAACAAGACCTTCCTTCACCCGTTCATCGCCTGGCTCATCCCTCTCTGCCTGCGTGCCCAGGCAACTCCCTACTCCCATCCCTCATTCATAATCACGTCCGCATACGCGACTGTCCTCACCCTAGTCGTCGGCCTTGTCCTGTTGAATAAGCGCATCGCATATGGGCCGCCGCGGGAGGTTGATCTTGAAGAGGAGGTAGTGGTGGTTACTGGAGGAGCTAGCGGAGTAGGACTACTGATTGCCCAGATTTATGGGATGCGAGGAGTCAGTGTTGCTGTGCTGGATGTCAAAGAGCTGGATAAGCAGAGTGGTGTTGGATTTGAGGAGATGTCCAGCGTGGAATACTACCAGTGTGATGTTGGCGATAGAGCTCAGGTGGAAGATGTAGCTAGGAAGATAGAAGATGATGTACGTTCCTCAATCAATTCACATTTCATTCACAATCCTCCTTGTCCATTTCTCGATTTGACCCTAAGCTGCCCGAGTACAGGCTGGTAGTCTCTGTGCGTCAAGCTAATCTAATTTATACGAAGCTCGGAACTCCAACGATTCTAATCAATTGCGTGGCTGCACCTATCAACGGGCTTCCACTCCTTAATATATCCCAAAAAGCAATCCAGCAAACCATCCATGCGAACCTCGGCTCCTTTTTCCATACCTTGCAAATATTCCTCCCTAGAATGATGGCCTCTCCCACAGGCGGGACCATAGTTACCGTTAGCTCCGTCCTCAGTTACCTCACTGCGGCCGGCTTGTCAGATTACACAGCGACCAAAGCAGCTATCAGCGCGGCCCACAAGACGTTGGAGGCGGAACTCCGTCAATCGGGGGCGAGCGAGAGAGTCAAGATGTTACTTGTCGAAACCGGACAAATAGCAACACAGCTGTTCCAACGAGTCGAAACCCCAAACAAGTTTTTCGCGCCCGTCCTGGAGCCCGTGCAAGTTGCTCGAGAAATCGTGTCAGTGGTTGATACTGGAAATGGTGGTGTGCTCAGGATGCCCGCGTTTGCCTCGTTTGTGAGTTGTTATGCGGTGTTGCCGGCTTCCATTCAGAAATTCGCCAGATATCTCAGCGGGATCGATAGAGCAATGCAAAGGGCGGGCTATTCGGCAGATCACGAAATGGAGTCTTTAAAACGCTCGAAATTCGATTGAAAATAGTAGTGAAAGTTGGTATATGCTGGGTTGACTTGTAATAATTTGCCTGAGAATTGGTACGGGCCAATATCCACAATGATGGGATACCTAAAATGGCCTTTCGGGGGGGCGGCAGCATCCTTCAAACTGCTGTTTGCGTGTGGATAATATTTTCGAATGAAACAGATGAGTTAGAAACGGAAAGCCCAAGCTATGATATGAGCATATTTTTGGAACCGCTTCTCAAGCCCAAGACATGAAAGAACAACCCGGGGAACCACCTTTTTGGAGTTGTGCTTTTTCTTCGAATAGATGTAGTGGGTATCATCGTGATTTTGTTTAAAGTGTGATCATTTTTCCGTAGCCAGGACCATCTTCTCTCTCTCACTCCGTCGGGCAGGTAGCGAACCCTTTTTGCTGTTCTTCCTAATATTCTCCTCCCTTCTCTTGATAGCGTTAATTTCCTCATTTTTGATCTCGCCAGCTTTCTTGACAGCCTTTGGCAGACGTCTATGACGTTTGATACGACGAATCTCAGGCATATGTGCATATCTACGCTTAAGAGCCTCGTCATATTGGAGTTTTTGACGCTCACGAGCGCTTTTGATTCCACTCCGGGACGATGCTTCTGCGCGCCAGAGGCGAATATTACCATCATCAGACCCAGAAAGAATGTATTTGTTATCCGGAGTGAATTTGGCCGAGAAAACCCTGCAGTTTTAACGTGAGCAAAGTGGGCATATAACCATGTTTACTATTCATAAAATGAGAGCCGTACCTCTGCATTCGTTTTGTATGGTATATATCCCGAGAATGTCCGCGAGAACGATTCCATAGTCGAACCGTACGGTCATAGGACGCGGTGACAAGTTCCTCGCCAGTTGGACTAAACTCAACATCCATCACAGCTGCAACATGGTCCTTAAGAACATTCAAAGCACGGTCCATCTTCCGCATGTCAAAGATATAGGCGTTATGATCCTCGTTAGCCACAGCGAAATTAAACGCTTCCATTGGATTCCAAGCGATAGCATTTGAAGCCAAAGTAAGAACGACCTTCGTAAGAGGAGAGGATGTTCGTAGATCGTACATTATTATAGATCGGTCGGTAGCTGTCGATGCTAGGAGAGAAGTTTCCGTCCGGTTAAATGCGAGTGAAGTGATAGTATCAACACTACTGGGCCAGTGAAGCGTTTGAGATGGCGTAGAAGACGGCCGAGAGAGGTCATATATAGATATCACTGACGACGAAGCAGCGAATGAGGGATGAGTTTCGTGATGGGAAACGGCAGTAAAAGCTCCGTGCCCCAGGTACGTCGCCAACGGAGGACTCTCAGAGGCCGAATTATAAGGATCAAATAGCTTGATGGTTTTATCGGCGGCGCATGATAGTAGCTTCCTATCCGATGTCCAGCACATTCCTTTGACAATGTTCTCATGAGCCTGAGCCTGCCAAATCTCCTCGCGGCTCGTCAAGTCCCATACTTTTACCACGCCGTCACCACTTCCGCTTGCAAAGCGTTCTAAGGAACTTGGGTCCTTTGCCAAAGAATATACACCATCAACATGGCCCCCTCCAAGCTGGGCAATAAAAGGAGCGGCAAACATGCGCTCTAGTTTGGTAGCATTGAGAGCTCTTGTGTATTCTCTTGCTCTTTCGAATGGATGCTGTGCCGGATCGAGGTTGCGAGCGAGCCTAGTAGCTCCTGTTCCGGGCGTCTGCTGCGACGCAGCAGACCGTGAAAGAGCCTTTATTTTCTAAAGCAAGAGTCAGTATTGACATCTTCGACTACTGGGATACCAGACTTGCTTACCATCGTGCGTTGTGTCCTGGACCTCTCCCTGTCGCTGGGGAAGAAATTATTTTAGATTTGCTGAGCTGCGCAGCGAGAAGGTCAGCTTCCCGGCGCAATATTGTTCCGGCTAAGCTTGGTTGGCTCCAGGTCTGGATCTCAGCAAGCAACATCACAGCGAGCTCACTTGCTTCAACCGCCAACATACAACAACGCACACTCCTTCGAAATTTCCTTTCTATACTTCTTCCATTACGGTCTATTTCTCGCGTGCGAATATCCTGATAACGCTACACTTGATATTGGCTTGGCATGGCTCCAAACAACTCCGAGACGGCCGCTCTACTGAAAGAGGCGACTGCCTTGTCCAAAACGGATCCGTCAAAAGCAGAGACCATCTTCCAGAAAGTCCTTTCATTAGGCACGGGATCGACGGAGGCCGCGTCGAGAGACTATGAAACCGCGCTTGTTGGGCTGGGTGAACTGTATCGCGATCAGAAGAGACCCAAAGAACTTGCCGAACTGCTGAGAACCAGCCGCTCATCTTTTTCCTCATTTGCGAAGGCTAAGTCTGCGAAGCTTGGTATATATTTACTACTAGCATGGCATCTTGAGGGTTTATGTTAATTTCGTATAGTGCGACAACTCCTTGACTTTTTTGCCGCTATCCCAAATACCCTCGATATTCAGATCTCCGTTATCAAGTCATGTATAGATTGGGCGGTGTCGGAACGACGGTCTTTCCTGCGCCAGAACCTTGAGACAAGACTTGTCACAATATACATGCAAAAACAGACCTACTACGATGCGCTTACTTTGATCAATTCACTACTCCGCGAGCTCAAACGTCTCGATGATAAACTCGTGTTGGTGGAGGTGCAGCTCCTGGAGTCGCGCGTATATCACGCCCTTGGAAACCAGCCCAAAGCCCGAGCTGCCTTGACATCTGCCAGAACATCTGCAGCGTCTGTCTACACTCCACCTTTATTACAGGCCGGTCTGGACATGCAGAGCGGTATGCTTCATGCAGAGGATAAGGATTTTAATACCGCTTATTCCTACTTCATTGAGGCACTAGAGGGTTATCATTCTCTGGAGGAGGAAAGAAAAGCGACGTCTGCTTTGCAGTACATGCTTCTTTGCAAGATCATGTTGAACTCCGTGAACGATGTGAACTCCCTTTTGGCCTCGAAGCAGGCCATTCGGTATGCTGGTACTAGCTTGGAGGCCATGAAGGCAGTTGCGAAAGCGCACTCGAACCGATCCCTAGAAGAGTACGAAAGAGCATTATCAGACTATCGTTACGAACTAGGTAGCGATGTCTTTATCCGAAATCATCTACGGAGGCTTTACGACGCCATGTTGGAACAGAACTTGATTAAGGTCATTGAGCCATTCAGCAGGGTGGAGATCGACCACATCGCTAAGATGGTTGGTTTGGACACGCAGCAGGTTGAGAGAAAGCTTTCCCAGATGATCCTTGACAAGGTGATTATCGGCGTTTTGGACCAGGGGGCAGGCTGTCTGATCATATTCGATGAGACGGAGAGGGACCAGGGTTATGATGCTGCGCTCGAAACTATTGACAAACTCAGTAGCGTTGTCGATGTCCTATACACAAACCAGGCATCGCTGCTCGAGTAGTTACCGGTTCTCTTTTTGTACTCAATACCAAATGCCACACCAGAAGAATAGAGTTGTCCTCTGTAACTAGTTAGGTATTGCCCGCGACATTTTGATTAGTAATCTGAACTTAAGCGCGAAGCGATAGACGCGGTCACATGGATGGCTGCCCTAATGCGGTCTAGCGCCGTCTGGATCCCCCAGCACAACTAAGAAACTCAAAAGCGTCTCTCGTGAGCTTTGTCGGCTGGGGCTGGTTCCGCGACGAGAATCCGATTCCTTCGCAGGGCATCCACATACCTTTCGCGAGTTCACTGTAGAACGTTAGCTATTCGTGCGCCCAATTGCCGTCGTCCACGGCCGTCGCCAAGATGCACGCCCCAATGCAGCCCAACTACCGTGGTTATCCACAACCTGTTCATCATCGGCAGCCAACCACACCTCGTCGGGGTGTCCCAGTCCCTGGTTTGTAACCCCCCAGTCTGCGAAACCAAGACGAAATTTCATCTTAAAACATTGATACAGAATCATTTTTGTCCATGTACTATACTGACAACCCCCCTTGTTGCTAGGAATGATGCCAATGCAAGTCGCGCAACATAACATGCCTAACCCTCAAGTTCTCGCCGCGCAACAGCGACATGTGCCCGTACATCCAGATGCGGCGATTCGGCGGAGTCGCAAGCCAACTGATAAGACGCTTCCTGACGGTATTGAGGAGGTTGTGATCGGTGATGCAGTCCAGCAATACAAACGTATGCAAGAGGTTGAAAGAAGATTGGATTCAGCGATCATGAGAAAAAGGATCGATCTTCAGGACACAGTAAACAGGAACACGAGACGATATCGGACAATGAGGTTATGGATTTCTAACACTGTCGAACAACAACCCTGGCAGCAAGCGGAGCAGAATCCTGAAGTTCCGCCAAGAATAGGTGCTGGACGATACAGGGTGAAAATTGAGGGACGTCTCCTTGACGATGCTACTGATCCGACCGTACCCGATGAAGATGAGGAAGATATCGATATGAAGCATCTAGGAGGCGAAAAAGATCCTGATGCAATGGAAGAAGATAGCAAGCCGCAGAAAAGGGAGGAAGCAAAGCCTTCATCACCGTCCATACGGAAAAGGCTATCGCATTTCTTCAAAACGATTTCAGTGGAATTCGACAAACCTTCGTCCCCCGGTGTGGCAGATTTGGCTACAATAATCTGGAATAAACCTACATTACCACCTAGTGCTGCAGCCCTACCGCCTACTGCTGATTTCGACTCGTTGGAGTTCTCCAGGGCCGCCGAGGTCAATATTAATGGCACGATTACTATGACGCGAGACGAGAATCTGGAACGGTTTCTCCTAAGCAAGGAATTGGCATCCATCCTTGATATAGAGGAAGAGACACGTGCTGGGATCATCATCGGGCTCTGGGAATACATAAAGACTGCAGGGCTCCAGGAAAGCGAGGAAAAGCAAGCAGTGGCGTGCAATGAACGTTTAAGAGCGGTATGATTTGATCCAAACTATTACCCTAACTACCCTTCTTATCGAAGTTTTGTCTAATGCCAAATTTCTCCAGATCTTTGGAAGAGACAAGATTTACTTCCCAGCTATCCCGGAACTTATTGGACCCCACTGCACTCCCCTTCCACCGATCAAGATCCCATTCACAATCCGCGTCGACAAGGAATTCCACAGCAAGCCCATTCCAGCCATTTACGACATCCGCGTCGCCGTCGACGACCCCCTCCGCAACAAAATGCTCCAAGTAACCACCTCGCCAGACTTCCCTAATATGCTCCGGCAAGTCTCCAGCCTCGACGATCAGCTCGCTCTTGTTGTCCAGGCTCTCCACCACTCCAAGGCCAAACACTCATTCTACACCAATCTAAGTCAGGATCCCGTGAACTTCATCAAACGCTGGATCTTGAGTCAAAGGCGTGACCTGGAAACCATCCTGGGAGAATCGACGAGAGCGGGTCGTCCAGATCCTAATGCACCGGAGTTTAGGAGAGGTGGGCTGAACAGTGCATGGGATACGCCTGTGGCGAGGGAAGCTGCTCGGTATATGCTTGCTAGACCACCTCATATGGGGCGTTGAGGTGCTTAGCTGAGAAAGCTATCTGGGTTGAATGGGCTCTACATGAAAAAGGAGTTTTGTCCATCTGGGGAGTGCTTTATGTTATTATGTATGATATCTCTATATTGGGTTAGGCTCTAGCGCCTGTTTTAATACAGTATGATTTTTTCACCACCGACTCCATGATTTGACCGCCATTTTAAACTCTTAATGAAAAGGTAATATGCTATAGAATTTGTTTCATGACACCACCAGGGGCATATATACATCGTAACCCGCATTCCAATCAAACCCCCCTATATAATCATAACGAATTAGGTTTACCTACGGAGTATATCTACGGAGCATCCGGGGCATACAACAAATAAACAAGAACCAGCAGAGAGATATAGGCACCGTTCTAGCCCACCACACAGACACACCCAGATAAACTGAACCCATAACGAGCCATACATGCAATAAAAGAGCAGAGACACTCCCATCAACCCATATTCCTCTTTGCGAAGAATATTCATAAAGAGAAAAGACACCTACAACCGGGATCATCAAAACAGATACAAATTGCCCTACGCCTTCCGTCTCCTAACGCCAGGGGCCCTATTCTGAGACTCAGCGGAAGCAGTGATCCCTTGCTTCTTATCCTCAGACCCATCCTCTTCCATGCCGCCATTGATGAAGACTCTCTCCTTTTCTTCGAGCATAGCCGCAGCATCGAGGACCATGGCTTCTGCTTCCTTCTCTGTTATTGGTGAGGAAATTTCCTTCTTGGCCTTTCCGTCAGCAGCAGTTTTGAACCTCTTCGTCACAGCTTCAATCATCTTCGAGAACCAGTAGAAGTTCAGTGAGTTGAGAACCAAGTTGCTGCTTAGGTATGTAAGAACCAGCCAGAGTGGTATACCGCTTTCCTGGTGGCTGGCAAATTTGGATATTTCATTGTTGGCCTTAATGCACGACTCATCAATGCAAAGTGTAGTATTTCGGGCCTGGAAGACCATTGTATAAATGTTGAACGGTTCACGGAGAGTCGACGAAGCGCGTGTTTGGCTTAGTGCATTGAAGATATCTGCGAATACCTTGACCGACTGATAGGTTCCCCACACTAGGCGGCAGGAGAAGAATACCGAGAGGAGAACCATGCCATTGTACCATTGGGCTCTGCTACCTGTCATGTTGACTTTGTCGAAGAACCAGTGGAAGTTGAGGAACGGGCTGGAGAGCTCGTAGAGAATGAAAACCGGGCTGTAATAATTTACAAACGGCCTCTAGATGAACAGTAAGCATGAATACTAGAGAGGGAAAAAAAAAAGTTGAAGCCATAAAATCAGGACTTACGAATCCCAAGCTAAACACCCACAATGCGCTGATGGCATGAAACAATAGGCCGATGCCAAAAATCCTGACATGCAGCGTGCTGACAATCAAATCCCACAGAAAATATCCCGTTGCCATGGCCTGGATGAGCGCACAGGAGCCGGAATACCCGTACACCCTCTCAGCAGCACTCATCGACTTTCGCTCCTCATCCACAAACATGACCCAAAGAGCCACAGCGTTAATAAGCGAGCTCTGCACAAGCGAGACAACATGGACATCCCAGTTCAGCTTCGTCCGTCGCGGGAAATTCGGATATATCTTTGGGAACAACCACGACGAGAGAGCCGGTGAGATAACGGATTGGACGAACTGGTAGAAAACGAAGGCGGCAAGGACTTCATGAATATGGTATTGTAGAGAGGGCAGAGAGACGTATTCAGCGAACGGTCGGACGAGATTTTGAAGCCACTCCGGCGGAGGGGGGATAGGGTCCAACATGGCGGCTCGATCCGAACCCAGGAGGGCGACAGAGGAGAAAAGCACGCACGCAGAGTTTCAAACCAACGGCGTAAACAAGCTAAGGAACACAGGAGGCTCAACAGCAGGGACCTGGAAGATTCACCTATCCATGAACAAGAGGAATTGTCCGTCAGTCAGAGATCGTGGACTGTAGCAGACGACGGGAGGAGACGGACACAAGGTCAGGGCTGCATGGCTGCTTGCCGGTCGGAGGGTTTTGTCTGTTGGTCCACAGCCCGCAGCGACCTGAAGCGGCAGGCCCCCAAAGACACGCAGCAAGTGGTGAAGGCGGTCGCGCCTGCCGAAAAGTACTGCCAAGTGACGTCAGCCAATGAGATCACGCGTATCAGCTGACCGCCTGATAAGATTGTTGGGGAGAACGAGCCACATCTCTAGCCTGTTTGGGTCTAGTTCGCGCCCGCTGACCCACCACGGGACCCAGCGGCCTGAGCCACATGAACGAGCCAAGCCCCAGGGCCGAGGCACTCAAGCAGCGTTTGACATAAAAACGCATAGTTAGTTAGTTAGTTAGTTACTCCGTAGTTATATAAGACAGACAAAGAGCTACGACCTTGAGAGAGGGAGGGAGGAATGGTCGGTACGGCTGTGGAAAATAAATGCATTTTGCTCATTCTTATCATCAATATAGCTATCATAAGGAAATACAACTTTATGGTATCATCCAATGCAGGTCTCGGCTGCACATGAACAGATCGCTCAAACATCGCCGCTGATGCCTGCTGGTCTGATCCCATGAACAAAAAGGCAAACAAAAAGGAAATCTGCTGTCAAGAGAACGAAACATAATCAACAAAGGAAAAGCCATTGTGACCGAAAGAACACTGTCATAATCATCAAAATAAATCAACCTTGTCATTGAGCACCGCGGCACTATGTTAGGACCGATTCCTGTTCAAAATTGAATCCCTTCTCGCTCGCAGACGAAGGCATATCAGCACCAATCCCACTGTCACTGGGTTGGTTGTACACCACCAGATCGCCCCTATCCAAGTCAGTACCCCCATCTATATCGTGTTCATCCCCAAACTCAGATGGAATCGGGCTCCGCTCCTCACCATCCTCCCCGCCGACGGTTTCCTCTTCGGTATGGCTGTCGTTGTCCACGCTTCCTTCGACCAAAGTCCCATGTTCAGCGGAAACCAAGGCGTTGGTTGAACTGCAACTTGTCCTTCGGTCCGTAGACACGGTACTGCCGGCGACATACGAGAGGCTGTCGCCATAACTTGTTCTACGCTCCGTTTCAGCGTCGCTGACATCGCCAGCGGAAGTCTCATCCTCTTCCTTGACTACCTCGTTTTCCTTGTTGGCAATCGAACTTCGAGTGTCCCACGATGCCTTTCGAAAAGGAAATGTTGACTTGACTGAGTGACTTCTTTTCAAATTAGCCAACCCACCATTATTGGATTGAGGCAGCAACTGTCGGTCCTTAGTTCCACGGTTGCCTGTGACATGGCTAAGGCTCAGGATCCGTCGTCCGTTACCTGAATTGGAGGAGAGCGTAGACGCTGCGTTCGCCTTTCGTCTCTTCAAGGCTAAATTAACCCCACTACTGAGAACACCATCCTTGACGTTGCTGGCAACGCTTTTCCGGGTCGCTGTACTCGCAGAACTTGGGACACGCTTCAAGTTCGTACCATCCATGGAAGAGGGCCGACCAAGAAGTTGGCTGCGGGCATGATCCAGAACCCCTTCTACAATCCGCCGTTCAAGATCTTGCGCACGACTCTCCATGAGTTGTACTTCTTCGCGTCGGATCCGTAATGCTGTCTCCAACCCTGCCACTTCTTTGGCCAATTTGACCTGATACTTCGAAAGATCATCGTTCTCCTCCTTCAGTGACCGAACTGATTCCAAGAGGCTTTGCTTTTCTTCGTTTAGGGAAACAATTTCTGCCTCAACTTTCTCCTTCTGCGCTAACCTCTTCTCTAAAGCAATGGCTGTCTCCATGGCCTCTTTCTCCTTATTACTACGCTCCTCTGTGACAATTTTGGTCTGCGTAGCCATTATTTCACTAACCTCCCTTGCCATGCTTGTGAGTCGTTCGTGGATCTCATCAAGTTTGTCTATCCGGGCCATAGATTCGGTTGTTGCGCTCGTTTCTTTCAGTATGGTATCGAGCTTCTCATGTACTTGAGAATCGTCATATTTTTCTGGCTCAGGAGCTTCTTTTAGAAGGATAGCATCCAACTTTTCCAATACCTGAGAATCGTCATACTTCTCCGGTTCTGGAGCCTCTTTGAGAAGGAGAGTGTCGAGCTTTTCCTGCACTTGAGAGTCATCATACTTCTCCGGCACTGGGATTTCCTTAAGCAGCAGCGCATCCAGCTTTTCCTGCACCTGGGAGTCATCATACTTCTCCGGCACTGGGATTTCCTTAAGCAGCAGCGCATCCAGCTTTTCTTGCAGTTGGGAATCATCATACTTCTCCGGCTCAGGGACCTCCTTAAGCAGCAGCGCATCCAGCTTTTCTTGCAGTTGGGAATCATCATACTTCTCCGGCTCAGGGACCTCCTTAAGAAGCAGCGCGTCTAGCTTCTCGTGCAGCTGTGAATCGTCATACTTCTCGTATTCTGGTAGCTCCTTGCTAAGAAGAGTGTCGAGCTTCTCGTGAACTTTGGAATCATCGTACTTCTCCAGTTCCTCCTTGGGTTCCTCGGGAGCTGGTAGCGCTAGCTGATGGAAAAGTGGTGGGATCGCCTGTGGAATCGCAGATAGATCGGTCTTGAGTTCTTCTGTCATCCTTCGCGAGTGTTCATAATGCTGACCGACTATTGCTAATATATCTTTAACGGAGTTGAGGATTTCGGGATGCGAATCCGCGAGGTGACGTTCTAGCCGGTCTGTCGCAGCGACAGCCTTCTCGAATTGGCCTTTCAGATCCTCGTGCTGCATCTTGACATCGGTATGCATCTCATCAACTTTCAGAAACGACTGATCGACCCGTTCAAAGAACGTTTTTGCGTCGTCGCTCATTCTGTCGCAAGCTTCAGAGAGTGTATCACCCATACCGCCGATAACCATCTTGATATCCTCTGCAAGGCTCCTGGTGCTAGTCAAGGTCTCGAAAGACTGCACATCTCTCTCTTCGACGGCCACAAACTTAGACTCCAGAGCACTTTGAGCGTCTTCGTACTTCGCAATGACCTCGTTGAATTTCTCATCAATTCTTGCTCCCAGATCTGACAGAATAGCGTCTCGACCTTCTTCCTGCCTAGACAATAACTCCGAATGCTTTTCCTCTGTCTCCATCTTTGCAGCCTCGCGATCACCATGAGAACGCTCAAATTCGCGATTTACAAGATCAGACAGCTCTTTAATGGTCTCCGCTTTTGCCAGATTCTCTGCCGCATCATTGAAACTCAAAACCATGGTTTTAAGGTCATTGAGGCTTTCATCACTTTCTGAAAGCTTCTCCTTGATTTCGTCCCGAAGTCCACTTATCAAAGCTTTGGCATCTTCGATCTTTTCCGCAAGGCCACCATGTTCTATTTTGCGAGCCTCGAAAGCTTGTGCTGTAAGTTCGGTCTCAACCTCCATTTTCTCCTTGAACTCATTAACCAAGGTTGTGAGAAGGCCAAGGTCATCCTTGGTTGGCATCGTCTGAACATCGGGGAGAACAAACTCATCGAGTTGGGATTTGATTTCGAAGATTAAAGTTTCCACATTCCGGAAGTCTTCTTTGACGATTTTTTCTGGGTCTTCCTCTAGGTCCTTAGATGCGGCAGCCTTAAGGTCCTCAACGGCTGCCCACACGTCCTTGAGCACCGTCTCCAGATTCGCAACTTCATTTTTCGTCGGCCCTTCTGTCTCCACATGAGCGACAAAGCCAGTTATCAGGTCCTTCAATTCCTTTGTCAAGACTTCAAGCCCTTCAACCCGCTCAGCAGTGACAAAACTGGCATTAGTCGAAGTTGATAACTCATCGAGCCGCGCTTTTATGCTGTCAACCAGCAACCCAACAGCTTCAACATCTTCTTTCATTGCTGCCCCCTCCAACGGGTTCTCGCGAGAGCTCAGCTCAGAAACCAAGCTTTGAATTTCCTTGATTGCATCTACCATTTCCACTAGATCTTCCTTCTTTGTGATGTTTGGATCAATCTCTGGAATTTCGGGTACTGGTTCAATTGACTCGACCTTGATTTGCAGCTGAGTAACTAGGACCTTTAAGCTCTCGATGTCGGCGCCAATAGACGACTCGCTTGCCAGCATCAATTCTTTACCGCGGGCTACGTTCGTCTCGTCTGCCTCTTTTTGGAAATCCCGAAGCCGCTCAATCTCGGTTTTGACGCTAGCAAGCCCATCTCTGAGTATATTCAGCAGTTCGTCGTTAACACTCGTGTCCGGAGCTTTGTTTAAAATCTTGTCCATATCGGACCGTAGGACATCAACACCATCATGGAACGCGTCAAGAAGTTCGCTGGTGTTTGACAGCACGCTCTCGTTATCTTTCTTGCGATTATACTCATCAAGAAGTATCTCGAAACTTTCCTTGAAGGCCGATATAATCTCATCTTTCTCTGTTGTCGGATTCGACTTCACAATGGCCATGCTCAAGGTCTCGCGGAGTTGCGTAAACTCCTCCTTGATCATATCCGACACCTCAGAATTGTTTTTCTTGAATTGGTCATTTTCTGTGATGTCTCGGATCGCATCGAGAATTTCGTCCTTCTCACTCGAGATATTGCTCCGAATAAGGAGGTTGCTCAGTGTCTGGCGTAGATGCTCGAACTCCTTTTCCATTGCATCTAAGAGTTCGACGGTGTCGGTAGGCCGGTTCTGGGAAGATTCCGAAATCGTTTTCTCAATGTCTGCCTGTAGAAGCCTAAACCCCTCTTTTACGGTGTCGATTATCTCGTCTTTGCCGGTCACGTCGGCGGCCCGGTCGACGTAAGACTCGACTTCTCCTCGCAAGACTTCAAGGCCACCCTTGATGGCATCAAGAACCTGCTCCGTATCTCTGCCGTTGGCAGAAGAGTATTCCTTGAATTCATCTTTGATCTCAGCAACAACTTCATGGAAATGATCCATTACTTGACCGCCGAAGGTGTCGCTGAGAGAGTTGGAGGCGTCTTGAAAGCCAGCTCGAACAGCCTCGAAAACTTCTTCACTTTTGATTTCCGGCTCCTTAGGCGCTGGCTCGTGGTTTTCGAATCCTTCCCTAACAGCGCTCAAGACATCATCACGAGACAGAGCTTCTCTTTCGAAAACTGCTGGAGGAATTGGCCACTCAAAGCTCTCCAAGCATTCGCGCACTGCGTTTACGAGATCATCCCGAATTGAGGAGACGTCTGGTTCAACACGCGGGGGATTGAAGCTTTGTAGTCCTTGAGTGATCGCGTCAACAACTTGCTCGTAGGTTGCTCCTGGCTCGAAGTCATCCTTCTTCGGTTGATATTCCTTCAGCCCTTCTGCCAAACACTCCAGAATTTCTTCTCGTTCAAGGCCAAAGTTTTGAAGCTCAATTTCCGGCTTGTAAGTTTCCCATGCTTCTCGCACGGCTTCAAGGATTTCTTCCCTCTCAATTCCAGGCTTTGCCGGTTGCGGAGGGGGCTGATTAGCCAGGGGACTTTCTTCCAGAGCCTTCTGCAATGTCAAATAGATCTCTTCGCTGTCCAGATTGCAGCGCACTGGGGGCGGCGCTGCTTGACTCTGGCTTTCGTGAATCAATCGTTCCATTTGCTGTCGTAATTCAAGTAGTCCGCCCTCAACGATTTGTTGAATTTCTTCTTGGCTTGGAGGGACAGGTTTATTTTCGTCCGAACCTCGTCGTGCTTCAGCTTCCTCGAGCTTTCGAGCGATTTCCCTACCCATTCCTAAAACCTCTCCACGGAGTTCGCGAACAAGTGCTTTGACCTCGTTTGTTATCCCTCCGCCTTCACTTACGCTGGCTTTCACTCGCTTGAGGATGCTAAGGACATCCTCCGTTATAGCGTTGGATGGCATAGGCGAGCCATCTCTATCTGCCACATTCGCCAACTGATCCGATCCTTCCATTGACGCGTCAATCCCAGTGTTATCACCCAGCGCTCTCGACTTTATAAGGGCGCGGCTATTTGAGCTCTCCTTGACCACGTTAAGGATCTCTTCCAGCATTTTGAGCATTGGGCCATCGGTGTTTTTATCTCCTGAGTTAGACTTCATGCCCTCGACGAGTTGTAAGAGTTGTTCTTGCCCTTCTTTCGTCGCCATTTCTCTCAAAACCTTTTCGAGGAGCGCGATACTTGCAGATCCGTCCGTGGAAATGGCTGGTGATCCTGTCAGCTCCCTTTCCATAGCCGCAGCAAAGCTACTTGGACTAGGCATGCGCGGTAGGGAATAACTCTTTCTCGAGCTTGGAGACGAGTCTCTATTGTCGATCATGTAAGAGCTTGTATTAGGATGTACGGATGACCGAGAATTGTTTTCCGCTTCAAAGATTTTCGAGGACAGATTTGAGGCCAGCTCCTTCAGGCTCTTTCGAATATCCTCGTCCCGTGCATTCGTTGCGGCCTTCAGGCTGACAAGGTCGGTAGCATTATCCTTGCTTCGGCGACTTAACTGGGCCATTTCCTGCTGCAAAGAGGTCGCAATGCTAGTCAAGCTGATGATTTGCGCAGAGAGAGCTTCAATACTCTGAGGCTGCTGCTTCGAAGGGGTATTTGCGCTGGTGGTGAGAGCCGACTGCGGCAGATCAATGTCGATAGGCACTTGCATATTTTGCAGCGCAAGCATGGTAGCAGAAGGGGGAGTGTTTTCTCCGAGAATGGGCTTCGACAAGTATCGGCTCGACGGTCGATGAGTTGGAGATTCACGCCCAGATGGAGTGGAAGTGCTTGATCGAGTTTGTTTCTTCTCTGGAGTTCTATTTTCCGGCTCATAAACACTGGCACGATGCGCCTTCTCTGGTGATCTCCTTTCGAGGTAAGAAGCAAATTCTCGGCTATTTGTCGTTGCATTTTGGAATGACTGCATGCGCTTGTGATATTGGCCCTTGATAAGAGACTTTTCTGGAGAAGGCTTAAGCGGCATTGGATTGACCGTGTATGCACTTGGAGTGTTATCATAGCTTTTCTCTACAAGTGCAGCAGCAGCAGCCTGTATAGTCGCGGAAGCATTTGCTCTTGTTTTGGGACTGCCAGAGCCTGGATTCAATGGCAACGGTGGAGGCGCTCTGTCGGGGTCGGCGCTATCCCACCTGCAGTTTGCCCATCAGTCTCAATTGATCCCGCTACTATAGAGCAAGAAAAGCTACGAGGTAGCTAAGAATCGAACTTCACATACATTGGGATATGAGGACGGCCTGTTTCGGAGATCGAGTGGTGGTGACGATGATGATGACCTTTGAGCACCAGCTCGCGGTCTGAATAGCCCTCTCGTTCGTTGGAGGCCATTGCTAAACTGTGTAGATGAAAAAGGGCAAAAAACGTCGCAAATGTACAATTACTCAAAGGACTTCGTTAATCATTAAAAACAAGAACATAAAAAACCAAATAACGCCAGCGATTATGATCACGCAGCTATCATGACAAGAGAATAGCAATGGCAGAGGATGGAGGGTGGAAGATGGAGGTTGATGTATGCAGCCGAGAAGAGCTAGTTATGGGCAGGAAGCGGAAGGAAGGAAGTAACAAAGGGTGGACCATGCAGTAAACAATCACACAGGCGCAAAACACAATCGCCGCAGGACGCAAAAGCCGCTGGCCAGAGAACAACGCCTGCGACTCGCCCGGAGCTTTTTTGGGCAGCTGCGACTGACATGGCAACTGCCAACTGCATGGCAACAAGCCGTCATTGGGCGTTGCAGGTAAACAAACAGGGATACGGCGGCGCTTTTCCTCAGTTGCCAGAGCGATGGGCTTGTTGAGTGGCTGGCCAGGGCACGCGGCGCTAGTCCTGATGGAGAAACTATCCTAATAAAGCTAGGCGTGGTTCTCGATAAGCGGGCCAATCAGCAGTCGGCACACAACCAAACCGCCCCAAATCTCACACTGTCGTTCACCCGAATTTTGTCAGTGGTCGACCCTCAACAGGCGTGCGGAAAAGTCGACAAGTTCACGCTCTCTCAACCAAACGCCATCCAGAGCTTGCCGGTCGGACCTTTTGAAAAATGAAGTGTACGTTGATTTTTATCCCCTCCGCCATAGGCTTGGACTGTGTCCTCGGGCGATGCTGACTTGAGGCGCATTCTAGTCATGAAGGTTGGCCGTGTGGCCATCATCACCAGAGGGCGATATGCCGGAAAGAAGGTACGATACGATTTTTCGTCGCATTGAAGTTGCCAACGAGGAATTTGTTGTTTTTTGCCCCGAGCGCGGCGTCAATTAGGGGAGAAGTTAGAAATCAAAGAATCGAAGAAATTAGCCGGAGCGATATACAGATTTGGAACTCTTTGGATTTGGAGAATGGGCGGGAAAGAGGGAGGAGAGCAGAAACCACAAAAAGGGACAACATCGAAGCTGACGATATGCATTTTTTGCGCACCTTTTCCAGGTCGTGATCATCCAGCCATACGACGCCGGTTCCAAAGCCCACCCTTTCCCATATGCCCTCGTTGCCGGTATTGAGCGCTACCCATCCAAGGTCACCAAGAGAATGGGTGCCAAAAAGGTCGCCAAGCGCAGCAAGGTCAAGCCATTCATCAAGACCGTCAACTACAACCACCTGATGCCCACCCGCTACACACTTGAATTGGAGGGATTGAAGGGTGTCGTCACAAACGATACATTCAAGGAGGTGTCACAACGGGAAGAGGCTAAGAAGACAGTGAAGAAGGCTCTGGAGGACCGCTACACAAGCGGCAAGAACAGATGGTTCTTTACTCCTTTGCGTACGTCTTATCTTCCCATCTGTTTGGCTCCTCATGTCTCCTGGCATTGGGACCCCGCAGATTTTAATCGCCCGGTTCACTGACAACATCTGGTAGGATTCTAAATGCGTTTTCTCGTTTCATTTTCTAATGGGATGGTTCTGGTTGCTATGAAACCTTTGCGTCTTTTATGCATAGATACGCCATAGCGAAGAGGGAGTAAAACAAAATGGAATCCATGCATATCAGGCAATGGCTTGATGAACTTACACAAAATCCAATTTGTGCACCACTTTTCGAGGGATGAAGCGCTGGGATTAGGACTCAAAAAAAGGATTCCGGTTACCTGTCACAAAAAATGGAATCGCCATGTTGACAGTTCCCGGTTGTATGTATTCTTTGGACAACAGCTATCCTCAATCCCCGTGGAGATTGGATATCAATAAGTATCCATTGAACTCCCCTTACCAGCTAAGTTCATCAGGCCAACTGGTCGCAAACCTCGTTAAATCGGACCTTCCCTTCCGTTGATGCATCATCAAAGCTCAATATCACGACATGCACAGCTCATTCCCCCAAATTAGCACCCGGTTCTCGTATGATACCGAATACTACCAAAATTAGACAAAAAGAAGCCCGCCAGCGGCCCACTTCTCGCATTTCTGAAGTAACTCTTGCATTACGGATTCCACCTTTCTTCCAATTTAGCAACATATTACCCTTATCAATCAGGCTGATATCCAGGGTTGATAGTCCACAAGCAACCCCTTAGACGCAACGGGGTGGGGACCAGTGCGGATCACCACATTATCACATGAATTCTCTTGCTACACGTGAATGGATAGATAGCAAGCAACGATGTGAGGACGGAGATAGTGTCAGCCAGAAAAGAAGCCATGTAGATACCAAAATACGTTGTAGCGATCCTATTTCTTGTAGTAGTTATCCGATTTGCTTATCGAACCATCCTTGCACGCGATTGATGCTTGATACAACTCTCTCTTCAGCTGCTTCAGAGACTGATGAGCAATCATGCAATTAATCGCAATCTCAACCTTCTCTTGCGCGGAAGGCTAGCTATAGTTTGTCACCGTTATCTACCCCTTGTTGATTCCTTCCATCGCGGATTACACAATAGCGAACATCGTCTTTAGCGGATACCATACATGCACATGTAATGTATGTGCATACAAGGCACGCAGGACGGAGGACCCTTAGTCAAAATCACAACAACGTGTGATCGACACTCAAATCGCATCCTCTGCAGGTCAAGCAGAGTAAGTCAGGACGCCGTCCAAGCTCGGATAACCTAGCATCTTCGTCCACTTCCATCGCAACAGGCGGTTCCGAGTCCCGGTCTAGCCCAAGAGGACCACAATGCAATATGGATTCAAAATGGGAAGCCAGAAGCCTGATAGGTGCGTGGTTCGTCGTTGGCACTGTGTGTACCCTGAGGATGCACGTACGTTGGAGCACATCTGAATAATAAGTGCAAGGTAGGTGGCTATTTTAACCCCCCCGCCCAAACGACATCCCCGACACCATGTTCCGCTCTTCGAACGACGAGTGTGGCCATGGCACCCATTGGCCCATCAACGGTCGTATTCCTGGAGGGTTTTGCTACTCGCTAGAATCAACTATATTCCACCAGGGATCACGGCTTCTAGCCCATTCCTCCGCTTTTGCAAACCGAACTGTTATTTCAGGAGTTAATGAGAGCAACGCTATCTGTCTCAAGAACGGCCAATGATGAAAGTAGACAGGAGGGAAAGCTGAAAATTGACAGGGTCAAATCGCCTGTCTATACGTAATGAAGTGGTTTGTCCAATTGTCTCCAAGAAGCTCTAGAGCGAACGGCAACGACGACTACCATGGCATACCCTCCTCCACCTCTCCTCTTCTCCAGGCTTTTCTCCAAACTCAAATTTTGCTCGAAGCTACGGGCAGTGGAGTATCGGCAAGGAAGAAGCGTTGGAAGAGTATCTGGCAGATCGGTGAAAACTGCTGTTTATAGACCAGTGGGATACATTAATAACCCCCGGAATTCCACATCAGATTCCACGGCAGGACGAGAAATGGCGGAACACCGACGGCCCTGCTGTGTGGCAGTTGAACTATATGAGGCAATCGCCAAGGGGTCTAAAATCATATCCCTCTTGTTTCTGCGGTCTCGCATCACCTGGTGTTTTCTAGCAAAAGCTCTCTCTCTCTCTCTGTCTCTCTGGGATAAAAAGTGGAAAGCGTTGGATACATATCTACCCTGGGGATCCAGTAACACATAATCCTTTCAACCGTCAATTCGGAAAGTCAACAGGCTTATTAGCCGGGGTAGCTCTATACTCCGGTTCATAATCCACTAGATTGAGATAGGAGATAGCGGAATATGCAAAGATGGTGTAATAGAGCCATAGCTGTCCATCCCCGCAAGATATTATACGCAGGTATCTTCAGCAGACAGCGGTGAGAGTAGTATCTTCCCGGTACATCCGTACCCCATGACTGGCATGGGTATCCTGCCAATCTTTCTGAGTGTATCTTCCAATCCCGATAAACGTGGCCCCGGGCAACGAAGCAAACTCGTTTTGGGTAACCAGAGAAGCAATGGGAAACTTGATAGAACGGCCTCCGTTGCCCTGTCAGGGGAAGCAGAGACGTGGAGGGGGGCGTAGGAGTTAACGCACATCCAACATACTGCATAGCAAGAGAGAGAGAGAGAGAGAGCTGTGGCCACGCCAAATGACAAATTAAGCCGCAGAGCTCGAGCCACAGGGTTTTGCGCCGTATGTCCAAGTCCCGCTTACGTCATCCACATTCACATGCCAGGCCGTCCCGCTTGGCGTTGAGCCTCCCAAGCTTTTCCTGAAAGAGGGCGGGAAATGAATCAGCGTGGATGGATGGCTTGAGCGAGTCAGTACGCAAGGTCTTGAGCAATCGGCGGCCCAGAGCCAGCCGCTGCCCAGTGGCATCGGATGCTCGCTGGCATATGCATGGATTGCATCATCCAGCTCGATAACGCGGTCGAGAGTTTTCCCTCTCCCAACGAGCCGCATGTACCTAGTCAACCCAGTGACTTTCACATGCCAACAACCGCACGCTCTCAGTGGCTAGGCCCAGGGGATCGCCAAGGATCGTTGCTCGTCCCGTCGCCATGATTCGCTCTCGAAGCACTCCCACGGTCTCGAAGCAGCAGCAAAAAGCAGGGCTCTGGATTGTCCACAGAGTTTCAGCGAGCGGAGGGGGGTGTGGAAGCTTTGCAATTACACGCCCATCGCTCCCGATATCATGGATACATCCCGACCTTGCTGCTGCTAGGCGAGAGCTGCCGAACCTAGCCTGCCTCTCCCGACAACCTTTTTCGCCGCCGCCCTGTTTCGTAGATAAGCTCGTCCTATATATGTAGTCCCTGTTCCCATCCGCTCTCCTGCTCCTTTTCATCGTCCATCCCTCGTGCTCAATCCGTCGATCTGTACTCTGATCACCCCGTGCTAGAGCAGACAAAGAGACTCTTCCTGTCCGAAATCATCATCGCCTCTCCAGTCTGCTTCCTGACACCTCGATCCAGTCGAACCTATCTTGTACACTCACTCTCTACCTTTTTCATCCCATGCCACACGCAGAAAAAGACGTCATGGGCGAGCCAGTTGTCAACGGAGATCACCCTCAATCCCAATTCATCAACGTACGTAAATCCCATCCCACCCCATAAGGCCCGAAAAAGCATTCTTACTGACTCCCGTCTCCAGCACCTCGCCTCATATCCCTTCGTCTCCGGATCCCTCGAGAACATAAAGGCCAATCCCTACGGCCAGAAATCGCTCGAGCTCGCCGACCAAGGCTACTCCCAGTTCGCCAAACCTTTCCTCCCCTACCTCGCCAAACCGTACGGCTACGTAGCCCCGTACGTCTCCAAAGCCGACGAGCTCGGAAACGAGGGCCTCAACCGCATGGACAGCACCATCCCCGCCGTCATCCACGCCTCGGAGAATATCAAAGAGACCATCAGAGGATACGTCTCTGCCCCTTTCCGCCTTGCGGAGGACGGGAAGGGCTACGTTCTCGAGACCTATTCGTCTGAGCGAAATGCGGTCGGAGACGGTTCCTTCTCGCGCAGCAAAGCTGCTGTTTCAACTGGCCTAAGGCTCACCGCGGATTCCTGCCTGTGGCTTCGGGGATACCTGATCCCTGAAGCGAAAATCAACGAGGCCGCGAGGAACGGAAAGCCTCGTCGAAACGGCGAGAAGGCCAAGCCTGCCAAAAGTTGATTGACCATGGCGTCTTCACATATCTACATTCCTGGCTTTGTACTTCGTCGTCCTCGCTGTCTGGGTTGGATTTATTTAGAACTTCATGGTCTAGATTGCAAAATCTGAGTGTACTGGGATCTGGTCTGTATTCTTTTTTTCTTTTTTCTTTTTTAGCTGGTTTGAGTTTTGCAGTCGCTTCTTGTCTCCGGTTAGTTATCTGGGCTGGGTTCCTTTTTTTTTCTTTTTCTTTCTTTTTTCTTTTTTTGGAGTGCAAGAAAAAAAAAGTCATCGAAACATATCATCCCATCTTCAATCCGTTCGTTCTTCTTTCATCTTTCAACAGTTATCGCCCTTCCTAGTCGAGAACCCCTTTCCCGCCTCTCCCCTATCAGTATGTATGTACTATACAACTCCCCTGGGCGGCTTAAATTGGTATCCAATTCTAATTCATTTCGTTCAATTGTCCCTGTTTCTAAACTCCACAGCCATTACAATCATTTTGCTCGTGTGAAAAAAAAAAAAAAAAAAATTTTAAAATAGATAAATGTTGATATCACTTCGAGTCAGCATGTGATAGTGGGGCTGATGATCTCATGGCGTCCGGGCAGTAAGCCCACACGCCAAAGCACGGAATCAAAAAAGCTCTCACCATCAACTCTTGGCCCTAAAATCGCAGAGCTTGATGATTTAGGGGAGAGAGAAACCAACAAAAGGGATGGAAAGAAAAAAAAAAAAAATGAGAGCAAAGTATAAGTACATATATGGAGTAAAATCAAAAGAGTACACTGTAGTTACAGAGAACAGAGTAAACAATAACAATGTGTCATTCCTTTCTTATCTCAGCTGCAGGTGCATTTAATTACAGGTTACACAGAGAGGGGGATGGAGAGTATGCATGTTGTGTGCGGAGTAGTCAATACAACAACAAGAAAAAGCCACGGGACAAAATGCACAGGGCAAAACGTAAAAAAAGTTTCCTTCCCTGCACCTTATCAGTAATGGGCCTTTCCTTAGTACATTTTCATATCCCGGAAGATCTACCAGACTAGGTGTAAGCTTTGTAATTGAGAGCTGGGGTTTGCATGATGCAGAAATGTTTGGGTCACAAGAAGGTCCCTAACTTGTTTGACGGGCATTGAGCTTGTACCTAGGTAAAAGAGCAAATACGGTAGCGACCTTGTATGCTCCGTACCTGGCTTGATACCTGCGAGTTAATCACGGGGAAATGGGAACAAAAGGGAGGGGCCGTAGGCCGATTCCCCAGAGCAATGGGGAGCTGTCAGTTAAACGAAAATATGAGGGAAAAAAAAAGGTCACCTTTCCACCAGCTTAAGCGATGCATTCAAAATATTTGCTATCATGAGCTGCACACAAGCGCAACTTATACCGAGCTTCAAGCGAAAAGACCAGATGTCCAAAAATAGAATCTGAGACAGACTTTTGCCACGGTTCATCCATGGCTTTTTAACCTGTTGTTCCAGGAAAGGTATATGAGACCAATGGGCCTTTCTCTCGGTTCCATCCGGGACTAGGTACGGGTTAGAAATCATATGACAAAGCATCGTGTTAGCCTTTGATGATACGGTGAAACATGAGAGCATCGCATAAAGGGTTCCTTCCTGCGCCGCCGATTACTCTCCATGAACACCGTAATCCGAACCCAAGGTCCTCAACTTCGCTTCACACGAAGCAAAGGGAGATGGAATCATTGCCATGCTGCGGCGCAAGGCTATCAAGGATATCCACCTGTAGATGTTAGCAAGGAAGATAAGCAAGGCGCAATTATTATACTTCGATAGGATGCACGAGACCACAACAACAAGCCTCGACATTCAAAAGCTTCGTTCCAGGTGGCGTGGTGTAATTTGATAGACAGACATGGAGCGAGGCCCCAAGAAGTTCCTCATCATCGGAGCCCGATAAATTCCCCTCCATGCTTCTATTTAGCTGGGTAGGTTGAAACGGGTGAAGCCCGACGGCCGAAGTCCAAGGTCCACCGATTATTCGGAAACCCTGTTCCCAGTGCTTTGATGCGATGCATCGGGCTATACAGCGCGAGCTCTCCAACTTCTCTTCAACACGATCGTGAGCCGTCATCCTCCCTTTAGCCTTGGAACAAAGTTTCCGAAAATCGGCAATGGCGGAGGGGCGGTGCAAGGCAGTCTATGACTTTTCGAATATTCGATGCTTCTTCTCCCAAAGTTGACGAGTAAGGGTCCAGATAGAAGGTGTTATGGCCCGGGGGTTCAGGCGCTTCGACGAAGCACAGCCACTTTGTGAAGGAGACGTGCGGAGTCAAGGCATCCTGCTGGGAGGATTCGTTGAGGGGGTCAGTGAGCGATCTCTCTCACAAGACATGATTAGCAGTTCAAACCGGCGACGCAAGAATAATGAGCTGGTCGTAGAGTAGAAGTAAGTTCAAGTAAACCAGGGATTTTGAGAGCAACGACACGGATAGAGGCGGGAGAGCAGCCAGGGAAGCGAGATGGTTCGTTTCACAAGGCGGCGGAAGAGCCAAGCGGCTGTGGAGAACTGGCATGGCTGACAGTTTCGCTTCCCCAGACCCCCTCTCCCAACCTTTTAAGGCTTCACGCGATCGGTGGTTGTTTGTCAAGCTCGATTTTGTCGCAGCTCTCTGCGCATATATTTTACGAGTATCCCGCTCTTTCTGCCCTCCGCATACGTATTTCAACCGGATACGCGTTTCTTGGGTCCATAGCAAGGTTCCGACCCCCAACCCTCTATTTTTTGTATACTTATCCAATTTAGCTAGTTAGCCCTTTGTTCGTTCCATTCATCTTCTTCGACCAACAGCAATCCAAATTATCTACCCCCCATTTCACATTATTCATTAAATAATAATTTACAGTCGCGTTGCACTGTCGATATGGATATGGAAAATATAAATTTCGGCCCCCAGAGCAACAGTAAAGCTCCAGCTGCGAGTCAGGAGCCTTCGCATGCCGCGCTCAAGGCTGGCGCCCAACCCGGCAGCGCTGGGGGTGAAATCATCACTGTCCAGCCCGCTCGTCTCGAGGATCTCCAGCCAAGCTACGCTCAGATCTTGAACCATCCCACCCAGAGCGCTGCGGGCCACGGATGGTATGCCGCACTTAGTAAGTGTTCCTGATGCATATACGCGCGCCAGAGCGCCCCAGCTACCGTGACTTACCTGCTCTGTTCTCCCTCAGTTCACGGCCTTGGTGAATTTCTCGGCTGTCTCGGTGCCATTCCGTGCTGCTTGTGCTGCCCCAACCCCTTCAGGCCCGTGGACCAAGGACAGGTCGGCCTGGTAACCAAATTCGGTCGTTTCGAACGCGCCGTCGATCCGGGTCTCGTCAAAGTCAACGTCCTCAGCGAGAAATTGAAGACAATCGACGTCAAAATCCAAATTGTTGAGGTCCCGCGCCAGGTTTGCATGACCAAGGATAATGTCACCTTGCATCTGACGTCTGTCCTCTATTACCATGTCGTCTCTCCGCACAAGGCCGCCTTCGGCGTCGCGAACGTCCGCCAGGCCCTCATCGAACGAACTCAGACTACCCTGCGACAGGTGGTTGGTGCTCGTGTCCTGCAGGATGTTATTGAGCGTCGGGAGGAAATTGCCCAGTCTATTCGGGAAATTATCGATGACGTGGCCACCGATTGGGGTGTTAAGGTTGAATCCATGCTCATCAAGGATCTCATCTTCAGCGATGAGCTGCAGGAATCTCTGTCCATGGCCGCTCAGTCCAAGCGCATCGGTGAGAGTAAGGTCATTGCTGCCCGTGCCGAAGTCGAGGCCGCCAAGGTACGCCCCCTTTCTTTCTTTCTTTATTTCTTTTTTTCCTTTTTTTTTTTTTTTTTTTCTTTCCTACGTCGTGTTTGAATCTATTTCTCTACCTCCAATCTAGAAACTTTGGCACTAACACGTTGCCGTTAGCTCATGAGAGCCGCCGCCGATATCTTATCCTCTGCTCCTGCTATGCAAATCCGCTATTTGGAGACCATGCAGCAGATGGCCAAGACCTCCAACTCTAAGGTCATCTTCCTGCCGGCCCCAAATCAAACCATGGCACAGATTCAGGATTCCCTCAACGAGGCTGAGAGGACTGGTGAAGGCCCAAGCCATTATAGCAACCCATTTGATACCCAGACAAACGATGGGTTTCAGCAAGCCATGAACGCCCGAGTTGTTGAGCATATCTAAACAAATTCGTCTTTTCCCCTCCCACCCAGGCGCTGTAGTTGCAGAATAATACCTTAATTGTTTGCGATACCCTCCCCGATGCTTTTGCGGTACTCTAATTTTATTCTTTGTGTATACTTCACAGAATGTTGTCTACCTATGTCCAACGTTCGTGATGGTGTTGGCAACTTTCAATAATTATCTTCTCTGATGGACTCTTTTGCTAGGCTGTGGGGAACAGAGCATGTTGCCTTAATTCATAATGTAAATAGGGAAGCACATGACTATATTAATGACTTTGGTAGAAGGATACTTAATGGAATCAGTCCATCTACACAATCTTCCAAGAGATATGCTATTATGTGAGGGCCAGGTTACGGAGTAATGACCAGGCCCCCGCGCGCTCTGCTCCGTAGCATCCAGTCACCCACAGCACCTAAGCAGCATGTTGCCAGCCAAGGCGTCCGACAGGTTTCCGTGCTTGCAAATAGCCCTGAGCTTCATGCTTTGGCACGGTCACCTAGGTCTTCATCTCTCTTTTAACAATTACAAGTCACAAACCGGCAACAGTGACCCAACCTTTCCAAGTCCGATCCCAAGCTCAAGTTAGGAGAGACTGTCTTATGCAATGATGAATCATTTCAAGCGGATGATGATCCAGATCTTCAGGAGGCCCTAGAAGTCACTGCTCTTTTGCAGCAGTATACTAAGCAGGGATCTAACTCAGCAAGCAATAGCATCTACACTGCTCTATCTGGCGCCTTGAGGAATGAGAAGGCTTTTTGAGGTCGCTTTGTGTGTGTAGTGGCGCAGCTCAACAATGGGGTTGCTGTGAAGCTTGGCCCTAATATATCGCTAACACAGACATCACGGTTCATATTCAAACCCATTCAGCAGATATTCCAGTTCCTCAGTCTCTGGGTGCACTCTCTTTCAACATAGCCTGTATGTCCATGAATCCTATAGGCTATTGAGGGTTGTTTTCTGGACAGACTCTGAAGAGTCCAAGATCAACTGGATATTATCTTGGAAAGCTCCAATTGCTGCTATTACCATCTCACTATCTTGGTGGTGGAAATCCATCCTGGCGCATATACGAGATTGGTGCTAGAGGTAGTTTCAAGTGGCTGACCGTTGGCCATGCAACCAAACCTTTTTTAGGTCCGCTCACAGGCACCACTCACAGTCAAATTACATCCATTGCGGATGCAATTCCCTGAAGACGATACGAATACAAACCACTTGCACCTGAACAATGCTATGTTCAATAAAAATGCGTCCATCCAAGGTCTTGAAGGGGGTGAGGTATAATAGCGATAAAGCCCCTAGACCTCCAACTCCCACATTTGCCCATCAACCTTGACCATCTGGGATTCACACAACACCCATAGGTGCCCCATGTTCGGCACCTTCAGCCCTCATCTTCGCCGGACCATGTAGTGCATGACTAAATGTTGGACAATCCGGATCCTCAAGTAGCATATCTAGGTCGACTGGGTCGGGAGGTAGAAGGAACCCGTTTCCTGGTTTTGGATAAAGTCGGTGTTCGGAGACAAATTCGTCTTCAGAGTGGTCGCCCTCGTTATGTGCTGTTGACGCATGAGGATGGTCAGGATCAGAGGTTGGGGGTGTGGAGGATTGGGGTTGATTTGGAGGTTCCGAGGAAAGCTGGGAGGTGATGGAAGTACCAACGGATGATAACGGGGTTGTTTGTGTTGTGGTGTCCTGGAGGGATGATTTAATTGTTGTGGCCGATGGGTTTGCGATAGACGGTGCTATGAAAAGAGATGGGCGTAAGTCCTTTACATTGGCAGGAAAAATCGGTAACTCAGGACTTTCATCGGAAATTCGAATGAGCAGGTTGACAAGAGCAGCATGAGAGAGCCCAGCGAGATATCCCAATTTTTCTCCCCGAGTGAACTTCGAACCACCAACCAGGTTCTCTGACTCCAAAAATTTGGTATCGTAGACGGTTGCGGTCGCGACTGGCTTACTCTGCATAGCACTGGCCACCGGAGTGATAGGTGAGGGAGCTTTGACAGGTCTGCAAGCTCTACAAAACCATTGTGACTCCTTCACGTTGACCACTTCCACCTCGATTGGAGGGTCATGGCAGAACCGATGCCAACCCCCATTACAATCGTCACAGAAGACGATCGGATTTCCGGACGGGCTATGGCCTCTTTGGCAGTGTTCGCAGGTAATATTCGCCTCTTTCCCCTTGCGCACCTTTTTCTTCTTCCGGGGAGGGCTTTCTCGCCCGGACACTTTAGTGGTAACCCCTGTAGCTCCAGGTGCGGAGCTCTGTGCAGTACCTTGCTGGTAGGCAAAAACGGAGGGTCGATGAATCTGTCTTCCCGATTTCGTCTGGGTGGCGATAGGGGTGAATTCATCTGATTCATCTGAGCTCGAGTCCCCGGCTTTGATGATACCCTCCCCATCGTCATCGTAAGTTCTGGCTTTACGTTTCCTACTCCGTTTCTGTGTTGGTTTCTTGGTGCGATTCTGTTGTTTATCGGATTTCGGAACAGATACTGGGGTGCTATCTGATACCCCTTCTATCTTGGGGGGAGCGGGCGCAATTTTTTTCAATGGTGCCGCAACTGGTTTCACGGATGCACGAGGCATTGTCGTGGTACTAGCTGCAGTCGATATAGTCGGTTGCACTGGCCTTGGTAGTCCCCCAATGGTAGAAGGTGTGGGAAAGGAGTTGGAAGTTATTGATGATAATTCAGTGCTGGATGGACGAGCACCACTTATGGATAATAGGCTAGCATCTGCACTGGCCGAAAAACTGCCAAAATCTTTCTGTTCTAATTTTGAACCCGTAGGCTGCACTTCTTGGTCCCCTCCGGCCCCTGCTGTGCTCTCGTCAACTCGTTGCGACAGAGCTGTCAGGCCCGGAATAGATTCAGTTGTCGAGGACGAGAGAGGTGTAATAGAGCTGAGAGGACTTAAGGAAACACTTGGAAGAGGCACATATGACTGCGACTGAACATTGGACGTTTCCGCTGTGGTAGATCCACCAGGCAGGGGAAATGCGGATCGATTGGCCGGGGATTGTTTCGATTGATCGGAGTCTGATGACGATGCGGTACTGGGATTGAGAGAGGAAAGGGACGATTTTAAGTCCATGGCGGCTGGAGCGCAGTTCAAATCACATCCGCCAAACCGCCGAACTATCTATTCATGGAAACAGTTAACAATGGCCATTCATCCTCCATTGTCACTGAGCGTGTGCTGGCGGGATTCCGCCGTCCGCCTCCCCGGCCCCAGGATACACGTCACGTGATGTATAGGGAGGCCATGGAAGAGACGTGTGCGGCCAGGAGCAAATGAGGCGAATCCAAGTGGAAAAACATAGCGATACATATGCCTGCGGGCAAGGATTGTAGATAATTTATCTATTTCTAGGATACATTATTGCATAACCCTGCTGAAAGTTCGATCTATGGGTAGAATCATGAAACCAAGCAGAAATAGTTAGATAGTGAGAAGTGGTGTAATAAAATGTAACGCATTAGCATCAACCATCAGGAGTAGCAGTTTCTCTCAACAGGTCATGAGACAACCCCATCGCGCCGCAACTGATCTATATTATCAGTGCCGAAACCCAAATCTTGCAGAACTTCATCAGTGTGTTGTCCAAGTGTTGGAGGCGGAGTTCGGATACCGGGCGTCGCATGGGAATATTTAACCGGGGTATTCACAAGCTTCATAGGGCCGCAGATAGGATGCTCGACTTCCTGCACCATTCCGCGAGCTCGAACTATTGAAAAAGGGTCAGGAAGGTTTGTTTAGCCAACGAATGGGGATCTCAATGCCTACCATGAGCGTGGTTCAGAGTTCCTTGAATATCGTTCACAGCCGAATATGGCATGCCGCTACCTTCAAAGATCTCTAGCCACTCCTGTGTCGTCTTCTGTTTGACTATCTCCTCGATAAGACGATCAATCGCTTCCCGATTTTTCACGCGGAGGTCATTGGTAACGAATCGGGAATCTGTTGCCCATTCGGGGTGGCCTAGCCGTTCACAGAGAATACCAAAGAGCTTGTCATTGCCACCACCAAGAAGGATGTCACCATCCTTGGTTTTATATCCGCGATAAGGAACAATGGATGCTGCAGAAGCCAAGGAGGTTAGTACAGGATCCGTTTTCAGTACCTGGGTAGAACTTACGGTGAGCGGTTCCCCATCTTCCTGAATCCTTCTGGCCGCTAATCAAAGCTGAACTGGCAAGATTTGAAAGGGTGGCCACCTGGCAATCACTCAGGGCGGAATCGATATGCTGGCCCCTGCCCGTTTTCATTCGTGCCAGGAGTGCGGCCATGATGGCATTCGAAGTATACAATCCGGTAGTTAAATCAGTCACGGCAACACCAACTTTCACCGGAGGTCCATCCCTTTCACCGGTAATATGCATCAAACCCATCTCGGCCTCGACCATAACATCGTAACCTGCTCTTTTGCTGTAGGGCCCTGTCTGCCCATACCCAGTGATACTAGCATATATCAATCGGGGATTCAAGGCACTCAAAGTTTCATAGTCTAATTTATATTTCTTCAGGGAGCCAGGTATGTAATTTTCAACCAGCACATCCGCATCTTTGATGAGTTTGTGTAGGATTTCAGTTCCCTGTTTATGTGCGAAGGAAAGGCCAAGTGACTTTTTATTCCGGTTCACCTGCGGAAGACGTGGTATCAGTGGATAAGGAGCAGTAGTAGAGTAAAATGCCACAATTAACGTACCGCCAAATAGTACGCACTCTCTCCGGGGCCATCCTTCGTGCCCTCCTTGTATTTTGCGAACGGAGGGCCCCATGCTCGGGTATCGTCTCCACGAACGGGGTGCTCAATCTTGATCACTTCTGCGCTGTCGAATGCAAGCAGGTCTCAGCGAAGGCCTCTGTTGAGTCCCAAAGGCCGGTAAATAAGTATCTCACCCTAAATCGCCGAGAATTTGTGTGCAATATGGCTGTTAATCACGGATGGGTTAGCCTGGTTGCCCTAGGTCCTTAGAGAACGTAACCAACTTACGCCTGCAAGCACTCGAGTCATGTCCACCACGCGTATACCGGCCAGCGGCAATGTATCCGCTGAGTGTACCGGCGTCGAATAGCTCCGTCTCAATACCAATGACACGCCATCATTCCAGACAACAGGGCTAGCCCTTCTGGCAAAGCTCCGCAATGCGACAAATCCCCTCATACTGCTGAAATCGCAAAATGGACACAGTGGTTACGATCGTGCTTCTTTCAGTTACATTGCGAAGGAAGGAGGAGGCCTTTTGAATCTAATTGAAGGAGAGAGCCGCGGAAAGCTTGCGGGTGCTCCTCAAGCCGAAGTGCTCGCAGGGGAGCTCCTTTTAGGCCGCGTATCCCGAAGTTTCTCCATAGTCTCGGACATCGGAGGTGCCGAACCGCCACTAAAATCCACCGCGAACGACTCGCCAAGTCTGGAGAAATGTTGAAGCAATCGTACGTGTGCCGCTGAAGTCATTATTTAACCAAGGACGGAGTGCTAAGGAGATTTACGTTCAAAATGTTTACTGGATTGGTTGAGACCATTGGTGGTCAGTCCCTGACGCACAGAAGCAGCTCCGCCGGAATACGCTGATGCCTTTCTATAGTCGTCACGGCCCTTGAGCCCCAGGATGACACTGCCAGCGGCGGCGGCGGGACCTCCCTCACTATTTCAGACTGCGCAGAGATACTCACAGATGCCCAACTAGGGGATAGTATATGTGTCAATGGTGAGAACTCCCGGTCCACAATTACAGCGTCCGCCGTTTCCAGCTTCTCGCGCCGGATCTAGTTACCCCGCTCACGAACTGCGAGACTTACAGGAGCATGTCTAACGATAACCACCTTCGACAGTTCTTCCTTCAAAGTTGGCGTCGCACCAGAGACACTTCGCCGCACAAATCTTGGCTCTCTAACATCAGGGTCGCGGGTAAACCTTGAGCGGTCGGTGACTGCTTCGACACGTATGGGCGGCCACTTTGTGCAGGGCCACGTCGACACCACAGCGACTATCCTCTCTGTGACCCCGGATGGAAACTCCCTTGTGTTCAGACTTTCACCCAAGGAAAATGGAGTGCTTCGCTACATCGTGGAGAAAGGCTTCATCGCCCTAGACGGCGCGAGTCTAACCATTACGAAAGTAGCTGACGGAGAAAATGGATGGTTTGAAATCATGCTCATTGCATACACTCAAGAAAAGATTGTCACTGCGAAGAAGAAGCCGGGGGATCTGGTGAATGTTGAAATTGATATGGTTGGAAAGTATGTGGAGAAGAGCGTCGAAGCATATTTCCAAGGCCAAACTGGCGGGGATGCAGGGGCGCTGGAGAAATTGGTTGGGAGACTCGTTAAAGAAAAACTTCGAGGCAATGCAGCCGCCTAATTGGAGAAAACGATCGTTGTACGGAGTACTCGGGACTGTTCCCATCCGCCCCTGAACGACCGAATGATCGGTATGTCTTTGATAACCTGGAAACACCGATTATTTAGCACGCAAGAGCTGAAATCTGGTTCTTCACGGGTCATAGTTCTTATCTGATTATTGATTATTTACTTGGACTTGAACAAGGGAATCGTCGAAGTTGTTATGACGAGTGTTGAATAATATCTAACAATAACTACAAAGTTCCTCGCCCTTTCAGTCGCCATCCGGGATGTCAAAAAGCTGCCCGTACTTCCGGAATCCCATAGCATACCCACAGCGCCTCTTTTGCCTCTTCCGGGTGAAATCATTTTCCGCATCCTCGTGCGCAAAATCAATCATAAAAGGCCTAGAGCTGGGTGACAAGTAGTCCCGGATACTCAGTTGCTGCTGATCTTCCGCGTCCTCGTGCGCAAAATCGGTCATACAAGAGTTAGAGTCGGGTGACAAGTAGTCCCAGATAGTCGATTGCTGCTGATCTTCCGCTTCTGGGTCAAATATTTTCTGCCGAGATGGCATCCATTGGTCATGGAGCCAAAAAAGCCCATGACCTCGAGAGCATGGAGTAGTGATTTCTTTCTCAATGCCATATAAATAGCCTTCAGATCTCTTCACACAACGGAGACAAAACTCCTCCTTCATGGCACAAGTAATCATGCTTTTTGCCCGACCTAATTTCAAACCAGTAGATTCGCTTATCACAGCGAACTGCTCACCCTGAATAATGACGTGTTTCTCGTCCATATATTCAAGATTTGACTGGTTTATATGGGGCCTAATCTTACTGAGGGACGCATCAATTTCTGCGAGAGAAAGCCTGGTCAGACTACTGATTGGCCAAAGTTGGAATCTTTCCAACAAAACATTTATCTGGACACCCAGCAGCGAGCCTTCGGTACAGATGGCAGTAATTTCGTCACACAATGTAAGGACAACACGACTTCGCGCCATAATCAGCTGAACTTGAAAGTGTTAGTGATTTTCTAATTTCATAAGAGGAGTTCGGGCTCGTACTCTCGATTTCCTTCACAGCAGGGTACTGTTCCCAAACACCGGGGAAAACCTCCTTCCAGTGGATATTAGTGCCCTGCTTAAGGAGGCAATCCAGCTTCTTATTCAGCTCTTCCCAATTGTGTGCGATGAGCAAATCGAGAATTTGGAGTCTTGCCATCGTCTCTCGATTCCTTTGATCCGATGGCACCAGAAACCTGCGCTCTTGGGAGGAAAATGAGTTCTGGGGTAATGGGCCTGCGATGTTCTCGCTTGGAATTTCGAACCCACCTTGGGCATATGCTTCGATGGAATATCAGCAATTATTCTCAGCAGTATCAGAGCCACGAATAGCGCATGATAGGGAATGCACACTTGGTTCTAGAGGCAGATGTCTTCCTCCCCCTTCCCGTGCAGTAGCGAGATCATAGGGTCTCCGTACGGGGCCTCTTGTGAAGTAATCAAGAAACATATTGTAAACGACTGGAATCCAAACGGATAGAAACAATAATAGCCATAAATATCATATACCAATACAAAAGGTTTTGACCCAAGGCATAATCTATGCGGAAAACGCCAGTCATATAAAAACGAACTTCGAGGACAATGATGGTCATGGGAAAAAATAAGTCTCTGACCTGTTCGAGCTCCTTCCGTGATACGTGCAGAAGGATCGATTCAAGAAGATGCATGGACGTCGCGGAGTCACAGCATATCAATCTTCATCATCGTGTTCTTCATGCTCGCTGAAATCTTCACTATCCCACATCTCGCTGTCTCCGGCTTCGTCCATTTTATCTTCGGCATCGGCAGCTTGGCCATCGTTGGCCTTTGCCTTTTTCTTCTTCTCGACGTTTTCCTTTTGTATTTGCCTCCGAAGCTCCTTCTCTTTGCGTCTTTGCTCCCAAGTCTCTTCTAATTTATCCGCTTCGGCTTGGGTTTTGTTCACAAGAGCATGCCACATAACTCTACCTCCGCACAGCCCTTCCTCCACCTTCATCAGCTTAAGTCTCATCCGAGGTCCCAGCTCCACCAACTTCACCGCTCTTTTTTCGACGTTCGGTGATGGTATGGTTTTGGACTTTTTCTCTCCGGCCTTCATACGTTGCAGCTCCTTTTTATTCAATACCTTTCTTGTGGTACTTTCCATCACCTCAACCTCGGCGTCAGTGTCGAGTTCAGTTTCACTCGCGGAGGTATAGCCGGCGGCAGAGGGATCAAGCAAATACTCTGCCACATCATTGAGTTTACCTAGGTTCGGTACAGTCCTGTCCTTCTTGTCTTTTCGCCGCTGTTCTCGAGGATCTAGCCGCCGTATTCGTTTTGATATATCAAGTCGTTTGGTGGTAATGGCATAGTGTCGCAGGTTCAACACGTACGAATCCTGGTCTATGCCATTGGATGCAGATGGCAGCTCTCTGTTGAGAAGCATTATACGGCGGATTGAGGATAAAGGTGTGGCTTGAGGAGAGATCGGAGGGAAAAGGGATTGGAAAACCGTGGTCGTAAGCGATTCTAGATGTTTGGGTATCTTCTTGGAGCTGGTATCTTCCTCGGATTGGGATGTCATAAAATTGTTCATCACAAGTAGCGGAGGGCTCATATGGCTCTTGCTGGAGACTCTTGGATGTTTTTGTGCTTTGGTAACATCTTTGCATAGGGAGTAACTCTCGACTCGAAAATGCAATGTAGGGCCACGCGGTGTGAGGGCTATCCGGAGGTTTGTGTTCCCGGTGGACGACTTAGAGAATAAAAGTAAATGAGTAACACCTAGAGGGCCAGTCATGACAGTGTAATCCTTCAATTTGTTCCCCCTCCGCTCCTATGCTCTATTAGCATTCTGCCAAAAGAAGTAAAAGAACATGGGAGGGGAAACAATACCTTTAACCGCGATGCTGTATCTGGCTCCATCATTGACCGCACATCCTTAACAAGCTGGCTCACACTTGGGCCAACCTCTCCGGCACCCATGCGGATCACCATGCTCTTTGGGGACCGGTTTATCGAAGCAGCCCCATTTTTCAGATTGGAAGTCCCGCCCTGCGGAGCTGGTTTGATATGGGTACGCGTCTTGGTGCGTCTTTTGGCCATTATGCCTTGGTCTAATCAACTAGAGAGAGAATAGAAAACTGAAAAGAAATCGAGAAGATAAACAAGAGTCTTTGATTGTTTTCTCCCTCAAGACGCCAAAAGTCCATGCTCTGCGGACTTTTTTCTTGGCAGCTTTCCTTATCTCGGATCATTAGTTTTGCCGCTTATACGGTGGTCCATACGCCCATATCGGCAGGGGCCAGGCGATAACACCAAAATTTTTGATAGATCGCTATCTCCCGCGTCTGAGCTTCACGGGAGCGAAACCAAACAAAATGCCGTCCATGAAAAGGAGAAAGCTGTCGCACACCCCTCCGCAGGGCGAGGCAGAAGATGGCTTCTCAGATTCAGAGACATCGCAGGCTTCTCTTCAGGAAACCCCCGGCAATGACGAGAAAATTGAGGCTACGACCACAAAGTCATTCAAGGATCTCGGGATCATTGATTCTCTATGCGAGGCATGCGATTCGCTAGGTTATAAGGCTCCAACCCAAATCCAGGCCGAGTCGATTCCTCTTGCATTGCAAGGGCGTGATTTAATCGGTTTAGCGGAAACCGGGAGCGGGAAAACGGCCGCATTTGCTCTGCCAATTTTACAAGGTGAGAAGCTCGCTATAGGTGGATGTCGACTGCGCATTTTGCTTACATTTTGAACCCCACAGCTCTTATGGACAAACCGCAATCAATGTTTGGCTTGGTCCTAGCTCCAACTCGCGAGCTCGCTTACCAGATATCCCAGCAATTTGAAGCGCTTGGCTCCCTTATTTCCGTCCGTTGCGCCGTGATAGTCGGAGGAATGGATATGGTGTCCCAAGCTATCGCCCTTGGAAAGAAACCTCACATCATTGTTGCGACTCCGGGACGTCTATTGGACCACTTGGAAAACACAAAGGGCTTTTCACTCCGCAGCCTGAAATACCTTGTTATGGACGAGGCTGATCGACTTCTGGACCTTGACTTTGGCCCAATCCTCGATAAGATCCTAAAAGTGCTCCCAAAGGAGCGCCGCACATATCTCTTCTCAGCAACAATGAGTTCAAAAGTTGAATCCCTCCAGCGCGCGTCCCTCTCAAATCCGCTCCGAGTCTCCGTTTCGTCCAATAAATATCAAACCGTCTCAACCCTCCTCCAGAACTGCCTCATTATACCTCACAAACACAAGGATATTTACCTTATATACCTTCTCAACGAATTTCCCGGCCAGTCGGTCATCATCTTCACCCGTACTGTTAATGAAACCCAGCGTCTCGCTATCTTACTCCGTGCCCTCGGGTTTGGCGCAATACCCCTCCATGGCCAACTCTCACAATCAGCCCGCCTAGGTGCACTAGGCAAATTCCGTTCACGCAGTCGAAATATCCTCGTGGCTACTGACGTTGCCGCCCGAGGTCTTGATATTCCATCTGTGGATTTAGTTCTTAACTACGATCTACCTTCTGATAGCAAAACGTACATCCACCGTGTGGGGCGTACGGCCCGTGCAGGCAAAAGTGGACGTGCATTTAGCCTTGTAACGCAATACGACGTTGAAATATGGCAACGCATCGAAGCTGCACTAGGCAAAGAATTGGACGAATATAAAGTGGAGAAGGAAGAAGTGATGGTGTTAAGTGATAGAGTAGGCGAGGCCCAACGTCATGCAATTACGGAGATGAAAGAATTACATGAGAATAGAGGTAAAAAGGGTGCCACTTTAAGGAATAGGAGGATAGGGAAGGGTGCAAAGAGGAGTCGGGATGAGATGGATCGTGAGGAAGGATGATGTGTGGTTAGCTGTTTCTCACTTAATTTGGCTTGTAGCATGGACATCCTGTTTAATGAGTTAGCGATATCTTGCATCGATCAGTGGATCTCAAATCATTCATTTGTTATTTTATTTTTATTTTGACTATCAGATTCGCCTGCGATGAGCAGTCACCTGGCACCACGACCATAGAAGGTGAGAAATCCGGGCCTTCGTTGTTGCAAGGGTAGTGACATAAGAAATAAATCAAGGGTGATTTTGTGAGTAATCATGTCCGCTGCAATAGAAAGAATCAAGCTGGTAACCTCGAGGTGGCAAACCGCTGTCAGAGTACAAGATATGTATCATTTATTCAGTTATTTTTCGGCTCCGAGAAGAATATCTGGCGCTTCAGCTTTTCGAAACGACGAATCTCCAATAACATAAGGACTGGGGATATATTTTGAAACCAAAACTAGCTGCAAAGCAAACCCGAGAATGGTTACGGTTTACCAGCTTCCTGAACCGCAGCAGCAACACGAGTAGCTAAATCATCGGCCTCAGATCTGCTTGCAGCTTCGGCGTAAACACGAACCGCGTCTTCTGTTCCGCTAGCACGAGCGAAGCTTCTGCCTCTGTTGTAGCGTGACTGAAGAGCATCGATACGCTGCTGAAGTCCAGGAGGAGATTCCAGCTTGCGTTCCGCATCCACCGCTTTGAAAATCGACCGATCTGCCACTTCAATCCGAACAAGACGGTTGGGTAGATCAGTGTATGTCGATATCCATTCCTTTGGGGTCCAGCATTTATGAGCAAGGATAACTTCAACCAGGAGCAAATCCGAAATCGCATCTCCAACCGCTTGGTTAATGAGTTCCGTCAGAGCAATAAGGCTCTGTAAAGCATACTGCTGGGCTGGCGACTGGGGCTCAGTTGTCTTGATGATCTTCAGGGCCTGCTCCGAAAAGGTAATAGTCCCATGCCCATTTGCTTCGAAATAAACGCCAACATCAAACCTCATGGCAGCATGATGAAGGTGCTTGACGCCGGTTGGGGTGCAGATAACTGGAAGTTTAAGAACCTTTTCAACGTATTGAGTGCTTGCCCCGTTGGCGTAGGCGGTCTGAACAACACCAATTCTAAGCTTGTTCGCGATGCCAGCGTTACGTGCAAGTTCTCCGATGAACGAAGCAGCTAGAGTTGCAATACGATCTCCGTCAAGAAGTTTGAAGATATTTCCCGTATCGAGGTAATAATAGACGATCCGGTCCGCATCTCCATCCAGGGAAGCGCAACGGTCGTGTACTGCAGCTTTGGACGAGGGCGGGGCTCGCTGCCTAGTTTTCACATAGTCCGCTCCGCACTAAGAGTCAAGCCGTCAATGAATGAGTCCAAAGAAAATCGACACCGTCCTTACCTCGTAATTTAAACTATCCGGATTGATAACATTGTCGTTGACAACGTGGATGTCCACGCCGCCTTCTTTGGCGCTTGGCAAATACTTGATCATTTCTCTCAGCTTTGGCCCCCCAACGCCATTGGCACAATCCACGGTGACCGGGCCATTGGTTGTTCGGCCTCTCATGACAGTCTTGAATGCCTTACTGATCTTTTCGTAATAACCTTGCTCAGTGGGTTCGCCATATTCATAAGGAGTGCCAAGAGTGTTCTTGCAACGGACAATATAATGGAGCTGCGGGGTTGTCAAATACTTGAAGTCGGTGTATTCAACGCCGGTGGCATTGAATGCAGCGGTAAGAACGCCGACGAGCCGGGACCCGGAGGCACGGGTGTCACGAGCGAACACCACCCGAGCAGGGTTGTCCATATTTATTTCGATCTCCTTGATGAGCTCCTCATACACGTCTCCGAGTTTCTCAAGCGGTGTGTTTGCCAGTTTCGTCGCATAAGACTCCCATTCCGCCTAGATCCTATGGTTAAATCACCAGTCCGTTCACAGGTTAATGGGCTGAGTGGAACCTACATCAAGCATTTCACCCTATAGATTTTAGAACAGCCGTTAGAAAACTATTTTCAAACCCAGCAGTCAACATCGAGGATCCCTACCATTGGGTCAATAAGCTTCACGCCATTGTCACACGCCGGATTATGACTTGCGGTGATCATCACACCAATGGTTTGGCTCTTGAGTTTTCTGGAGCGCAGCCCTGCCAAAAGGCCAACGGCAAACACAACAGTATTGAGCAGCTCTCTGATATGGCACAACAACGGTCATAGTCAGCCAAGGCCTTCCTAGAGGAGGGGTTGCGGAAAGAGCTCGCGGAAGCATGAAAAGGATATAGGTCTCACGATTTCATTCGAAACTACGGAGGATCGAGCCATTAGCATTGACACTGACGACAGCTTGTTCAGCTAAGTTTACCCCAGCAGTTCCATATTCGAATACCTTGCCCTCCGGCTTTGTATAAACCGAGGCGGCATCAACGATGGCCCTCTTCGTGTCCACGGAGGCCATGGTGAACCCGGTAGGCTTGCTTAGAAAGCTCTCTCCAATCGTAAGTAGGAAGGTAGCGGGTGCAAATGAGGTAAAAGAGAGGGTCTAATGATGAGAATGTTCTTGAAGCTCAGGAACACCATGCAGCAGACCTGGTGACCTGGAAGAATGAAGAGCAGCTGAGCACCAGCGTGGGGTGACGGTGGGGGAAATGGTAGCAGCGCAGGAGAGCTGCAAACAGGTCAAACATCGTTAGTTACATCAGACGACAGGGGCTCTGGCTAATCACGCAGCGGAACAGCGCATCACAATGCGATGGAAGAGTGAATGTTTGCAGTGTTTGCTTGTTCTAGGTGCGGGCCGGCGGATGCTTTCGTCGCAAGTTTGTGCTCCCTCATCGCTAGGCCGATACAGCACTCTCCCGCCCTACAGCCGGGCACTTCCCTTTTTATTGCCCCTCAGAGTCCATCCTGTGAGTACTTTTGAGGAATCGCCTGCCTATTCTCGTTGAATTTATATACGAGAGACAAAGAAGCAAGGAATACACTTCAAGTGAACTTAGAATCCCTCTATCTCTTCGAGCTCAAGTTCTATCCACAGAAATATCCGAAACACCTTGTCATAAGCCTTTCAGAGCTCAAAACATATCCTTGAAGATCCGACATTCCGAATGATTCAATCGCAAGCAACCTATGCTTTGAGCCTTTGTCCCATAAGATCGTCTTGCGCGTCTTTGACGAGGAACCTAATAGACATGGAGTCTTAGCGGAAAACGCCTCACATCGCATGGAGTTTGAACTTACGTGTACCACCAAATGGTAGGAACAACGGTCCCTAGATGCCATAGGCTGTGGGCGTCAACCAATCCCCACGCCGGAGGAAAATCAAGAAGTTCCAGACTCATAGCGAGGATCAGCCATGCGACTATCATTCCCGGCCACGCAGTCCACCCTTTCATGTACTTTCTGTATCGAGAAATACTAAACCATGTCCAGAGCAAATTCTGTGTGATACCAACTGCTACATTCGCCGTCATGTTGTAGGAGTAATCCCAGGTCCAAAAGCTCAGATATGACACATGAGCCAAGTAGAGCCCACAGCAGAGTATTGTCCACCAACGCAGCAACGTGGGTTTAAGACGCGGACGGACTTGGTCGAAGCGAAATATCCGGACAATGGCGAGGTATAAACCGTATAGCACACTAGCTCCAGCCGCGAAATAGTCGAGCTTCTCCGTCAATGGGAAGTCTCGAGTATGAAATATCATGCTAAAGATCCAGCTCGCAAGACCGAAATATCCAAACGCCAAGTAGTATTTTCGCAGGGGATATGATTCGGGTATCGATTCGCGAACCCTTCCCATGCCCTGCCGGTGAGCCAGAAAGTTCAACAGCGAAAAGAAAACGGAAAAGAACTCCTGGATCCCCAAAATACGGCGAAACGGCCATTTACCATGGAACTGGAGCACAGGCTGAAGCATTGGAGGGTCACGGGAGACCCGCTTGTTAGTGATGACATGCTGGCAGGTATAATCGCACTCGGACGGGCAATCCCAAAGGAAAAGTCGCAAGTGTATCGCTAGCGGATTCCGATCGTCAGCTGCAATCAAACGATCGGTTAACAATCAGAATACTGACGCAATGACAGGTGTCCCTTTTCGCAGTTCTCTACTTTGCAAACCTAAAAAGACGACGACTGTATGAGCGGTAAGGCATTTAAACTTGGCATCTCAGGAGTAGGAGCTCTAAGCACACCTGGACGCATTCTTTAAAGTCTGGCAGTCGGTCACCGAGCGACGCCTGGGCAGCTTGTATAAAAATTACCCATAGGTAGAATGCTAGGAACCACGATATCCGCGGCAAATGGAGGTTCTTCCCGCTCAGCTTCATCGTTGTACCGCCAACATGGATGCATAGAAGGGTATGACAGTCCGAAGCACCAAGGTGATGGCGGTGGGGATCGGCAGTTTGCGGAGACAGCCCCCAGGTTAGAGCTTCGTCTAACAGAAAATAAGCACGGGGAGGAAAATGTTCGGAAAAATAGAATTTGAAAAAGAGAGCATAGGAATAATAGTGGAAGTGTTTTTTAATCAAAAAGAGGTCCAGTGAAGGGATGATATCAAAAAAATAAATAAATAAGTAAATAAAAAAAGAATTTCTTGGACGATGGGATAATCGAAATCCCGACCTTCTGTATTCACGATAATGCAAAACAGACGTTATACCACTAAACCAATCGCCCTTGTTGTTGGGTTACAATCAGGGAAATTAACCAATTGTATTCTAGTTCTAAATGATGAGGTCATCCCAAGCACAAAAGTTTGGTTGAGCAATTTTTTTTTTCAATCAGATGCACTAAGCTACTTCTGACGATAGTGGAAAAGGCTGATTTGAGTTGTTATCAGAAAAGCTGTATCTTCAGAAACCTGACCGACTTTCAAGATTTGTCTCTAAGCTGTTCAGTAACATCTGTGTTTGGAAAAAAAGTAAATTTCTTCCATTATCATTTTCCTCTACAGATCTCCTTTTTCTCTTTTAATTTGTGCTTTTCTCCTCTCTTTACATAAATAAGAAACCCCACCTTCTTTACTCCGCGTTTGTTTCCATCATAACCCCCTCACCATGAACGGAGCTCAGAAAGCGACGGCGGCAGCAGAGATGACTTCCAGTGCTGACAGAATGGTTGGAATGGATCACGCTGAAGTACGCTATTTCACTAGGTATGATTAGCAATGGTATCTTCACATTGTTAATTGTCTAAATGCTAATGTATATCTCTTAGCTATGATCATCATGGTAATCCTGTCCCTGAGCTTAAGCACTACATGATTTTGTAGGAATTGAAAATGCTAATCAGTTCAAATTCACTAGGAATTCATGAGGAGATGCTTGTACGTGTTTCTCGCTTCGTCTTTAATTTAGGGCAGCATTACTGACGAGTTTGGTCCTTTTTAGAAAGACGAGGTTCGAACCCGCTCATACCGCGACGCTATCTACCAAAACAGACATATCTTTAAGGACAAGGTTGTCCTTGATGTTGGCTGCGGCACTGGTATCCTCAGCATGTAGGTTGTCCTACGTATTTCTCTCAAGGCTGTCGGCTAACAGTTGCTTTTGTCCTAAGGTTTGCCGTCCGCGCTGGAGCTAAACACGTCATTGGTGTTGATATGTCCTCCATCATTGAGAAGGCCCGTCAAATTGTAGAAATTAACGGGATGAGCAACAAGATCACTCTTCTCCAGGGTAAAATGGAGGAGGTTGTTCTGCCATTCCCAAAGGTTGATATAATCATCTCAGAGTGGATGGGATACTTCTTGCTCTATGAGAGCATGCTGGATACCGTCCTCTATGCTCGTGATAATTATCTCGTTCCGGGTGGAAAGATTTTCCCTGATAAAGCCACCATGTACCTGGCTGGAATCGAAGATGGCGAGTATAAGGATGAGAAAATCGGCTGTAAGTGACTCCGGTTTTATAAACAAACGGAAAGAGACGCTAACCGTTTGATAGTTTGGGACAATGTGTATGGTTTCGACTATTCGCCGATGAAAGAAATTGCGCTGGCCGAACCACTTGTCGACACCGTTGAGCTGAAGGCTCTTGTAACGGATCCTTGTCCCATCATAACCTTTGATTTATACACCGTTACTCCGGCGGATTTAGCTTTTAAGGTCCCTTTCAATCTCACTGCAAAGAGAAATGACTTCATTCATGCTCTCATTGCTTGGTTTGACATTGACTTCACAGCATGCCATAAGCAAATTCGATTCTCGACCGGCCCACATGCGAAGTACACTCACTGGAAACAGACCGTTTTCTACATTAACGAAGTTATTACTATCGAAGAGAACGAGTGCGTGACCGGTTACCTTAGCAACCGACCGAATGACAAAAATAAGCGTGATCTTGATATCCAGATCTCGTACAGATTTGAGACACCAGATGAAAATCGCTATACGCAGGGTTCTTGTGAATATAAGATGTAAGCCTGTTTATACCGTCTACGGAGTGTACCTCTGGGAATCGCTGCTAATTCCGACCACAGGTGCTAAACATCTTACGTACATATGTCTGTAAATGGCTTTTTGCATATCCTCCGCGCGTCATCAAGATGTCCCTTTTATTCGATGCTATTCTCCTATCCATTGTAGCTTGCATGGGTAGGGCGCGCAATTTTTGCATTATGTGGCTTTAATTAAAAACCGAAAAAAAGGCGTTGGGTGTATGTGGTATGGATACGAAACGATGGTCAAGGATAGGATTTCACAGCTCCTCGATTTGCAATAGATACCCTCGAGTCGATGCTTAATCTAACCAATTCATTGCTTATAATTCTTAAGGTCAACTCTCAAAGTTTGTAGGATTCCATGTTACCAATCATCACGTCGGACAATCGTGGCTCCGTAACAGCGCACTTCAAGGCACCGTTTATGAAACAAAGCCTTCCCCGAAGAGCGTCAGAAATAGCCGGTGGTGATGGATACCTCCTTAGCAATGGCCAAGCTGTCTCCCGAGCTCCTTTGGCCGAAAAATGTTTCCAGACCCTTTGTACCCAAGCCAGTCGGCCAGTGCCTCGGCATGAACGCCAAAACGCTATACCGAGCCCCGCAAGCTCCCCGGACAGAGCTCCAGGATATTAAAAGAGCTCTCGCAGTCCAGAGGACAACTCCCGCAGATTCACAATTGCTCTCACTGTGGAAAATATTTTGACTCGATTTCACGTTTTTTCGAACCTTCCCAGATAATCCTCCCATCATGAGCGGACCAGGAGCCGGACATGAGTTTCCTTCTCGGGATGTCAGCTGGCTGAAACGAGATGTTCTTCTCTTCGCAAACAGCATCGGCTGCACGGCTGATGAGCTACATTTCTTATACGTTCGTCGATCCGGACAGAAATAATGATTTGGCTTGCCTACATGGCTGACAACTACCTGCAGGAGTTCGACCCCAAATTCACAATGTTCCCGACTTATCCTATTATCCTCCGTATGCAGACTCTCTTCTTCGAATCAGTGGACACATAGCATTGACCAATATATCGTGTAGCATTCAAGTATACCGATCAAGAAATCGTGGACTTCCACGGAGCCAAGTCCCAGCAGGTGATTCCCGGTGTCCCCAAGTTTGATAACCACCGTGTTCTCGATGGACAGCGGAAGATGGTTTTCCACAAGCCGCTCCCTGTTACCAGCGAGGGTTGCAAGTTTGAACTTCGATCCAAAGTCGTTGGCGTTTACGACAAGGGCAAGGCGGGTTCTGTTGTAGAGACCCAGCAGGATATCGTGAATAAGGAGACTGGGGAGGTTTATACCTCCGCTATTGGAAGTGGTTTCTATGTTGGCCAGGGCAATTGGGGAGGACCAAAAGGTGAGAATGTCCTCGCGAAGTGCTATCTTAAACGCTGTTGCTAACGGATTACAGGCCCGGCGACCATTAACTATCCTCCTCCAAAGGGCCAGAAGCCAGATGTTACTTATGAGTTCCAGACGACCGCCCTTACCGCGTTGCTCTATCGGTACGTCTAGGGAAGTTCTCCGATAAAAACCCACAGAAAACTGACCAATTCTGCAGCTTGAACGGCGACTATAACCCTCTCCATGCCGATCCTGAGGTGGGAAAAAAGTTGGGATTCGGTGGCATCATTATTCACGGCCTGTTTAGCTGGAACATGGCCGCTCATGCCATTCTCCAGAACCTCGGCGGCAGTGACCCTCAAAATCTGAAGGAATTCCAGGCCCGATTTGCATCACCCGTGCGTCCTGGTGATAAGCTCACCACGGAGATGTGGAGAACTGGTAAAAGCGAGAACGGTTTCGAAGAAGTGATCTTTCAAACGAAGAACCAAGATGGGAAGGTCGTTCTCGGAAATGGTCGTGCCTTGGTGAAGGTTGTCGGATCGAAGAGCAAGCTCTAAATGTCACCAGTCTCACTGGTATATGTTAATCGGTATCTCCTGTAGTTATACAAACCTGATGACTATTTATGCCTTGATTTTATGTTCCTTTGCATTGGGTTGATTAATAGGATCCCTGTCTCTATACGGGGTATCGGCGACGATATCCTACTTCAGCCCGAGTTCCAAAAGGCGGGGCGATTGCAAGCTCCGAGACTACGACTCCATATAGCGGGTAGATAACCATCCCTACAGGTGGAGCCTGGATTTCGCATACAATTGTTTAGTCCCTCCAGGAGCTCCAGCCTTGTGCTTCCCATGCCAAAATGCAGACTGTACAGTAGGCTTGCTGGGATTCGGAGATTCCGCATAACCAGTGACTTTGCGACTTCGCGTTTTCTTCCTGTTTTTCTTTTTGATTTTCGAATGTTTATATCACAAGTTGCTTCTACTCGACATCACTATCATTGATTTCCATGCTCTTATCTACGTTTGTTTATTCTATCTGCAAGGAGTCATGCAAGTTGCTTCGCCAATATGAGCAGCAAGACCGAGGACAAGGCAGACAACACCAGTTCAGCAACAAAGGAGCACATGTTTCTTTTCAAGGAATATCCTCGGTGAGAATGGCACAGTTGAGCATGCCTTGGGCTTATCATTGAAGCGTTTCTCCTCTCAAATGATAACGCAGCTCGAGCCCACCGAATTGACACCTAGTACTAGGATAAAACTTGGATACAGGCCCACCTTTCCATCAATTCCAGTGGCCCTCAAGTTCCTCTGTAAGCCGATAATGGATATGGTACGGCTGCTACCCTACGATGTTCTCAGGCAGGATAGATCGGTGCAATTGATCATTGAGCTCCGCAAGATTCCGCCAAAACCAATCAAGAGATAGAATGGAAGCTAGAATCCACGATCAGTCTGTGCCATTATCAGCTGCACCCTAACGGTACAGTTGTGGATCTTCCTAGAGATCCCAGTGACTCGATATTTGTTGACATGCTTGATGACAATGGGTCTAGGCCCTTTGGTACAGCTTCTTATCTCTCAAGCAATCGACATAAGGCCCAAGCGACCTTTTATACAGCAAATGATATGAGAGAGAATTACGCCACTTCCGGGTGAATTTCTCTCCATACCTTGCACGTTGCATCGGAGGTCGCATCGATGCCGAACTTCCGTGCTTTGCCAAATGCCCTAGCCTTAATATTCGAGAGGGCCTTGAAAAGGATGGCCAGCCTGCAATCCTACGATAGACCGAATGGCGCAGTATATCATTGTAGAAGGGGATGTTATTGAAGAAAAATGGGATAAGAAACCTGATGCGCTTGACAGCTGAAAACGCGTTGACACAAAATTCTGGCGGACATGGGCGGACAAGCTTAAAGAAATAGCGGAAAAAGGAGAAAACGCTTTGGAGCCAGAACTAAAGCAGCAGTTAATGAAACTCACACGAAGACAGTCTTCCTTCACCAAGAGCTCCTCCTGGTGTCTGAGGGTGGAAGCAAATCAAGCTCCTGATCACCAGCCGGGTCCGCAGGTTCCGCCAGAGAGCCAGCTCCAGTGTGCCACCGTTGTTACTACTACTTGTATGATTTGTAGTAGGGCTTTTTGGCCTGGCTTGTGCTTCGCCGCTCTAATGTATTGGTTTTCGGCTTCCCCGAACGCCCATCATTTCATTCGGAAGATCGGGCAGGTCTCTAGGCATGCTTCGATATCAACCCCTTCCGTTGAGGTTCTCGCCCCGCCAGGTGGCAGCCCCAAGTCAAACGAGTTATTCAGGATCCAAATCTCAAGCCATGCTGAATCTCTCTCCTCTGTATGGAATACTCCGTACGAAGTACCCAGAAGATATTTATGGTAGCCTCATGTTCAACCACTTTTGTGTTGGTGATCGGTCTCGCCTGACCTCAGCCAAGGGAATGAATACGTTCAGCTCGTAACTCTTTGTGCTCCCACACATCTGCAATCTACCTCAGCCGCTACGTTCCCACTACCTTTGCGAATGGTAAGAGGCTGTGAATGTGCGCCTATTATTGGAAACCCAGATTTTTGCAAGGTGAAGCACCTGCCTTGACCTTACCCAAAGCGCTGAACAAAACAGGGCGGCATACTTCACTAACGAGGTTATATCTCAAGCATTTAGTCTTAAAACCACAGGGCTAGGTTGGTGGATGATCCTTGCATTTGCAGACAAACAGACAGAAATTGCAGTTCTGCAGGACAAGTACATATATGACAACATCATCTCGTCTATGACCATTGTGCAATGGACAATAGAGCAATGTTTACTGCAGTGACTACATACATAATTTTCAGTTCCCATTTTTAATTTGGGAACCATTGCGGCCTGCACCCCGTGTACGGCTGAAGCATAGAGAGTTTTGATGGACGAGGGCACATAGAGTAGTAGCAGAACTAATGAACCGGACTGCACAATCTCATAGTATAGGTGGTTAGGTTTTCGGGATCTGCCATGACCATGATTCGCATTGCAGCAGCTGGAGCTGAGCCGGATAGAGCTGGATTATAGAAATAAAACTATAAAAAGGCACACCTATTTTCTGCGATTCCTTTTCATTGATCAGTCCAGAGTTGTTGCGCACCGTTGCAGCTCAATACCTACATATACAATATCGATTCCCGCTGATCAGAATCTTACAGTTTAACTCGCTACCTATTTGACCTCGGACAACATGGTTAAGTTCACACTCCTCGCCTTGGCTGCCTCTCTCCTATTCGCTGTAGGCCAAGCTGCAACTGCGGGTCCCGGTGTGCTTGACCATGACATGGTATGTGCTTTCATACCCCGGACCTGTATCAAGGCAATGCCGCAGTGATTCACACACAACCAATGTTAGGACCCTCCCACTGATGTCCAACAAAATGACGGTACACACTTTCTTCCTACCTTCAACATACCAATGCTAGGCCAATGCCAACGCTCACTACATAGGCGACGTCCACGCTCTCTTCGATAATCACTGCTACCCACGTCGGGAGGCCACGCCAGGAAAGGTCGGCGGCGCTGTTGATTGCACCAACTACCTGAAGCGTCTCGGGACCAAGGAATGCCGTGCCCGGAAGGGCGGCACCATCATGTGCCGCTCGGGAGGGACCATCGTCAAGGGCTTTCCCAACAACGCTAACACGGCCAGTTCGTACTGCCGGGACGTTGCCACTGCCGTTGTCTGGGTGCTGGATCACTGCCCGGCTTGCGGAGGCAGTGACTGCGATGTTGCGGGTACGTAGAGCATCCCCTTCTTTCGAGTTTCTTCGTGCTTTCTTTTTTTTTCTATTTTTCCATTCGTTTTTGGCGGACTTGTGTGTTCTAGCATGAGATGATGAGAGATTTCTAATCAATTTTTTCCTTTTTTTTTTTTTTTTTTTTTTTTTTTTTTTGCTGATTCCACGATAGGCATTGCGGCGGCGGGTGGAAATGGATACCTTGTCATCAAGGTCTCGGGTAAATAGGAATGGGGAGATGTGGAGAAGGGATAGAACGCCTGGAAATTAGCTGATTGTTAGTAGCTTGGTCAGATGTAGGGATATAAAGCATCTGAATGAGTAGCCTAGAAATGTCTAGTTTAGAAATTAGTACATGGTTTCAAGATTCGAGTAATTGACAAACAGCCACTTAATGATCAGATACAACAAGCCACACTGACCACATCCAATATACCAATTCCCACTGCGAGTAGTTGCATCACTGCTTCATCTTTCTCTCTCACCCCCTCAAAAAGGGATTTGTTAGTGGATCCTAGCATTAGCTTCTCAATATGACAAGTTTTCCCCTACGTTCAAGTTGCATGTTGTTGAAGAAATACGTTGATTATGTGAAAGAAGGATAGCAATGAGCATGCTTGAGATCAAGGTGACGGCTTAGCGCGTGCTGAGCCAAGTTTCTAATGGACAACCCAGGCTCGGTATTCGGGCAGCTGATACGGCCACTGTGCTTCGGGCGGACACTCTCCCATCATTGAGCAAACGTGAAGACTCTTCCTCGTCGGCCTAGTTGGGTGCAGTAAACTAGTGCTCCGCCAGTACTGTCCCTATTAGTACTCCGTATAGGGGTTGCAATTGTATCTGTAACTAACCAGTCAGAATGGATAGTATGAACTAATTGCTCGAGCTGATCCAGTGGTCCGCGGATATGCATGGCGGTCGTTCTCTGTTAACGCGAAAAGGTGACATGAGCGGTGATTTGGCGTTGAACTATCTCTGGCAAGCGATTAGACGCACAGAAGCGGGATCTCAAGGCCCTAGTCCGCCGACGCAGGCTAGTTATAGGAATAGTCTCCAATATAAGCTGGGTCCCGGTGAGATGGTGTACCATACTCTCCAGGGATCCCGCTACTGACGTGAAGAACTTCCTGCGGACTCTCGGGTTCAGGGATTGCCAGATCTGGCTAGCCCACAGCGGCGAGGACAAATCATCACATCACGCCTGAGCACTGCCAGAAGAGAGACACATTAAATACTGTTCTTCGAGAGCAGTTCATGATGTTGTTTTCAAGACGTGTAGCGAGGAGGGCCACATAGTGAATGCCCGCATAGACGGCCAAGCCCAAAAATTTTACCCGAGTATGGCGACGGGAGCATCGATATGCGAATCGCATGGAGGGAGCACCTTTGTTATACAAGACAACACGAGGGCACATTTAACAAGTCTTCCGCGGGACTCGCTCGGCATTTTCGCTCTCATCTTCATGCTCCTACCAATGGACGTTGGCAACCGGGCAGGGCTTCTCTGTGGCATCTTGTAGGTGGTGCCATTGTAGATATCCACCGCATCCTCCCGCATGTGGCTGCTGCGGGCCCCGTCTTGGCGCCGTCTTGGAGCATCCTTTTTTCTCGCAAATCTTCCTCCTATCAGTCACGCTGAAGACCCAGTGTACTATTTTTTTTTTTTTTCTTTTCTCGCAATTAACGCATCCAGAATTCCCTCCGTTCTCTTCCCCATCAATGTACCCTGGGTTTTCAGCACAATGTCAACGGTTTTTCGGAGATTTGCGATGAATCTCGCTAAGGCCGTACTTCTGGCACTTAAAGCATAATCTCATCTTGGGACAACGGATCGTGGAACTTGTGGGAGAAAATTCTTTGGGCCTGTAGTACCAGTCCATTTGTTATCACACCTCTACCATAGATAGTATTTTTCCGTCCTAAATCCCTCTTCAATCACCGTAGGTATACGTTCTCCGGCCTAGGGTTTGTCCCAGCATATCACGTCCATCTCCTTGATGTTTGATGCCTTTGGTTTTGGTGCACGCTATGCACTACAATCACATAAAAAAGGTGTCACCACAGCTGCTTTGTCGCCCGTAGCGGTCAACCACGCTTGTTTATAGCTGATGGTTCTCTGTGCGTCGATGTCGTTCACATGGCATTCTGCGGCTTGCAACACCGGGCCCGTTCTGTTTGGGTGGGTTCATTGCGAGACTTAGCCTGTATGGGTTAACCAGCGCATCCGGGAAGATCTTGGCACACGACAGCCCGGCCGGAGACGAGGGGGTTCGCCGGCTGTTTGCTGCAACTCCCGAACAGCGGAGTTGGCTTCTGGGGAACCTATATATATTTACTTGCGCCTCTCCTCCCGGTCGTGTGAATTGCTCTTGCACCAAGCTAGACAAACCTGATCAAATTAATAGTACTCATTTCGAAAACGCTCTCAACATCACAGCAAAGTAGTAATCTACTCATCTAGTTGCTGGTGTTCCGATGTATATAGGCGTCATGCTAAAGCCAGTACTCCGTAATATTGGCTGCGCAACAATGCGTTTCCAAGCATTCAGATCCTTCAGCGTTGCTTGCCGAGCGATGACTGCCCAGTACGCACTCGTCTTCGCTTTGCAATTGGATACCCATACTGAATATGGAATATCTCTACGGAGTACAGGGAATCGATCACTCCTCGATCTCGGAATGGCGACCCGGATCTACCTCCGAGTTCTCGACAACATCCCACGAAAGATGTTAGTATTATGTGCCTTTCATAACTGGAGAGACTAACCGTTTAGATTCCTCCTCTAGCACCCAATCTGTGGAAGGAAGCTAAAAAAAGTTTCGCCGAATCCATCCCCATCGCCATGGGGGACCTGGGAACGACCTATTGGTAGGAATCCGAAAAGCGCTGTCGCATTCGCGCACCACACTCGCCCATTCGTCCCCTATTTAGAGTGGATGACTTGGTATTAATCTTATATCCTAGGGCACCGTTCTGGCTGAGGTTCGCAGTCACGCCCCGTTTGTGAGAGACGGAATCACTTAGTAGTCAACCAGGGAAAATTGTCGCTGTGTCAAATGCATCCATCCTGAGACTAAACAACGACTAGTTGACACACACTCGGTTTTACTTCCCATTCAGTGGGCTGTGCGTGGTTGGGTTATACTGATGACTAGTTAGATTCCTTTCGATATTCGCCCCGCAAGCTTTCGACTCGTGGAGGGGCAACATCTTGAGATCCAATGTAGGGTCCTCTACCTCCTCTATGTCAGTGCAGACTAACTTTGGAACCAGGGCCTGATGGACATTCTAGTACATATCCATGGCCATGGCTTCAGCTTCACTGCCAACATAAGCCTGGTGCCGGCCCTACGTTTAGGTTAGCAGTCTTTATGCCTCTTTGGCTGTTCTAGGAGTTAATACCCTACTAGGCCCTTTGAACATGCCTCCGGTTCTCTTTCTCAACTTCCAAAAGTGGACTACGATAGGATCATGAAATCAGAAGATGGTGTGAAGGCCTGGACTCAGAAAATTGTTCGTTGATACCAGACTATGTCTAAGAACAAATTATCCGTCTAACAACTGCTAGCATCAATACGGTTTCTGTTTTGTCAAGGGTTGCCCGGTAGACCCCGAGGCCACGAAGAAACTACTGGAGCGAATCGCTTTCATCAGACCGACGCACTATGGTAGGATCCTCCCGGTATCTACATCCAGGTATATGAAGTGCTAATTAATAAAGGCGGTTTCTGGGACTTTACTTCGGATTTGGCGATGAAGGACATGGCCTACACAACACAAGGTCTTGGTGTCCATACTGATAATGCGTACTTCACGGACCCTTCTGGACTTCAGATGTTCCACCTCCTCTCTCATACAGACGGCGATGGGGGTGAATCAACGTTAGTAGACGGATTTGAAGCTGCTCGCACCTTGTGGTCAGAAAACCCGGATGCATACGCAGTGCTATCGAATCCAATTTTCAGCCATCATGCCAGTGGCAATGAGCATGTCCACATTATGCCTGCTAAAACACACGAAACTTTCTCGCATAGGCAGCCTACAGGCGAGCTGTACCAGATTCGGTGGAACGACGAAGACCGTGGTGCAAATTTTACAGGCTCACAAGATAGTTTACTCGCCTGGTATGTTGCAGCACGGGAATGGTCCCAGATGCTGAAGCGACCTAAGCTCTTGCTCAAGTTTAAGCTAGAGCCGGGGATGCCGCTAAGTATGTGCATTATGTCCCCTGGTTTCGACTAAGATAGGGTTACTGAACTAATATGCTTTTTAGTATTCGACAACTGGCGGATGCTTCATGGCCGGACTGCTTTCACAGGAGCTAGGAGAATGTGTGGTGGGTATAGTGAGTGGTTCCCTCTAACCTTCTTCCACCCATTTTCAGAGCAATCAGCAGCTGATGCGCATCAACTTCTACTCAGTTAACCGAGACGATTTCATCTCTCGCTATGAACTGCTCAATAAAGGCCGATTGGCGCTCCTGGATCGAATTTAGACGGATTTCGGGCCCCTGGTTGCAGTGGCTGCGGTTTTGACCGATAGATGTACATACATATCATATGTCGGCATTGACTACGGAGTACCTATACCTCTATATGCTGTAGAAGCTTGTATAAACGAGCTGCATCTCTTTCTCTCATACCACACTCTCTCTGCCCCCTTAGTTCGCTTCTTTTCCTTTCCTTTTCTTTTTTTAATATTTTTCCCTCTGTCAATTCGTAATAGTCTGAAGCCTGCAAGAATAGGCAGCGATTGCCGCGACCCCATAGCAGAAATGGGGAGGATTTGTAAACCGTAGATCCACTAGTCCTGATACATTTACATTGGAATATACGTTTATCTGAATCCACGGTTGTTTGGAAGTTTAAAAATATATATGTTCTGAATTTGGAAATGTAGCTTCTGATCCTCAATGTAGAAATCAGGAAATGTTCAAACCCCTGATCAACAAATATATCTAGGAATGTTTGGGATACCTTTTCGGGTTTATAAATGTTTATAGTATAGAAACCATTATAGTATAGAAACCATTATAGTATAGAAACCATTATAGTATAGTTATCCCAGCAGACACTGGAGAGATTTCAACTAATATGCAATACTATATACATCAAACCACCCAATCCATCTATAAAAAGGAAATGCTCCAAGTGCAGTTGAGAAAGGTAGTTAGCAGAGCAGAATCCAGTTCAAGTCTTTTGAAATCTTTACTGACAGGTATTGTGTAAAGGCTTGGTTTGCAGATTGCAGGTAGACTGATTATATGAATCTCATTCTGATTCACCTGCAAAATCAGCAAATCCAGTACCCTCTTGCACTGAATTTCATGAGCAGAGAACATGGCAAAAAAAACTCTCCAGCAGCTGCTCTGGTTGTAGATGAATATGCACCTTATTTGCCTGATCTTGATGCCCAACACACAAGTATACTCAACCAGATCATTGAGTTTCAATGTAGTGTGATGCACATCTTCATTAAATGTAAAGATCAGCTTTTAAAACAATTGGATTGGGGTCAAATCTCCACCAAGCATATGTTAATATGCTCAATCACTGCTGTATGAAAGTTGGAGCTTTTGCAAAAAGAAATGTGTAATTAGTAGTTCAGAAAGCTGTATGCTTTGTAAATCAAGCAATTCCATAACTTTGCAGCTAGCTGGTAGTCAGCAGTAGGCATTGATTAAGGTATGAAAGGGAGTGGTAGTATATAAATTATTAGCTTCATCAGCATTCTCATTATCATCTTGTTGCTTATTGTGTTCTGATTGCATGAGATCTTGCATGAGAATTAAACATTTGCAATGAAGTTGCTTCATCTGACTGCTGATATAGAGTTCCAATTCCATAAGAGCCCCATCAAGAACCAAGAATATAGTGCATTTGAAGCTCTCATGAATCAGTAAAATCTTTTCAATATTACACTTGTTGGTTTGCTGCACAAATGCTTTGTATTCATGGTGTTTATTCTCTCCAATCAGTATATTGCAGTTATTTGGCACAGCATACTTCTTTGCCTGATTGGCATAGTGCACCCCAATATGCATGTTTGGTCAGTATTTCAAAGCATGTAACATCTTACCTGCTTTTGAGGCAATACTGACAGTATTAATCAAAATGTTCTCTGTCAGGGGTGTCACAATCTGATTAAACACTGGTGAATTCTGCTGTAATCTCAGCATTTATACTGCCCAGCTAGCCAACCATGGTGTCTTGATAGCCATGACAGTAGCATCTATCACTTTCTGAAGTATAGTTTGAGCATTAGCAACCACACTTTTAAGTTTATTGTACCTGACAGATATCTGAGAAGTCAATAGTAAATTGCTTCTTGCAATAGCACCAAAGATTTTAGCAAGCAACAAACATGAAATGTTGGAATTAATTGACTGTTCATTAAAGAAGTTATAGAGAGCCTGCTAAACAACAGTCTGAATCCAGTCAGACTTTAGAGCAAAGCAGAGTATAATTAGGATCACAATTGAAGCTTGAGCATGTTTCTGGATTTGATAGAACTCCAGATGGGTAATTGAGGACTGCAGTTGGGCCCAGCATCTCCAAAATAGAAATCTCTGTAGGGTTTGGTAGTATTTCTTCTGCTCCTCAGGTGTTAATATATGTGATATCAATAATATATGTGCAATTTTGGACAGGCCTGAAAATTCACTATAACAGGGGTCAGAGAGAAAAAATGTCACCAGATTCAATACTGAGCAGATCTTCAAAACTGAAGGACTTTTCTTGACTAATCTATGGGTCTTTTACAGTGCTTCTTGCTTGCAAACAGTCCACTTCATCTCAATTTCAGCCTGCAAATTAAGTAGCTGGTAATGGTATTGGCTGTGTTTCACCAAGTTGAAATTCATATTGAACCTCTTCACATTGGAGACAGTACAGCTCTGACAGAAGACTGTTACAGTAGAGCATTTGATTTCAGCATTGTTATTTTACTGTAGCATGTCATCAAGATAAGCAATACAAGAAGCAATGACCCTGACAGTTTCTTCACCAGTTACTATAATGTTAAATTCTCTTTCAACTGCTTGTAAACCAGAAGCCAATACCTTCATAACATTGGGAAAATTTATAGCATGAGGCCTGAGAGCAATTGTATATACATTGTTTTATCATCTTCTTTTGAAATCATTAAGTCCTGCAGAAATCATATAGAAGCCAGTTATATTTCAGTACATGTTCTGATATAGACTGAATCTGTCAATGAACAGCAGGAAGGGAATAGATATAGTTCTCTTGATAGTGTCATCTGGACAGAGCATCTTGATCAGCATATCTCTTCTGTATGCCACAATTTCCAGTTCACTCTGGAGTGGAGTGCTAAGTTGGAGCTCTTGTACAGATAATGTGTAGCAAATTGTATTTATCACTTGCTGTACAAAGAACCCATTTGTTTCTGAGAGTTTGTAGCTACCTGATCCATTAAAGATGTAGTCAAGATGGACATCCAGTTGGACTAGAATGTTGTCTTCATGTATGATATGAGTTTTCTGGTCTTCCAGTAAGAGCAGCTTGTTTGGGCAAAGTAGAGGTCTCAGTAAATAGATTCTTTTATCAAAGCTGTTGGCAGTAATAGTGTACTGAACAATAAGAACAATTTTACTGGATTTTGTGCAGGCCAGTTTCTGGTTCTGACCCACAAATTGAATTCTTCTGATATGGATTTCTTGTTCATTCCAAGTGCACTTACATGCAGCATTATTGCATCTGAAACAAACAAAATTAAAAGAAAAGACTGGTGTCCTGTCAGAATATCATGCAAAGTCACCTGACAAACATCTAATAGAGCTCCCTCAGCTCCATGATTGCTACAATTCAGTCAGATTGTCAACTAGATTGGCCATACTAATATATATCTTCTTGTGAAATACAGAAGACCTTGCCAGTAATGACAAAAGAGCTACAGAATCCTGAAAGAATAAATTAGATGTAAGAGATATCTGTATTAGTTGCTTCTCAGCAGGTGAAAGAGTTGGCATTTTCAATGAAACAGCCAGTATGGATGCCTGTTGGATAAGAAGTATAGAGAATTGAGCTCTGCATTTCTTCTTCAACATGCTCAGTTCCAATGGTAGAGATCTCAGTGCACTAATGTCTTCAGGAATCTGTAAGACTTCCTGCAGTGTCTTATAGTGTCAGCAAGATATTTCTGATTTTTTGCACCATAATTCTAAAGCAAGTGTGAAGTGGTCCAGCATTTTATCAGACTTCACATACACATGGACTAGAATCTCTGATGAGTCATTCATTATAGTTGAGATGTAGGTCTCAGCTGGCTGGTCACCCAATGAATTCTCTAGTTGTGAATGAAAATCAGAATCTTCATTGCCAACTGGGTGCACTGGATGTAATATAGTCTGTAATCAGGGTTTGGATTCAGGCTCTTCATACTGTTGTGATTCATTGTTATCAACTGATTCCATGAGTAGAGCTGCCACTGCTTCTTGTATAATCTCCTGCATTCTGATATCTTCTGGTTCAGAATGAGTGTCAGATAGAGCATCAGACAGAGTATCAGAGGCATCTGAAAGACTTGCTGCATTCTGTATACAGTAATTAGAATGATGCAGGCTGACAGAGAATTCAAGATCTTACACTTAATTCTGACTTCTCAGTTTGATTGTTCAGCTGAATATCAGGTTCTACTGAAGATAAAATGTGATTGCAATCTTGCAATTCCCACAACAAATGGGCAGGCTGTCTGTATCTTTAAAACTGCAAGACTGGAAATGACAAATGAAGTTGCCTTCTCCAAAATATATAGTTCTCTATATGCCTCAAGTACCTCAGATCTTGCATGTTTGCTCAAGATTTATACATCAGTTTCTGCAGTGGTTGAGTTTCAAGTTGCAGGAACAGTAAGAGTTGCTGCAGAATTTCTTTGGGATAAAGTATGTAGGAATTAGAAAGAAAATTGCTGTTTGATTGGGAAATTGAATATATTATAGCAAAGTTAAATATTAGAGCAGCTGCAAAATGTGCCAACTGTACTGCAGACCAACTGTAATATTCCAATCATCTAGACCTGTAATTGACTCTAAGGGATGCAAGGTCAGCAATAATCTGCATCCTCCTGAGTGATCAGCCTATTTCAAAGAAATCAATCACTTAGTGGTGTTGAATTTTAGAATGTAGGGAAATATGAATACAAATCTGAATAGCAACTTGAGCAGTTGAATGCACTTCAAGTCAACTATATAATAGATAGCAAACCCCTCCAAAATTCAAGCATTCACTCTTGTTCATTCTCAATGGCAATCTGATAGCCAAAATGTTGGAGACACAGAGCATGCCAGTGCCAAAAAGAACAGCTTGCATCTTCCCATGAGCCTAATTACACAACATATCAAAGACTCAAGAAGCATCATTCAGTTTAAATACAAGTACCCAAACTGAAGCATTCTCTGATCATACAGAGATTGAAAAGTGGGTTTGAGTGGTGGAGCACAAGATACAAAATCAGGTGTGATGAGTCTATATATTGATATTAAATACTGATCTGATTTCCAATACCATCCAGAAGATGCTGAGTCTTGAGAACTGGAAAGCCAGAAATAACTCATATTTTTGTGAACTTTCCAGATGCATGTCAGACCTCTGTAAAGGTTGAAAATGTAAGATCTTGAGTAGCTTGAAGGTCAGAATAATGTCTCTAAACTTCTAGTTATGATATAAACTGACCTTATTTATAGAATCATGTCAGGGAATGTATTGAACTCAGCTTGACTGAGAATTCTAATTTTGAACTTCATGAAATAACTGATCAATAAAAGCTGATCAGCTATTTTGCCTGATTGTTCAAGTGGGACCAATTCTGTAAAGTCTTTTACTGAATCAAGCCATGTGTTGATTTTGAGAAGTCAGCTTCACAAGAGAAATGATATTTTGAATGTAAGTCAATGATAAATCTTAATTGCCATGATTTCTGCTCTGACAGTTATGGCAATAGAGGTGTATGCAAATTTAGCAGCATACATGAAGCTGTATCTTGATGATAACAGTTCAAAACAGGACACATTCATTCTATTAATCTACATCTGGAATTCTGTACTCAAGCTCTGGGACTGCTTGACACAGAAACCAGAACTGAGAGATGTTAATTTGGATAACTTTGCCTGACAGAAGATTCAATCAAGAAAGCCAAAGACTGTTCATGTTGAGACTTTACCAGAAATTCTGGATGCAGTCCAGTTGACATCTAGTATGCCATCCAGGGAACCTGATTCACATCTGGCTCAGGCAGTGCAAGCTCTGCAGAAGCCAGAGAATAACAATTCAAACAAGAAGAATCAGAATTCTTTGCAGAATATTACAGAGAATTATTTTGAGACTGCAATAAATTAGCCTGTCTGTTCAAAAAGACCTGCACCAGCTGCAACTGGTCACATGCTCTGAAAGAGACACAGATTCTAGTTGAATACATGAAAAGGTGTCTTCTTGAGTCAAAATTAGCTGTTAGTTTGTGCTTTAAAATAGATTTTGGGGTTTGATATCTAGACTTCAATGCAATGCTCTGTTATATCAATGCTTGCAAGAGCTGAATTTTGCTATATTTAATATATATCTCTTTATTGTTCACTGTAATTGGCTGTAGAAGCTCTAAGTAAAATGAGTTAGCACTTAGTAATGTATAAATAGACATGTCCTGATTAGGAAATCCAAAACAATCAAGCAGACACTCTAGATATAATAATCTCTTTCTACACAAAATCTCTCTCTTCTTCTCTTCTTTTCTTTCTTTTCTTCTCTTGAGCTCATTATATTTCTTATTGCCTCTCTCCTCCTATTCCAATATTAAGGTAAGTGGTGGATTTCAGAATGAAATAAGAAACTGCAGCAAACTGAAGAATAATATATGCAGAAATAGCAAAAAATGACTCTGCAAACATGTAAATTGGCAGCAGCTCAGAACAAGCACTCCCCAATATCTACAAAGAAGAAGCCAGAGTGAAAGCTCTTGACTGTTAAAGAAGAGTTTACTATAATAGATAATATACTCTGTAACTGCTGTTTGATGTTTATATATACAGTACACATTAAAAAGTCTTGTTCCTGCAAGCAAGAAACTGTAAAGGCCTGCACCAATTGTACAGAAGATAAAAAAGCCTGTGCTTCTGTTTCTTCAGAGCTGTAGAAGAAAGTAGCAGCATTACTATCTGATCATGATAATTTCCTCAGACTTAAGAATGCAATACTTCAAGAGAAATTGAAAGCCAGTATAATGGAACAGGCTGCTGGTCTCAGTAAATTACTTGCCAAAATGACACTCCTGTTAGTCTGAACTGACAAATTCTCCCCTCTCCCCCTCTTCAATACTGAAGTTAGTGCTGTCACTTTGACAGTATTAGAAAAGCTTGTGTTCATCTAAGCTGAATAAAAAGAGCTTGTGGAGCATACATTCTGCTCTGTCAAGATAGATTAAACTGATTGGAGATCATACATTCAACTCATGCTAATATAGTTATATATATAGAATATTGAAAGGACCTTGGCTGACATCTGCCAGAACTTAAAGTTTAATTGTTTATCTTCTGCAGTCAGTATACTTGATGCAATGTCAGGATAAATTGAACTGATTTTGATATTTGATGACAGAAAAAGTGAAAGACAGAAGAAACTGTCTGTAAATCAGCAATTAAGATAGACTGATTTACTGCTGTCCTGCTCTCTGCTGTATCTGCTTCTTTCTTCTCCTCTCCCACTCTGATCATGCCTTCTCTCTTTGTTCAGTTGCAGTCAAATATATCTGTATTGAGCCTGTCTCCAACTGGAGACAGTGGAGCTGATTTGCTTGAAAGTATGATCAGATGGCCCAAATGGGCTCACCCTGACAATTCTTCTGTGCTGATCTTATATTCTGTCTCTGAACCAGAGACTCCAACCAGTGAGGAGGCTCCTGAAATTTAAAAAAAAAAAAAAACTTCATTACAATTCAGGTTGTGCAGGTGATTATGTAATACTTAGTTAGTTTCTAGTAATTGAAAAGCTTCTGAATCAGATTCAAAACCCTCAATTGGTGCATCATACATTCTGAATTCTATACATTTTGGACCCTTTATATGTGCATTGTAAATATATGGTTGATCTACAGTTTCAAGCTTGCAACCTGTGGTTCAACAGGTTGTGTTGGATAAACATTTTCCGACGGTTGCCCGAAAAGCTCATTTTTCCGGTATGGCCAACGCCTAAGGTCACATGACCGGCAGCTCCGCTTACGTGATCCAGCGCTGGCAGCTGCGAGCTGGACGAACAAGCTGCCTTGCAACGACAACCAGAACCCATAACGCTCGATCGACGACCTCTTGCTACGCTTCTCTGCTCCATATCCCTTTCCGACATACCTATCCTCTATCCTAAGCTTTCTTTTGTGCTATACATTCACTCACCTGTCATTCCAGCTCCATAACTCAGCTCCGCCACCATGTCTACGCTCGAAGAGCTCGAAGATCTTGAGCGCGAAGATAAGGATAAGAGAAAGGAGCAAGAGGAACGTGATGGACAGAAATCCGACAAGGATGGGGACGCAGAAATGAAAGATGCGGATCAAAAGAAAGAGGAAGACGACCTGCTAGATGAGGAGATCTTACGGTCAAGCACGCGAGATATCATAAACCGACGGAAGTTGCTGGACAATGATATGCGCATTATGAAGAGCGAGTATCAACGATTGATGCACGAGCAGAATACCATGAAGGAGAAGATAAAGGACAATCTTGACAAAATTGAGAATAATCGGTACGACAACCTATTTTAACTGCCCATTACCTGCATGACTGACGTGTGATACCACTTTGTTTTAAGGCAATTACCATACCTAGTCGGGAATGTCGTTGAGCTTCTAGATCTTGACGTCGAGAAGGAAGCAGTTGAAGAAGGTGCCAATATAGACCTGGACGCAACTCGTGTTGGCAAATCAGCCGTCATTAAGACATCCACTCGCCAAACAATCTTCCTCCCTCTTATTGGCCTCGTTGACCATGAAAAGCTCAAACCTGGTGACTTGATAGGGGTGAATAAGGACTCCTACCTTGTCCTGGACACACTTCCAGCAGAATACGATAGCCGAGTAAAAGCGATGGAAGTTGATGAGAAACCAACAGAGCAATATACCGACGTTGGTGGGCTCAACAAGCAGATTGAGGAATTAGTGGAAGCTATAGTTTGGCCGATGAGAGAGGCTGAACGGTTCAAAAAAATCGGGATCAAAGCTCCGAAAGGTTTGAATCCTTTTGTTTCTGGTTAATCATTATGTACTAATTAATCGCCATCTCTTCAGGTGCGCTCATGTATGGCCCACCCGGTACTGGTAAGACTCTTCTTGCCAGAGCTTGTGCTGCCCAGACAGACGCTACATTCCTGAAACTCGCTGGTCCCCAACTCGTCCAAATGTTTATTGGTGACGGCGCCAAGCTCGTCCGTGACTGCTTTGCTCTTGCCAAAGAGAAAGCACCCGCTATCATCTTCATCGACGAGCTCGATGCCGTCGGCACGAAACGTTTTGATTCTGAAAAGTCTGGTGATCGTGAAGTTCAACGTACGATGTTGGAACTCCTCAATCAGCTTGACGGTTTCGCTTCCGATGATCGGATCAAGGTTCTTGCCGCCACCAATCGTGTTGACGTCCTCGATCCGGCTTTGCTCCGTTCCGGTCGTTTAGATCGGAAGATCGAGTTCCCTCTTCCCAACGAAGAAGCTCGTGCACAGATTTTGAAAATTCACTCTCGCAAGATGACGGTGGACGACGGTGTTAATTGGGCGGAGTTGGCACGGAGCACAGACGAATTTGGCGGTGCGCAACTGAAGGCAGTCTGCGTGGAAGCCGGTATGATTGCGTTACGAAAGGGTATGAGTAAAGTAGGCCACGAGCATTATGTGGATGCCATCGCAGAGGTCCAAGCGAAGAAGAAGGATACCAATGTCGGCATTTATGTTTGAAAAGCTCCCCGTGTGCCCTCAGCCTAATATCATCTTTTCTTTCCGCCACTTTTCTCCTCCCACAAAGATGTATCTGTAGTGAGCATGTAGAATGTGATCCAATACATTGGATAATTTACGCTCTTGGACTCTTTGGAAATTGATTCAGAACCCCGTACATCAAATTTCTCGGAATAGAATGTTAGAAAAGGCTACATCGAAAGATGTATGCTATTAGAAATAAATTGTAAACATTATACGGTAATGGATGTCCATGTGTATATAGCCTCCATCAATTACCATCCACATCCAGCTAAACACCAATTACAAATAGCGAGCGACGTCGGGGTGATATTAATGAGTCGCCATTTTAACAAACCAACAAGAGGAAAACGAAGGGGGGGAAAAAAGGCAGTCGTTTTATCTCCGGGGTCTTTATATGCACAGCATAAAATAAAGAGAAGGAAATGAAGGAGTAAAATTCGTTAAAATAAATGTCGCAACTCAAGTAGCTTTGTCGTTGAAGTTCCGCTTCCCATTCTCTCTCTTTCGATATGCATCCACCATTCTTTGCCCAGCCTATGGCCCTGATTCCATGATCCGTTACATGTATCTCTCACCCACAGGGGCTGCTCACCTGGGGCTGGACCCAAGGGAGAGAGGGGAGGAATTGGAGAAGTGGGTGTCCGTGGCGAAGGGAGAGAACCGGCAGTGCTACTTGCACCAGCGGTACGAATTGTGAAACGAGAGGATGTTGGTGATGGAGAAGGGATGTCGTCAGTCAAGCTGGAGTTCGTGCCGGCACGGACGACCGAGAGAGAAGGGGACAAGGGAGCGTAGTAGGACCATGTTTGATTGGCTGTGAGGATATGTTTCCAGCTTAATAAACCACCATCGGCGTCGGAGCCGGGAATGTCTGGTTTGAGGGTGAAGCGCGGGGTTGTAGCAGCTATTTTATTATAGACTGAGTTGTATACTCGGCCCATGCAGGTTGGGATGGTGAACTCGTGGACTTTGATAGCAGAAGAAGGGGAGGGTCGTTTGGGTGGGGATGGCTTCTTTTTCTTCTCCTTGATAGACTCCAGGATATTATCAATGTCATCAATTTCGCTTTCCGAACTGGAATCAGAGAATGCTGGCATGGGTGCCAGTATCTGGTTTGCAGAATGATCTGTGACTACGACCTTAATGCCCTGGTCGACCTCTCTCGCCGCAATGTCTATCAGGGTCTGTGCACGTATCCGGGATGAAGTAAGGTTATTGCCGCCAGGCATTGCCAGAGGACGCTTCGAAAGCGTACCTTGGGAGCTCCTCGGGAGACTATACCGATCTGAAAGGAGCATTATCTGGCCGTTTCGAGTAGGGCGGCAGACAGATTGTAATGCTCCAAGAGGATCGATATCGCTCGGGGCACGAAGAGTCTTAAGAGACGGAAAGCCGGCATGTAGGATACTCTGGGAAAGGTGGAAATTAGGAGTATTCGGGGCTTTTTGTGGCCTCCTCAGTTGCTGGGGATCCAACTGGTTCAGAGCGTCCGCATTTGGGCTAGCAAGATCCCAGTGAAGTTGCTTCAAGCTTGACGAGGCGAGGAGCGGCTGGAATACCATATGGCCTCCAGGAAGCGTTGGGGCCGTAGCTTGTTGCACAATGGCAAACCGCTGCAAGTTTCTCAACGACGCAAAGGTCTTAGAAATCACTAGCAACGAAGTGATATTCTGCTCTATTAGTGTCAACGACTGCAACCCTCTTGCTTCCTGCCTCGATATATATCGCGACAATCCATTTTCCGTCACACCAGAGAGGGACTCAAGGCGCAAGGAAATAAGTGGCGGCAAAAACAGCAGTGTTCGATCCGTGAAATCATTAGCATTCAGGCATGAAACAGATAAATGACGCAGAGCTGGGAGAAAATTTAACATTCGTAAAACAATCCCGTGCTCTAGGATCCCAGTTGAATCCAGTGAGTGCAACATTAACGTTTCCAGATTGCTCCAGAAGGTATGGAAGCTCAGGAACTGGTAGGCTTGGCCTTGATCCAGCAGTTTGGGCGACTGTTGCATGGCTCGCTCACTAACGGCCGCATTTTCTCCGATAATCCAAGCATGCTCTCTAAGCTTCTTCCGAGTCGACAATGCATGAGTCAGGCGATCAAATTCGTGTGTATATGGGAGTGTTATTCCCAAAAGACGTTCGAGGTTTGGACAGACCATGACAACCGACGCAACTAAATCAACGTATTCTTGCAAACCAGCATGATACTTCCCGGTTGATATTAAGAGGTCGAGCTCTGGCACTCGAAGCTCAAGGACAGCGTTTGCTAGCAGCTTTCTCTCACGTAACGTTCGTCGAAGCAATTTCAATCGACTGCCCCTTTTCCACCTATACCTCTTCAATTGACCAGGTGCATCGGCACCATGGATATGAACTTTTTGATACCTGAACAAATAAGCATATGACCATAGCGCTACTAAAATCGTTCAATTGATACTTACAGTTTGAGCCTCACTGCCCTCTCCCATGCTCTGCTCGTCAAGCTGAGGGAATATAAGTCCCTCACAAAGCAAGTTATGCATCCTTCCCCGTGATTATGCAACAACTGTAACTGAAGGACAATGCATTCGTACACCTCCTGAGGCAAATGCTTTGGGAAGGTAGGCGACGGGGTGTCTGGAAAGGCTGGGTTCCGCCCCACTGATCGAAAGGGGAAGTGAGGGGCTGTAGGAGAGTAGATATTCGGGGCGTTTGAATTGGAGTAATGGTGATTCATATACGAAAAAGAAGATGATCGTGGGGACGGAGGCACCACTACTCGTGGATGGGTGGGAGAAGGGGATTGACGATGCGGTGAGCCATCTCGATAAGACGGTGGAGGAGGAGATCTGCTGTATGACATTCGCGGCGATTCAGGTGGTCTTCTTGCAACAACACTCATCCTTTTTTCGTAAAGAGACACACGAAGATGAGGAGCAAATTCGGCTGTGAAGTCAACCGGAAAGGGTCTCCTGAGCTCTACGAGACAGATATGCGAAGCAGGCGGAGAGGAGTTGATAAACTCTGCATCACACGGTTCTTTTGCTGAACAAGGGGGAGCGGTTTGTTCGCTGCAGCCAGTCACGGTAGCCGGCAAGCACTGACGATCAAGCTCCACTCGATAAAGCTCCACTCGATAAAGCTGATCAATTCGCGCCAGTTAGCTTCCTATCGCGGAGGGGATGGGGCAAAGCCAGATGTTGGGTCTGACAGAGAAAACCCAGTTCCTCTCCTGGGGAATAAAGGAGTTCAAAAAGGCAGGAATCGTAACCTTTTTCCCGTGCTCACGCTGAGGTCTCGAATTTCTGGCACATGATATGTCGTTAAACCAGCCTTGTCAGTCGCCATTCGGAACAGGGCCAACCGTTGTCGCCCTGCAAACATTTGGCAAGCATCATGACAGGCTAAGGCAGAACCATGCGTTACTAGGCTAAAAGTTTCAAGAGGGAACTCGTGTTTTTTCAGCTCCGCTTTTGCACGGGCGTCCAGTCACAGTGGTGCACAGCGCGAAAAAGGGGGTGATGCCGCCGTCGAGTGCCATTTTCTCGGACGCGATGAGCGAAGAGGGCCAAAAAAAAAAGGGGGTGATATTGAGCTAATCCGCTCTGGGAGTAGATAGACGCGCTAGGGCAGGCACAATTCCGCTTTGGGCTTAGCGCTTAACCTTCGCGAAACATCCATCTCCAGCGGGTAATTGAGCTAGTCCAAATTAAGGATAGCGTTGATCAGGGACAACGATTTGCCTGTTTTGGCGCTTTTTCGCTGGACAGGCGAACTGCACCACCTTGGAAGCACGAGAATGTGGCCATACGTACGGTCCCAGAGAGACTTGCGCCAGCTTTGAAACATCAGCCCCGTTTACCGGCATTCAGGTATGAAGATTTCACAGGTAACTTTTAAAATTTCCTCAAAGTCTAGGGATAACGCCGGGCAAACACTACGGCGTCCGGTGTATGCAGACCCTAGCCCCAACGGGCGGCCCAGACAGCGCCCTTGCAAGACGAGATGACAGATGCAACGGAACATCAGTCCAGGATGGCTGCCACCCGCTACTCAAAGCGGCGTTTGTGCCGTATCATTCCCTGAAGGGGATGGTGATGTTCGTTTTTTGACATCTGGGAGACAGAAAGAGAGGGGGAAAAATCCAACAACGCATAGTTTCGAGTTTCCTATGCAGTATGGAGGACAGAAAGTATATTGGAAAAGCATAGGAAGGAAGCTAACATTTTGTCCGTTTTTCTCATGAGCCATAAATATTGTTAGTTATGGTAAAGTAAGATATATTGTGCTATTGATGCAATTGTTTAAAAAAAGAACCTCGTAAAAGCATTTCCTGGGCAAATTCATGCCACAGGAACCACATCATTTCATGCATATGTCGTCGCTAGAAAAAGTAATAAGACCAGACCGAAGCAAACTGGAGAGATCAGCAATAGAAAGCCCAAGTAGCAAATGGAGGAGAGAAATGGGCCACGGAGACAAGCGTAATTACCACTGAGAAACTGGGGGCGGGGTAGCGACGGGGAAACAAGAATGATAGCACGGAGTGAGATTTATTCCCTAGACTCCGGAGGGGTATGAGGGTAAAAAAGCACGATAGATGTCAATACTAGTCAGCAGCAACTCGCCGACTTTTGGAGAATATCATAGTCAAATCCAATGCAGATGTTTGCAAAGAACGGAACAGCTTTGACAGATGATATGGATTTTGATCACTTCCGAGTACGCAACGCATGCATGCATGGAGCAAGATAAATAGGAGAAAAAAAAGAAAGAAACAACACCGGATGACTTTTTTTGGTTTTGGTTGGATCAGATACCGTAATACGGCTCCTCCGAAAGGTAGCACAGCAAAGCGCGAAATATCGAAATCAGATCCTCCTGCCCGGTCATGTACATCATGTAAAATGGTGTGAAAAATGCAAGCTGTATATGGGATATCTCGCGGGTATATTTCACATCTCAAAGTGATAATCGTCACTGAAGATTCCTCCTTCATCATGAGTTCTCGCCACTCCGCTCATCCGGTGCTCAAACTCGATGCTCTCGGCGGACCTGGTCCGGTTGATCCACGAGTCATCTTCTTTGAAGTCTTCATCCATGGAATCATGATGGAGATCCCTCATGTTCTGCTCCATAGTGCTTTCATTTACGAATGTGAACCCTTTAAAATTGGCCTGCATTCCTGGCGAGAGCGGTGTGGACTCGGTGGCTGCCCCTGCGGCGAGAGCGGCAGCGCGGGCATTCAAGGAGGCGGAGTTATCAAGAGCAGTGGTGAACTCTGGGTCGAAATATGAAGTGTCGGAAACAGACTTCAACTTCGGCTTGAATGGAGGAATGACGTCCTTCCGGCTCATCGCATCCCAGTCAATGTCGTGGAAAAATGGGTGTGCCATCAATTCTCTTGCATCATCCTTGGCGCCAAGACGATGTTTCGGGTTTCGGTTAAGTAATCCCTTCACGAAGTTCCGGCCTTCCGCGCTCAGGGCGTCTCGAGGGAAGCGAACTTTCCCGAAGGCGATGTTCTTGTACATCTGTTGCGTATCGTCTGCGTAGAATGGGCTCCACCCGCAACACATCTCAAACACTAAAACACCAAGGGACCAGAAATCCACCATTTTCGTGTAACCTTGTTCGTCGAGGAGCACCTCTGGGGCCAGATACTCCGTGGTCCCACAGAACGTGTTGGTGGTGTCATTCTTTGTAAGATTGGCTTTGGACAGCCCGAAATCACAAAGAGCGATATGTCCGTTGGCATCGAGCAAGATGTTCTCCGGCTTCAAGTCGCGGTAGACAATGTCATGTTGATGCAAATGCTGAAGAGCGAGAATCAACTCTGCGATGTAGAATTTAGCTCTGGGTTCCTGGAATCTGCCCTCCTTTTGTAAATGCCAAAATAGCTCTCCGCCAGACATGTAGTCAGTCACGAGATATAAATCGGACGGAGTCTGGAAAGAGAACTTCAGGCCAACGATAAACGGAGAATCTGTCGTCGCAGTGCGGACAAGAATATTTCTCTCGCCGAGCGTATGTGCCACTTCCTTTTTTTGGATAATGACCTTCTTTGAGAGAACTTTCATCGCATATATTCGCTGTGTGTCCTTCTTCCTGACTTGATACACTTGCCCAAAAGTGCCCTTTCCAATGAGCTTGAGGATCTGAAAATCGTTCGGACCGACCTGCTTTTTGTCCGTCTTTTGGAAAAACATTTGCAAGTGAATTTCACCAGAGACGTGGCCATCGCCCTGACCTCGTGCCTCAAGAGGGAACCATCCGGCGACGGACTTTTTATCTTCTTTCAGGTTAAGTCGTAACTTGACATGACCTAAGAAAGCCTCTTGGTTCGAGCGGTCATAGACGGAAACGTCGATCTCCGATTCATCACCGAGAACATCGCTACTAGACAGTCAGCGAAACGCGCAAGGGTGCCATAGTAAGTTTATCGAGTAAGGGGGTGAGGAGACTATGCACATACAAAACAGCTTCATGGTTCCACTGGGGATCTGTGACTTGGGTCGTGGTTCTGTGGTTGTATCCATCTAGCATGCTATTTTGACTGCTCTGTCGACTTTTCATTGGAATTGCCATCGGACGCCCCGAGTCACTATTGGAACGTTGGATAGGCACAGAAGTCAAGGCCTCGAGCTGGTTCCTATTCCTGTTTTCTGTCTGATATGATTGTTCAAGGTGGGCGCCCTTGGAGATATATTCGTTCCATTCAAAAACACATACCACGTAGGGGTCATAACTAGGACGCAGGCCTCTTCCTTCGGATATATTGACAGATAGTTTCCCCTTTAAAGGTGTAACTGGCGGACCATTGGATTCCGATAAGGTCCCATGTTGAGAAGAAGACGATCCGGTCGGCGTCACTGAACCGCGATCGCTCGGTCGCGCTTCGGGTTGACTGCGAGCCGGTGAACTGGCCGATGAATATCCGGTTCTTTTGTCGGCTGGATGAAGCTCGTTCGACATCGCGCGAGGGGTAAGTGGGGGCGTATTCTTTATAGGAAGGATCACAGCCGCGTTGTCAGTCAGCTTTACCAATTCTTCAGAAGATTTGGAGATATTTTGAGAATCATCACAAGTTAGAGATGTTGAAGAATCAGGGAGACAAGGGTTGGAGAAATGAGAGGCATGGACTGAATCATGAGAGATGCTAGAAACAGGATAAGAAGTGTGTCGTCTAGATTTCATAGCGGTCTTCGGCAAGATAAATTTTTTCAAAGCTTGGTAGATAGAAGTCATTCCCCTGTCGACTGCAGCTGCCCCATTTTCTGCTTCTTCACCATCTTTCTGAGCGATAGAACAAAATGACGATGAGGAATGGGGAGGTGTGGGCAAGGGGTTAAAGTCTGAAGGTCTCAACACCTCAAAAGAACCCTGTCTTGGCTGAGCGGAGGGGTTTGCACCGATCCTCGAGTCCTGATCATGGGGCAGCATGACCGTCGACCCAGACAACGAGGGTATATTTTCTGATATGTTCTCCTCTTGATTGAATTGTAAATGCGCTTGAGACCCGACTGTTTCGGGGGGTGGAGATGTCATATATGAAGTTCCCTGATTCTCAACACCTGAAGCGGAATCAGAACTGGCACCAACCTGTGCAAAGAAGCTGTGCATTATTCCCGGTAAACGCTTGTCGGATAGGTCGGGTTGCGGCGTCGCGATACCGGAAGGAGTCGAACTCATCGAGCCGATCTGGTCTTGAACATCGTCGTCATGATGTATAGAAGAACTAGTTGTGCGGGAAACGTTAGCCATCACCGTGAGCTCCAATTTCAAGCATTATCGCGGAAGTTGCATCACCGTATGCAGCTTCCAGAGGAAAAGTGAGAATTCTTGGGGAAGGGTATAACAGGTGCAGGGAACGCCACCGTCTCCCTCAGCCGCAGGCAAAGCCGGCTGAGATGAAGCGAGGAGACCCTTGGAGACTCTGGAGGTGACAAACATTGGATAGTAGCATGAAAAGCATGCCGACTAATCATAAAACTCGTAGTTGAAAGCCAAGCCTAGTCACAACGATGATTCGCTCGAATCTCGCATTTTCGAGAGGTCGCGAAATCGGACGAGTACCACAGAGTAACATGAGGAGTACAGGGCAACATAACGATCCAATGCCATGGAGAGGAGAACATTTTGTGCAATGAACAGCAGCTGTTAAGAGTAGATTGACTGTGACTCACTTCTGCAGCATCGCTTGTCGCAACAGATCAGCATGGGCATGAGGGTTCACTCCGCCGTTCTCAGCCATGGCTGACTCCCATTAAAAGTGTCCTCCTCCAGATAGAGCTACCGTCTCCCAAAACAGTCGTGACAATGCGCTTCACGTGTATCGCAGTGTCGTCGGTGGAGATGCGTTGTCGAGCCGCGTGGTGAGGGAAGACGTGGCGACTGTGCAGAAAAGAGGAGGGAAATTCAGCAAAACACAAAACAAGGAGTCAAAAGAGGAGGTAACAGAATACTTTGGCAAGATGCAAGATTTTTTTCAGAGATGGGAATTTGGGTCCGGAGAGGAGAAAAAACAAGGGTCCAAGCAATAATGAAAGGCATTGGGTAAGGGATTTCGGTGGGGGAGGCAAAAGTAGCCTTGAGTTTACAGGCTAACAAATGGGGTTCGACAGGAACTGAAGGCCCTGTTTCGGGGCGATTCGGGGATTGAAACAAGGCTTATTCCACACTTGGGGTCGACTCACAACCAAGTTGTTCAAAAGATCATAAATATCGATCTGAACTGTGGATTTCTTAAGCTGTCAGCTGGATGGATGGAGGGATAACTATTATCTGCTTGGGTTCAGATTGAAGTACAAAGTGGCGCGAAAGTCAGCAGACAATGATGGCACTGATACATGCCGACACTTAACAAGGTTGTCAGATATGGGACCGAAATTGAAGATTGGAGCGAAGGACACCTCAGAGTGAAGCGCACGTCAGAACGAAGCAGACATTAGAGCGAAGCAAGAGAAATGAGGTCCGCCCAGAACAAAAAGAGAAGAAAATAAAAAAAGAAGAAAGAAAAAGTAAAATAATAATGGCTAAACAAAAAGGATTTTTAAACGCTGGCGAGAAAAGGATAGCAAGGTCAAAGAGAACCAAAGAAGGCGTTCCCTCACCTCTGTTTTGTGTTCGCTGGTTCATGTAGGAGCCAAGGCGTCACTTTCTGGTACCTGCAAGGGAGTACTATGAGTGACAGTTGATAGGATAATTCAGTATCAACAGGTGGCTTTTTGCGACGCAGGGAGTGTAGGTTGACCTTGAGCTTTGTAGAGAGGTGTATCTAGGAAAAAGACAAAGGGAGATAGGGATAAGGGAAAGACTGGAAAGTTTTATGAAATCTAGAACTTAATATGTTGACGAAGGCAGGCAACAAGAATGACTCGGGTCTCAGCTCCACCTGGTAACAATCTTCACGCTGCCCGAACAGATACGGGCAAAGTTCCTCTTCTGTTCCTTTGGCGTCGTTCACTAGAGTGACGAGAAAGTGACCTCTTCGTACGGAGTAACCAGCTTCGTATTTCAAGTGGTGAGCATTTCACAACAAAACTATCTGCCAGCCATTCACTTCACTTTACAAGTGAAAAGCGGAGGTGAGCGCTGGGACTTTGTCAGCTTAATCGTACTCCGAAAGGTGAAGCTGGGCGGTTTCGCAAGTCGAGCTGAGCTGCGCCGCCCCCTCTCCGGCAGCAGCACCAGCACCCGCACCCGCAGCCTTCAAGAGGGCCCTTCTGGTGGGCGAGCAAACAGTGCAAAGGGAACGAGTACGGCCAATCAAACGGCCAAGCCGGACGGGTAAGCGGGCTTCTCTGCTAATCAAACCGTTCCATCCAGGCAGTGGAGAGCGCGCAGGCCAACGATCGCAGCGGCCGTGGCGCAAACTCTGCTTCGCTGGGCAGTCTCGGCGTGGTTGCCTCAAGCCACACTGTCATGGACTCGCCGCCGTGCTGAGCCACTGTCGCACCAGGTTCTGCCAACGGCCGCATTTGGGTACGGAGCATGGAGCACGAAACATGCGGGCGACAGCTACAGCTGCGGCGGTAACGAGGGAGGTATATAACATATGTATGTACTCCGTACTCTGTGCAGTACATGCATACTCCACGCATACTAATTGGTTACGGAGTTACATGTTTCCGATTACCAAGGCATTGAAGAGGACGGGGTCGAGGTCTCATTTTTCCAGAAATGCTCTCCGCTCGGGTCCCCCATAGACCCCGAGACAGCTGACGCGTTGAACAAAGAAGCCTGGACGTAAACCACTCCTGGGCTTGGGAGCGACGACTTGCAAGAAAAAAACAAAGAAGATCTAGAACAAGTTGTGAATAGCGGATGACAGCTCGGAGGAACAAACGGCCAGGTTTTTGCGCGTTGGGGTATGACATGATATCACAGCGCATGCTCCCTAAAAACACCTCGTGATATAGGCCCCCTCATCTAGCATGCCCAGATTTACCTGGTTTCCCCCCACTGAAGCCTTGATAATTCTTGATAATTGGATTATCTGTGCGGTCACTTGCTCATATTCCTCCAGGCCGATTTTTGATCAACATCCTTGATGGGATCCATTCATCCCTCCTCAGGATCCCATACGGAGCGGTCATCTCATAATATCACACCACCGTCTCCGTGGATCTCAGCGTGTCAATTGACATTCCCCATTATGGTAAAGGCCACTCGCTGGCCTGCTCCTTTTTTCACATATACAGCACCTTCAGGGTGCCAGGTACACAACTCTTCGCTAAAATTCTATGCTTCTTCTATGCCCGCAAACTCCGTTCGAAGTCAGACAACACCCACTGGACCATCCACTCCAACTTAAGAGCCATTTCAACTGTTTGGCGCTCTTCTAGCTGAAAAACCAGCTTCCACCACACCAAGTTAAAAAATGGCGGCAGCATTCTCCCTGCCAAACTTTTCTATCCAACATTTCAATCAATACTCCTTCGCCCGTTCCTCAAATATCTTATCAATTGGTGGCATGCTGGCTCTCTGCTGGATGTCCATCCTTGTCAGAGGATCGACGACCCTATTTCTCACAGCATTTTCATCAGCCCTAAGAGCATGGCTCCTAGCTTATCAATGTGATGGAACCCCATCCCATCCTCTATCATCTAACTAGTACTAAAGATGACCTTCATGCCAATAATCTCCCATAGCAGTATTGCCAGACTCAAAATGTCCACAGGGTATAAGAGTACAGTCTGTGGGTACAAATTAAGCTTCTAACAGCTTGAAGCAAATGTTGCGTGGCATCCCTCCGATCAACAACAACCTCAGGTTGGTGTAAAATGCCTTGCTGAAATCATTAATTCCACACGTTGGACTGTTTGAACACTCCTACCTTTTCCCAAGGTAGATAGTGATACGGCCTTTGGTGAGATGTTGGATGAAAGTGGTTCCTCGTCCCGCTGTGTAGTGACTGTCTCAGGCTGGCGAATTTTTATGGCTTCTCAATCGAAAGCTGAACAAGACTAAATCAAGCAGCTGGAAGAGATCTTCCTGCAGAAGCCGCATTACGGCCATCACACTTCGGATTCGTCCAGGAGACAAGGGACCAGATTGCGCCCTAGACGCTGCTAAACGGTGGCAAACGAAGGGAACGATACAGAAACGAGTTTGATTCCGGCTTTGCGGCGCCGCCTTGACGGCAACATAACGTTCTAGGCGAGTGTCCAAAGCGAGCCAAACAGTCGAATACCTGTCAAAGACTGGCTTGGTCACGATGCGATATCTGTTGTAAAGAGTATGCCCAATCATTATATAATGATCCCCCCATGCGCGTAATTTTCAAGTGACTCTGCACCATTGATCCAGCCTTACTTGGTATCAGATTCACAGCGCGACATTGCCAATGACAACTTGGTATGAGAAGAGATGGAGCTAAGCCATCCGAACAAGCCAACGAAAGAGATGGCCGGAGCGATTATTTCAGAGTAGTGCGCCATATGGACTTACACGAGCTGCTGTTGATAGAGTCCTGTTACATGTGAAGTACGTATAATAGTGGCCTAAAATGTAACTAAGTACTCCAAATGATCTTTGCGACTCTTAAGATGGTCGATGTAAAATCGGATCTGAAGCCCTTTCTAACGGACGGCCACTCCACTATTCCAAGTGCATCTCAAGGTGCATTATCATATCGCTCTTGGGATTGAGCTGACGAACGGTCAGCCCTCTCCGAACTCGATTCGTAAGCGGCAAAGGCGAACTGGATTAAAACGTTGGGACAAAATACTAGAATCATTCTTTCAACAGGGGGTGAGAAAAAAAAAAATTCGCATGAAATTTCGATTGGCTCTTCTATACTACATGGTAACACACACAGTTGATCATCGGGTCTCCCCCGAATCCTTGGAAAGATTACCGTGTCTTTTTATCATCTGCCACCGGCACTCTTATCCCACGGGTAGAGATGTCGTCTGATTCATCATCCTCATCCAGCAAATATTCGTCTGTGAAACGCTTTCGGCCTCTCTCCTGCATGGCATCTCTGATTCGCCTGTTCAACTTACCCAGATCTTGGTTGGATTCTAGAAGAGCAAAGGGCTTGAGGAAGCTATCGTAGGGTAAGCCGCTACTACCCGAGCTACTTCGACTGTCACGGCTTCGGCTTTCACCCTCATATTCCGACTCGCTCAGTGGCACCGTCTTCAGTTGAGATAGATAAGCATCACTGTGGATCTGGCCGTGATCGACAAGTCTTTCAGACTCAAAGTTGGGGAACATTTCTGGTCCGAACATGTTGATAACATCCACGACTTGCGCCGCTACTGCCTGGCGTTGAGCCCTGAGCTTGGCCAGCGAACTCGCTGATAATGGATTCAGCGCAACAAAGAGCGGAGGCAGAGACTTCATCACGTCAATACCAATTTCACCGATACGTAGGCCGGCGAAAGACACCGCAATCATTAGCCCAAAGAAGAAGATATAGAAGATCCACAGAGGAATGAAGTCTGGTATGTAGAGTCTTGCATTCATCCACCAAGGCACCACGTCACAATAATAGCCTTCATGACGACAGTACCGGAGCCAGATTGTCACAATCACTGTGTACCACGTGTATAATGCCGGTGCCAGCCCCATAGCGACGAGCATCTTCCAGGTGGCCACAACATCGCGGCCTTGCAATTTAACAACGGAAGCGGCAAGGGCCTTGCGCTGCTTCTTGAGGGAAATGGCCTTTGAAATGACGAAAACCGGCCAGAACAAAAGTAGGGATGGTAAAGTTCCCACGGCCAATGTGAAAAGTTCGCCGATGCGGTAGATCAAGGTCACAAAGACCAACCACCGTGGTCGGCTCTTAACGTCGCCCCATTCTGCCTGATGGTCTTTAATTCCCAAAGCTCTCAGCTGTCGGTTATAATCAGACACGGCCTTTTTAAGCTGAAGCACTCGGGGCTCATTTTTGAACTGTGTATAGCCCTGGAGAAGCCGTCTGTTCAACTCAATCACCACGGGTAGGGGAAGCTTCATCCGTAATGGCTTGTATAGTCTCCTTGTGGCCTGGATGAGCATCATCGTCTCGTAATCCGGAGCCTGCTGTGTGACAGCGGCGAGTGCTGCTTGGATCGTCCCAAGCAATGACCCCACTGCGTTATGCTTGGACTCACCCCCGGCCTTGAACACTTCAACCTGATCCGGGTGGACTTGGATTGGATTGCCAAATTCTATGACAGCACGCGAACGGAATTTATGTGGATGAAAGTAGTTCATGCCACATGGAACAATGGAAAGACCACAGTCAGGGTCTCGTGCTAGAGCGCCCAACGCGATAATCGCAACACCGGCCTTCAAAGGAAGCAAGCTAGGGCGATCATGGCTTCCTCCTTCAGGGAATATACCGATGCAGCCCCCGGCGCAGAGGTTGCTATACACCGCATCGAACATCTCGCCTTGGTCGATGTGCGGCGCGACCTTGAAAGTAGTGCCCGTACGTAGACCTGAGTAAAGCGGGTGATCAGGCTTGAAGGCTTTAAACGGCTTTCGAAGTCGTAGCTCCTCGGGTCCAAGGATCTCCTCGATAGTTTGCTGCTCAGGGCCATTCTTATCCACAGGGAGTGGGATTATTGATCCGCCTTTCATAAACAGAGAGCTTGTAAAGTCAGTTCCTTTCCCCCGAAGAAGACTTGGGTCCTTCTCCGGGTCAGGCAGGTAGATTTGGCCCTGGGCGGGCTTGACATGGTCCATTGCCCGCACGACGGGCACAGCACCCATCTGCCCGGCCATGGCACCGATGTATGGCTCTCTCATGGATTTTTCTGCGATAAGAAAAGATACACGGCGGTTGACACAGTGCTTTACGATGCGCATCAACAAGACAGAATCGACAAACTGATTAGCGTGAGGTGCGGCGACAATGATGACTGGCCCCCGCCTGGGGATACGCCATGCCGCCCTGGGATGGATCTCGCGAAAGAAGAGATTGAGGCAGAACGCGAAGATCCATAGCCCGAAGTCGTAAACCCAGGGAACTATCTTTCCCCGCGCCATGACTCCTATCGCTACTATCGCGGCCGATTTGGACACCTGGAGATCCAGCGGTGGGTGGGAAGTCGACTCCGTGGCGCCTGCAACATGTCACTCGGCAGGT